ATGTATTGATAGCATTGAGCCATTATTTTGCCTTCTTTCGCCAACTTCTGCGTCTGTCCCGTCACTTCCCATGTCCGTCATGGCCAGGATGTTCAGCCCATCATAGAAAAGCACGGTGAGGATATTCGCTGATTGGTGGGCAGGATAGCAATTTCTGGCCGCAGCGGCCACGTTCCACCCTGGTCACTTGGGCGGTGGCCCTTGTTGATGGTTGGCCGTTGAGAGTGGCAGGATCGCAAATGCAACATGCACGACATGACTCGTAACCGACCGCGAAATGTGACGATAGGCAGACTATTTGCTCCTCAACACGGGCGGGCTAACCCTCTCGGGGGTGGGGTTCCCTCCACAGACCAGCGCCCGAATGGAGTCGGTCAGTGCCAATCCGACAATGAGGCAGGGCCGGTTCATGGGAACCGATACTTTAGTCGATCATGACGAACGCTTTTAGGAAGGAGTTGTCCGCTTCGCATCGGCGAGGCCGCAGGGCGCTTGCTCACGTGACGAGACCGCACTGCGGCTACGCGACTAACGCCGTGGCTGGGGGCTTGATGATTGGAGAGATCGGAATCAAATAGATGAAGGGTGGAACCAATTTCCCCCCGAACAAAGAAAAGAACCGGGGGTCGCAAGTTTGAATTATTAGCCCCGGCCATGTTGATCTGATCTGCACGGAACCGGGAGCTCTCGCCCGCCCATCGAAGCTACTCGGGTATGGGCGACATGATGGAGGCGTGTACTACTGTATGCACGAAGACGGAGGGAACAAAAAAAAAAGAGGAGAACAAAGAAATCACGAAAGCCAACGGCGCTAATGGATCAACGATGTCCGGTGGGCTCGCAGCAATAATACCGAGAGGAGAGCGAATGTACCTCGAAAAGATCCAGCAGAAGGAAGAAGTAATGATAAGAACGAAAACAGCACCAAAAAAGAAATGGGTAAAAAAATAATCATTGTACCCTTTGGCATCGTGCAGCTCTAGTTGCCAACTTGCCACGGACTACTAAGCTTAGTGTTGAGAAGCTCGCGTACGTAGAGCCTTGTCCTGCTCCATGTTCCTCGCTTACCATGTTCGTTTGTGTCTATCATGCCCGGCGAACTCATTTTGCGGGTTTTCCATTCTTTCTAGAACACGAGGCGCGGCGATTATCGAGAGTCAGCAAGGAGCTTGGAGCTACGAGCTTGGACCTTCCGGTCTCAAAGCTTTGTATTAGCCTGGTATTCGTCGGATACATACCGTCTTACACGCGAGACAGAGCAGGCAGTTCAGTATGGTAAAGAAATGCAGTGGGACGCGGGTCTACTGTAGGATCCATTCTCACGATCGGCCGATGGTATAATACGCCCTTTTGGTTATCTTACCTGAAGAAAATCGTCTAGGCGTTCAGGGCCAGGAGAGCGAAGTGTAATCTAATGGTAACCAACCACATTAAACGGGTAAGATATTATGTATTGCTTATACAAGAAAATCAAAAATTCAATAAAATAAAACAAAAAAACAATCACCTCGAATTATCTTTAGCTCAGGTTAGAGGTCAGACCATCAACCGTTGCCCGCAATTAGGCTGCAGATGACCGACGATCTGCCAGCCGCTGATCAGACTGCGTAATGAAAAGCGAAAAAAAAAGAAAGGAGAAGCCCGATGCCTGACATCACGCGGGACATCTATTGTCGCCGTTGGTTAGCTAGTAAGTGGAAGTAAAGCGTGAAGTATATGGAGTACATAAGCAGTCATGACTACAGTAACTAGTAGTCAGGCAATCCATCCATGTACAGTGTAGTCTATATCGTATGAACAGTATCTACGAAGCACAGTCTGCATCAACCAAGGCATTTCCGAACTACCTGGCCGATCCAACGCGACATCCGACTCGAGTGGAGTATGTACCAAACCTCGATACACGGCTCCAAATGACTTCCCTCCATTAATTCATTTTATTCGAGGTATTATTGTTTTCTATATTTTCTTCATGCTTCCAGGGTGGTGTGGAGATTGGAGATGAGGGGTGAAGAGGGGGAGGGAAGCAACTCGGCTGGATCGCTAGAACCAAAGACAGCCGAGCGGGATATTTTGTTGTCCTGCACGACGCCCGGTGGTGGAAACCATGTTTAGGAATTTTTGACTGTGCTCCCGGGTGTTGCCGATAAGTTATACATGGAAGTCACAGATTGAGGCACACCTTCAGACCTTCAGGACCCTCGGCCATCTCGAGAGCCACCCCCACTCGACACGGCCTTTTTTGACTTCTTCTTCTCCTCATTCCCCCAATGTGAATCATCCCGCGCGTCGGCGGGCTTTGGATGCCAAATTCTATCCTGCGCGATAACCATGGTTCGCTGTAGCTCGGAGTGTGAAGAGCATCCACTTACGCCCGTTCTGACAGGACAAGATACGAGCAGAGCGAAGTGGCTATGAAGGACTGTGGACAATTATCGATACGCACGGTGGACTAACTATGGATAACCTGACTCGCTCATCCTGCCTAAAGGTGACACCTAGCCGTCGGTTCCTAGAATAAGTTTGATGGACACGGAGATGATAGGCGAAGGATGGATGGAATGAATCATGAGAACCGGATTTCTGAGGCATTTCTTTCACCATGGGTAGTCATGTTGTCATCTCGTCACATCGTTACCTAGAACTGCGTTCCTTTTCGTTCTTCTTCCTCCATGTGTTGATGCCGTAGGAAGTTGGAAAAAATAATAGTAAAAAAAGGCAGATGCGTTGGCAGACGCAAATGCCCCCACCCTCTGCATCTGAGGCCAATTTGAGACCGCCTTAGCTCTTCTCTCCCATTCGCTCCCTTGTCCCAAGGCCACGGCAGGCGTCGCAACAGGTGACGGTTTGTAGTCCAATAGACGCCGCGCGTTTGTGTTGGTTTTTTAACTTTTCTGGCGGCATGTCTTTTTTTTTTTCTCTCTCTGTATTCAATCAAAACGGTGTACGATTCAAGTTGAAGACATTTTGAATAAATCCTTCATAATGCTGAGTTAAAAAGGGTCAAATGGGACCCTCCCCGAGATCCGGATGATTTCCGGCGGGGGGCTTTCCATTCCCTTCTACACCGTCTGGGTCAGAGCGTCTTCTCCCGAGCCCACTCGTTCATCAACCACGGATTAACTTGACCATGAATGATGAGGTGCTTCCACCGGAGCTCACATGGAGACCGCGTCTAAACTAGTACGGACCCCCGCCACCCCTAGTCCTAGTCCTTGCCATTGTCCTCGCCCCGAATTTTCCTAATCGCCAAGGGTGCAGCATGGAGAAGTGGGTGAATTGAAACATCGATCTAAAACAGAAAATGCAGGCGAGTCCGCGGTGGCTCTAATCTCTGCATGATTATCTACCTAGGCCCGTGCTGGGATTGGCTCGCATGGCCCCCTGCCCAATCCAATCCCTGCTACATCGCTGCTCGACTCCATCGCCAGTGTTTGGGGGAGGCTGGCCTATCAGCCAGGGGCGATGAGCGGAAGACGATTGCGCAGCAGCATTTTACTGCGTGCTCGTTTCTTTTTCATCCGGCTATATATTTTTTTTTTTTTTTCTTGTTGCAATGTATTCCGGACTGTGCCTTACTATACGTGCGATAATCTTACAGCGACTCCTGCACTGAGGATAATTACTTTTTAAGTCAAGGAATCTGGCAGATAGCCAACATCCACGTATAGAGTACGGAGTAGCTGACTGTAGATTCGATATCATAAGCCATCGCTTCGGTAATTAAAGAATACCACAATACGGCGGTAGACATCAATTCTGTACTTGGTACGGTAAACGGAGAAACGGCACAGGCGCGTCTCCACAATTTGTCATTTTCGTAAATAATTCGCGAATTTGAGAAACCGGCGCTAGGATTGTAAAAGGCTAAAGGTCAGTAACGTGCCTGTAATTTTTGCGTCTGGCAAGCATTGGTGTGGATTCCCCCGCGTGCGCTCATCATTTCCCAGCTTCGTATTTGACCGAAACCTGTATAAAACGATTCTTGAAAAGAAAAAGAAAAAATACTAAATAAGAAAACATGTTTCAAAGAAGCAAAATGAAGGATCCGCCCTGTCGAAAGGATGTTCATCATGGCGATGGAGACAACCCGTTCAACCAACGCGCTGCGGTCGAAATTGCCGCGCTTCATCAAGACAAAAGATGACCTTTTTGGCCACAAAAATATGAAATATTCGAAAGTTAAACCCCTCCAAAAGTTCAGAACCTAAATTGTCAACGTAAATTGACCATCGGTGACCGAATGTCACCGACGAGGAGCCAGGAATTATACCCGATCTAAAGAGAGGCTCGCCCTCGGAACAAATGGAGTAAATACTTTTTTTTTTCAATTCTCTCGGAAAGACCGAGTGGAACGCCATCAACGGATCACCACACCAGTGCAGACTTGTCCGATTTCTAATCTTCACGGAATTTTCAGATATCAATTTCAACGGTGGCGACAGGAATTTACCCACGATTAGGCTAGAGTCCAGATTTTTCATAGTCCACCTTTCCGAAGGTCCAATGCTACAGAACTTCTAAAAAATTAAAATAAAAGAAATAAAAGAAATGATATCAATACCCAGAAAGCACCGGACACGGAGCTCCTGGTCCGGTTCACCGGCCTCCAACCCTTCTTTTACTTCTCTGGGGGTGGAGAACGCTCGAGTTGCCGTTCAAGGCATATCCACTGGGAACGTCTACTACGACTACTACTTGCTGCTTGGTGAATCTGAGTAATGTTTGCCCCCCCCCCTCTCTAGTTCCTTGACAGAGATCCCACCCACATCAACCATACCCGTACCTCTCCTCGCCCCTGTTCGCCCCGAGCAGCCTGGCCTGTATCCGCGGTACGACGAATATAACAGGGGGCCAAAGGACAGCCCAGCCTGACCCGGACAATTGGTAGAGTACACCCAACAGTACTGTTAGCTTGGGACTATTTTCGATTTTCTGGATTTAATTTACTCCCATTTAATTGCATTTAATCCAAGTGCACTTTTGTTTCCTCATTTAAGCCCGTGTCTCCAGGTGATCGACCATCACTAGAATTCTTTCGATCGGCAAACCTTGCTTCCCCTTCTTACTTTTTTATTTCCAACCCTAGAGGTTAGATCTTTATACTTCCCCTTCTCCTCCACCTGTCAACCTGACACATCGGCGCTCTTCAGCCTGGAGATCTTGATCTTCAACCTCACGCTAATAGACAACTGCTGTCCCCCTAATCGACGTCGATTCTCATCTTCGTCATCATTACTCTATACTTTGAGAACGAAAGTATACAGGCCATCAACCATATATAACGGACCGTTCAATTTGGTTTCCTTGGTTCGCTCGACCGCACATCTCGGAAGAATACGATCAACAATATCACGGCAACTACCTTGCTTTGATAGTCTCGCAAAGGATCTAGACTGTCAAGCCCACGGGAAAAGAAGGAGACAAAGAGAAACGATCATATCATCGATTACATTAGATCTGCTCTCTCAGTCATATTTCCACCCGGGTCTCACCTAACTAGAGGAAAGGAACGAGAACGGAAAGACAATCCCCCGTAAGGAAGAAGGAAAGAAGCACCAATCTCCCACGCCACTATCAATACTCAATCCTACTACTACTACTACTACCACTACCATTATGGAGACCCGAACGGAAACATACACACGCCACCAACCACCCTCGGTACGGCAAGGCCGAATGAAGATTGACTCGCTGCTAAACCCTTCTGCTGACGGCGGGCCGGACGAGCACAGCAGCACGACGGGGTCGCCATACAGCCAGCACGCGACAATGTCATCCTCGTCGCACAGCAACGGCTACGCACTTTCACCGGGCTACCCACCATCCCCGAACCAGTATTGGTATGGACGCCATCAAGGCTACCACGACACCAGCCCGGGCGCAGCATCAACCGCCACGACGAACGTGAGCAGTGGCAGCGGTAGCTCACACCATCACCCTCATCACCAGCACCAGCACCAGCACCAGGGTCAAGGACATCACCAGAGTCAGCATTCATCAAGTGGACAGCACCACCATCACCACATGTTCCTGTCCTACCGACCCACGAACGGGTCTACCCACTCATCGCCGGACCCGTACCACCCACGCGAGCGGTACGACTCCGTCTCCTCCAGTTCCAGCAACAACGGCGACCGACGGAGGCCGCCACGCCCCAAGTACGAAGAAGAAGAGATGTACTTTATCTGGTACCACCGCGTCGACCTGTGTCAGGAGTGGAAGGAAGTCCGCGAGAGTTTCAACCGTCAATTCCCCAGCCGACAGCGGCGCGGGTTCCAGGGTATCCAGTGCAAATTCTACCGATTCATCAAGGAGAAGAAGTGCCCGACGCTTCGGGAGCAACGACGAATGCGCGATGGCGAGTTCCTTCGCGAGGGGGCTTCGATGGGGGCTGATTCGGGGGCTCCACGATTTGGGGTGAGGGAATGGGCGAACGTATGGTATCCATGGATGCGCGAGGGTGAAGAGATGAGCCAGAGCCAGTCGCGTATGTCGACGTGATGACACATGGACTTACGACTCATGACTCTGTTTTTGAATCTTTCATTTCCTGCCTATTCTGTTCAATATCAAGGGAACGATGGGACACCTGGAGGCTATTTGTCATTTTTTTCTGCGCCTTTTCTGTTCCATGATACCTTGGTGGGAGTTTTTTGGACCTGGCTTTTCAGCAATCTTGGACTTTTTTTTGGCGGGAATATTCTTTCGCTTTGCTTTTGGGAATCTCGGGTCTTGGGAGGTCATCGTCTGTTTTAAGTGTTTTGGGTGGTTTATTCTGCCTTTCTTGGACTCGTCACATTGGGAGGAATTTCTGTAGGCATTTGACTCGCGCTTCCTGCCTTTCCTTTTCATGTCTTTCTACTATACCTACCATCATCTACTGCGGTATTTATTCCTACTATAGTCAACACCTCAATTTCACGATCATAGAATGATCAACTCGTTCGTCAGACGCATCCTTCTGCCACACCGCATAATACCGTCCACTCGGATATTTCCCAACTCGTTCACCAACTCAACACTCCTCCCGTCAAAGTAGCAACGCCCACCCGTCCAGCTAATCAGATCCCAGTCAACGACTGTCCGAGCGATCATGCAAGATGAAGTCTGCAGTCCGCCATGCCGCCCACGCACCTGCCAATACAAGACCATCTACGCTGACCCCCCTCGCCCAGTCCTCCAACCCGAGGTCCTCGACAATCATACGCTGACCCATGGGCCAATGGAGCTAGAAAGCCCTGTCATCTGCACAGCACCTGAAGATGCAGTACAGCCCAACACGAAAGAACAAATCGAACCGAGAAAGAACCGTTCGCCTCCTTCGTTGAGTCAAGGACCCCAGATCCTGCAGTCCTCCAACCCCCAATCCTCGGCCACCGAGTCATGTCAGACCCTAGTTTTGGGCTGTGTACGCGCAAACCCGGCTCCATCCATTGCGACATGCTAATCCTTCAATGGGGTTACGGTGCTCTACCGCATCCTACAAGTGAACGGGTGTCCCAGGCGGGGAAAATGGAGTCACCGAGTCGCCCGCAGGAGTCATACATTCCCTGTGTTTTCGAATTGTACCAGAACAGCCCCCTTTTTTGCACTTTTCTACGGGGGCGGGGGGTATCGCTGTTCGTTCTCATTTCCGTTCTTGGATTCGATGCGTTGGCCCTGGGGCTGTAAATCGGGGGACGTTGTGATGCATGTTGTTCCATATTAATATATATATCAAGATGATGTCGGACTGTCAATTGGTTAATAGAAATATGTAGGTAAGAGACCACACGGACACCCTCCTTGAGGTAAAAATCCAGAGCCGACTACAGTGTTTACGACATGCTTGTAAGCATTGACAGATTAAGAGCAAATACGGAGATCCTGCAACTGCCAGAGCTTCACGGCTCACACTTGAGGAACAGCTCAGTCTCCAAATAGAGGATGACGATTCCTGGTGGGGGCAGCGATCGACGATCTCGTTCCCTGAGGATCCAGCCCCGGGCGGGCTTCTAATTTCGAAAGGAAAGGGATTCGAATTGATCCCCACGACTCGCCAATAATTTCCCAGAGAAGACGCGTGTTCCGGAGATATCAGATATTTGCACTCGTCGTGAACTAATTCGGAGGATACGAGTGGGAAAAGTCTACGACATGCCACCTAATCGGCATCTCGTCCTCGGCCGGTTGGCATACCCACAGAGCCGCAAGGCAGACGCCCAAGGCACAGTAGTAGCTACCCTAGCGTGGCGGGTTCTCGGCCAGCCTCGCGCAGTACTCCGTACACTTTACTCCGTACAGAAGGCAAGTATCCCCGTCGATGTAGGATTTGTTTATTTAAGCGAAGATGTGACTTGGCAGGGTGCAACTACAAACACCGACCACGCAACCACTCCGTCCAATACTCCGTACAGTCGAAAAATTCCCGTCCCATGTCCGTCATGTCACGCCTGGACAAAGATTGATCCCCCGATCCAATTATCCGCGCCCAAGTCATGTCTCAGCCTCACAGGACGCAACTAACACAAGCTAGTGCAGCGCGGCCACGCGCGAAAGCACGACAGTCGCAGGACAAGCTAGACACGGAGGAGGCTAAGTAGAGAGAGTCTGGCCAGAACAATACATACAAGTATACATTCGGCCTAAAGCTCGGGGATACAAAAACTCCGTCGTACGGTACACAAGATACCGAGTCTTGTGTCCTTCCCTTTGGCTCCATATTCGAAGTACGGTTCGTTCGTTTAGCTCATCTAGCTCACGAGTGGACTTGGCTCGTGCGTTTGGGGGCCGTTACGAGATCCAAGTTTCGGCATTTTCTGGATTTTCCTAAATGGGATCATGGCCCAATTTATTGAAATGTACTAGACCCGCAACTACAGGAACACGGTTTAATTGAACCTTTAGTACCTCACACTAACAGGGCGATCCAGAACCGGAGGACGCGGAGCGCGGAACACGGAGTATTTACGGCGAAACTAATCCATCTTAGCGAACTAGTTGAACAAAGCTACGCGGTTTAGGCCAATAGAGTCTCTCGTAATTCAATAACCTGTCAAAAACACTTTACGCAGCGACTCCACCTTTAGTACTTTAGGCAAGAGTTCGGCTGTTCAGGGATGTGGGGACGCGATTACGAATACACGCCCGGTGGAGTTGGAGTTGGAGCTGGAGCTCTGCTCTGCTCTGCTCTGCGACGGGCGGATGCACTCTCCAGTCGAGAATTCATATGTATGCCCCGGTCTCTCTGCTGTATCCTAACGCAGGCGACCCTAGATCAATGTAAAGAGGACAGGGCATCCAGCGCTAGAACATGCTTGTGTGCTTGGGCCTTTTAGCGGGCGTGCATGAGCGGCTATGAAGGATCTCCAATGACTGATAGAATCGAACCCATTTCACCGCGAGGGGCTAATGCAGACACGTTGATGTTAATGTCGGTGTTGGTGGGTAACATTCGATACTCAATACTCAAAAACTCGAGGCATCCCGTCTCCCCAACGCACGCAGAACGCATTTGGCGCCGCAAGCCCTGGAAATGGTTCAGACCCCCCACCATAGGATAATGTATGCCCGGTCGTACCTACGGCCTTCAACCGAGGGCACAAAAAGCAAAAAAAAAGGAAAAAGAAAAAGAAAAAAAAAACACAGATCCCTAGAGGAAGGAGCCTTGTATCTTCAATCCATACCCTCGAACCAAATCATCACGGAAGCGTTCATCGAGTACATCGATTAACGCGATCGTGCTAGTTTACCCGAAGCCATGGTGGGCGGGTCGCGCGGACAGAATATCCGAGCAAATGGAAATCCTCAAAAACAAGCCATCGCCGTAGCCTCGTCGTGCTAGATTCGTGGCGAGATGGGCTAGTGCTGATGACCGGTCGAGGGGGAACGGGGGATCGTGAATGTTTGCGGATCAATGTATGGGCAGATGGATAGTGGAGGATTCGGCGTTACGAACCAGAGCAACGAATGAGATGGGAAGGGATGACCGCATCGTGGTATGATCACCTGTCTGACCTTGCAGCTGGATATGCATTAGTTATTAAATGTGTGATGGACATGACTCGAGTCACTCGACGGGACTTTGTCGGTGGTTAATTTCTTTGACAGGGTGAATCTTCTACCAAGGTTCGTACTTTTGCAAATCGAGTTTAGAGTACGAAGTAAGCTACGGATGAAGCTGCAATTCCCAGATTATCTTCAGATTTCTAGATCGGTTCCTAGTGAACCGATCTCTGAATCTCTGTATGTGTCGATCAGATGTGCATCTTTGTGATATCCCCTTTCATTCCTCCTCGGAAAGTGCACATGGAAACAAGAAAAGCAAAGCCTTGATCGCAATGACGATTCCCCAAACGCCAGAAGGTGGACCATGTATCCCTTGGTGGTCAGAGAGTCGTGCGTACCACGCTCTGTCTCGATCATGTCGAATTGTCGGGATAAAGCAAGTTCGGGGAAACGGAATGCGATTAGGCGGCGGCGACGACAGCGGTGGCCATCCGGTTAGGAACGGCATTGTCGTGGAAGCCCGTGGCGACCTTGCTCCTGTTGATACACGTAACATCGTTAGTACACGCTCCAACCATCCTTTGCCTTCATAACTGATCGAAGATTGACTTACGGGTCAGCCACGAACTCGGTGGTGTGGTTGGCCCACTCCTCGTTGTCATCGAGCTTTTGCTTGAAAGCCCAAGCGTCGACAATGCCGCAGAAGAAGAAGAGGGCAGGGATAGCCTGATACCCCACCGTCAGTGAATGTTATCTCTCTCAGCAATCGTTCATCACAAAACATACCTTCTCCTTCTCGCTGTAGAACTGCATGTGATCCAGTTCGTAGTTAAAGGCGAGGCCAGTCAACGCCTTGGTCTTCTCTGCGTCGAAGACACCGTCCACACGGACCACGCGGGAGCCACCAGAGGCAATCTTGCTCTGCATGGCAGAAGTGATCTCTTGACCACGGGGAGCCTTCTCAACGAGCATGGTGACATACTCGTCATCGCTGCCAGTCTTCTTGACACGGATGCCGTTGGCGTGGACGGACAGGTACGCGTTGCAGGCTGCCTCCTCGCAGAAGATCACGGTAATCTCCGCCATCTCCGAACGGAAGATGTGCTCGACAGCACCACCATAGACGAGACCGAAGACATCGGAGAGGTTAAGCCAGTTGGGAACGTCCTTGAAAAGGAGGACGCGGGCAGGAAGGTAACGGGACTTCTTGACGGGGCTACGGGAAGAAGTCTCGATAGGCAACCTATAGCCGTTGCGGGCGACTTTGGCAATCCAGACGGCGTAAGATGCCATGAACGCCTCATTGCTGGCCAAGCCGGGGTTGGGGTCGTAAGCGTGGAGAGCATCAATCTCAGCTTGCGGAATGAAGACGTCTGCCTCGGGGTTGGTGCCAGCGAGGGTTTGGGCATCCGTGGAGGTCGACTGGATAAGGTCCTGAACCTGGCATTCAGATTTGGGTCAGCCATGATCTTGATATGGAGGGAGATCTTGCAAGAGACTCGAACGTGTCTTCTTGCAAACCGACTAGCGGGGTTCTCAAAACAATGTTTCAAGGTGTGGGACAGATACATACAGTTGCGACGTTTGGATTTCCGACGAAACAAGTTCCGACGAAAGGAACACGGATCTTGGTCTTGCCAATGTCCTTCTTGATGCCAAGGTCATTGGTAGCGAGGTTCTTGCCAGCAACGATGTCCTTGTCCGCGACGTCCCTGACACTTTCATTAGTGATGGCGTAGTTCTGGCCATCCTTCTTGAGATTCTGTTATGAGTTCGGATGTTGTCAGCACATGTTTATCAGAGGCAGTCGCGACCCGCAACACCACCCATGACGGTGACGTCAACGGTTTCCCCCGTTGACCAGGGCTGATCAGGTCACGTGCGGTCTCGAAGTATATAAAAATCAACAACTCAAAAAAGGCTTAAGACATACCTCGTTCATCAGGAGACTACCCGAGAGATCAAAGGCGGGGCCAGTGACTGGATTAGCAGGAACCCAGTAACCAGGAGCGCACATGATGGCGTCCAGGGGCTGTAGCTCTGGGCCACGCTTCTCAAGGATGAGGGTGTCGCCGACAGCGCAGGGCTGCTGGCCGTTAACTTGTCTCTTATCAGTGAGAGGCATGATTTCCATCAAGGGGCCATCAAAGAGCATCATTTTGAAGATGCGATTGAGATGGTTGGCAAGTGAATAGTGGGAATGGGCAGTGGGAACGCAGCGAGAACGAAGCGTCAAGGAGGGGTGGGAGCAGAGACTGCGAGGGGAGTGATGGTGGGAGAGGTGGGGTGGGAGAAAAGAAGAAGAGAATGAGAAGGGTGAGGGTGAAAAGAAAAGGGCGATTGAGAACGATTCAAACAGGCTGGGGCCACTGCTTCCCCAAAAAAATCCCGGAATCCAACGACTCATCGCAACGACTCATCGTGGCGACTCATCACAAGCAGGTAGAATCTCAGGAGGTGGGTACTAGCAAACGATTGCTCTGTGGAGCGCTTGTCATTTTTCGGGGAGGCTGCTATCTAGATCGTTACCTCTGTGCTACTTCCCCTTCTTCCAACAATATCAGTACCCGGCAGGCAACGCTGTTTTTAGAATTGATATCTGCCATGGCATGGTATTCGTATGACGAGGAAAAGGCCTACAGCCTAGAGCTTAGAAACGGGAACTTGACGTAGAAGGAACGAATAGATTGTTAGCATGGGAGAATCTGTCCCTCGGTATCTTCAATTCATGGTGTTACCTGCTGCCGAGATTGAGAGGAAAGTAGTTGACCAAGTGCGGGTTTCTCGAGAAAAGTAAAGCTTTCTGGCCAAGAGTGATAATCAATAGATTTGCACGGGGGGGGGACCAAGTATAAGCGCCGTGGATACTCATCAGCAAATTGGAAGACCTTATTAAGGTGACCGCACTGCTTTCACGGCATCGAATGGAGTGCCGAGAGATCTGGGAGTCGAAAATCGCTGAAATCCCTATCTTTGATGTCCTTGAATAGCTCGGCAGAGAATCAAACATTGCAAATAATACAGATCTGGCTTGAGATCAATATTCTCTAGACTCCAGATCCACTGATTTGCTTGCACGGAATGTATGGGAAATCCACGGATGAGGGTATAAAGCATCTGTCAGGTCGGACAACCAATTACTGCGATGCAACTAGCCAGCAAACAGCAAAATTAAACGATGCTCTCATACCGGAGTCTAATTGAATCAAAGGTTTGCGAGGTATGCTTTAAACAGTATCTACCAAGCCACAGGACTCGTAGTGCTGCCGATTATCTAGGGCGACTTTGGGGGAAGTTCTGACCAATTGGCTGTCCTGCAAATTCTAATCAACCTGCAAGGGAGTAATCCCTGATTAATGGCTACATTAAAGTATTCGGGGTACATGGTTGACTGCAAAAGCTCTGTTTGATTGGTACATCAGGATGAAAGCCATACTACGAGTCGCTGTGGAGTCTTCAGCATCGCAATTCAGTAATCTTATCTTCTGCCAATCCATTATTTCCTCTTATCGCGTATATCTCAACCAAGGAAGATTAAGTCCCACCAAGACTGGGTGTCGTGGGGGCATTACCAATGAGGTCATGACCATCAATCCCGTCGCTTACTCTCGCGGCCTACATGACCATTCGAGCTACCTCGACGAGATAGAAAAATTGAGAGACAAAAAATCAGATAATTCTGGAAAGATATCATCAGTGCAAACGGTCGGAGCTGTCGGCTGGCTTCTGGCTTCTGGATTGCATTGCAGACAAATGGTACATGTCATGGCCCGTTGGTCTGGTGGGGAGTTGGTGACGTAGCCAGCTTGGAGAATTACTCAATAGCAACTGGACCGCTGTACTTTGTGCTTTCTCCCCTTTTTCCATCCCTTTCGACTACAAAAGCTCATCCGTTGCCAATTCCATCAATCCATTCCTCTACAAATTCTTCATCCTCATCCATTTCGGTCGTGGTCAGTCCAGTTGACCCCGCTTACGCAATCATCCATTCCCCGCACCGGCCCCGTCCCTGACCCCGCCAATATCTCCGAGCATAATCAGCATCACACCTCACGAGATCAACATTACACACCACGACAGCCATCACCATGTCGCAATTCCATTTCGCCAACTCCGACGCTCCAGTCCCGGGCAATGGCGGCCTTCCACCCCCCGAGTTCACGATCACCGCCCCCTCCTCCACCGACATCTGGTCCAAACCGCCCTCGACCACACGCTTCTCCGCACCAATCCTCTACCAATCCATGCCCCTGACCTCCTTCAAGCGCGTCCGTGTCGCCATCAATGCCCAGTGGCAGCACCTCTACGATCAAGGTGGGATCATCCTCGTCCTGCGCAATGCAGACGGATCCCAAAAGTGGGTGAAATCGGGCATCGAGCTCACCCACGGCAAGCCGCATCTCGGGGTGGTAGCAAAGGACCGTTGGGCGGACTGGAGTCTGTTGCCCGTGCCGTCTGGTGGTGGGGCGGCGACGATTGAGATGGTTCGGGAGGCAGATGGTAGTCTATGGATTTATTTGGTGGAGGGTGTGCAGAAGTCACCGATTCGAGAGGTGACGTGGGTGTTTCAAGAGGAGGGCGTGGAAGAGGTGTGGGTCGGTGTATATGCGGCGAGGCCGGGGGGAGAAGGGGGTGAGTTGACGGTCAATTTTGGACATCTCATTGTTGATACGGTTTGAGTTGGGTATAGAGTTGTGAATATTTGTATAGGATTGGTGGTTAGCGTTCCAGGAGGAGATATTTGAGCATGTTTACATACCGTGGGAAGCGATAGATTCAATATCGAGATGCCCATGATTACTGGGATACGGTGATTCGTATCGACTGGCTTTTTTGGATCTCCAAATCCATACTGTAAGGTACCTAGTCATACTGGAATCAAGTAATGCGAGTTGGTAAAGCATGTGTGAGGCACAGCCATACCTCTACTTGGAAAGCAAGCCGTAGGTAGTGATCGCCCGAGAGTGTAAATTCTGCTGGCTCTGTCCATCACGGGCTAGTTCATATCGCTCCGGATGGCCATCATGACGAGGCAAGAAAGACGAATGTTCCATTTGGTGTGTAGTAGATGGGTGCATCGGCCCAGATCATTGACTAGCAAATGATCGCCGGTGGGATACACAAGGACGATCACCCGCCATGGCGATCAAATGACTGTAAGACGGGCATCTATGGTTATTCTATTGACCGATGACTATATATTTAATACTCTGCTCCTTCGTCTATCACTGTAGTCGGATCAGAGTGAGCTTGATGATGAGCGATCCGATGCTCGCAGCCTTCGACTACCTCTCGTGTGTTCACCATGCCGTATCTAGTCTAGACTAGACCCTAGAAGTCGTACGACTCATCGCGGCTCTCGGCCACGTGCCCCCGGACCACGGAGTCTGGAGTCACACCACTGCAGGTCGCGTGTGCATCGAAAAGGCATCACTCAACCATCTAGCGGGATTTCCTCATTGCTGGTCTCACTGTGGATCCCTTCTCGGACTAACCAAATCTCTTGGACCATCCTCTTCCTCTCATCCCCGTCATAACAGCCCCTCGTTAAGCGGACCCACTCCGACAAAAAGCCCGGGGATGACCATTGACCACCCGGCGGTCCCAAACCGACGAACCAACGTCTCTGCCAACATCTTATCGATCAATCATATCTGATGCTGCCTAGGCTTGGCTGCTTCATATAGGTTGACCTCCTTTAATATTTGCAAGTCATGACAACTCGCCCGGCACGAGAAGTCTCCTCTCACATTCATTCGCCCACTTCGGAGTTCCCCTTCCGAGTCTCCGCCGTGGTGGACTCGTGGCTCGTAATTTGGGCCATTAACCACTGACCTTGGACCAGTGACCCCCGTGTCTGTCCGAAGCCTGACCTGTCACCCTTGCCACGCCCGTTGACGCTCCACCAGTCACTCTGGCTAAATGCGAAACCGCCCGTCGCTTGCTCATCTTCAACAGATCTCTGGACTCTCTATCTCTCTCGTTCAACTCCGATACCATCAACAGTCGCTGGGCAACAAGCACCATGCACACAGCACCTGCGTCACTCCCGCCCATGATCGCCCGTCTGACTCATTGATCTGATCGTGCTACACCCTGCGGAAATGCGGACGCTGAGGTCGGACCGCGCCTTACAACTCGCTTCTTTGCCTGCAGTCCCCGTCGACGTGCATAAGTGCGACCGACGATCGGTGCTCCAACTCATCCCTCTTTTCGGCCTTCCTTTCCAAATTCTACCAGCTTGAAGATTTGCTTCTTTCCTTCACCCCACCACTGGGCGCCCCCTCGATCCAGTCCATCTCCCCTTGCAGACGACTGCAGTTGGGCGCCTTTATCGTGTTGCTTCAACACTAGCTCTATCCCCACCACGGCCAAGCCCCGAGGTCATTCCTCTTGATCGCGGTTCGTAAAGACACGGCGGATCTACCCATCCCGCCCACCCACTGCCGAGAAAACCGGCTTGTTCAAGCATAGCCTTTTATGGCTTTATCGACTCCCGCGCTTGCCCTGCTTCCTATTCCGAACGCAACACTGCTGCACTGTACCTCATCCGTCTCCCTTTTCGCCCATGTTTCATGCGTTCATTTGCTTACTATTCTCCTGAACGGCCCGGCTGATTTGTTGGCGGCCGTATTTTGTGTTTTCTTTTTTTTTCCCTCCTCTTCAGCTCTCTGTCGGTGGATCTGACTGGTTCAGCCCGCCCCCAAAGGAAAACCCCCCCAAAACCTCGCTGGAGTAGACGGTGCCCAAACGGTGGTTAGTCAAACAGCAGGACATTTCTCCCCTTTTATGGTGATATGCCCGCCGCCTATCACGCCCATACTGCATGAAATATTTTTGATGGTCCTGATATCGGTTCTACCATACTGATCGAGACTACGCCGTTCTACTGTCCCAACTATCTCACTGGTCCCGCTATCTTTTGCTCTCAAGGATTCGACTTGTCTTTTGGGTTTCCTCTTTTTTTGTGAACATATGGACTCGCCTGTTCATTCTGACGCCCTGTAATTACTCTTTTCTTTTCGCCAGACATTACTGTGTGCGTGCACGCCCCGCCAGGCCGTGGAGATGCCCCTTCTCGATCCTCGCGCTGGTCTTTCCTACGGTGCTATAGAACAGCGGGATGATAATAGCAACATGGACGAGGAACGAGATCAATTACTCCGAGATGGGTACGAGACTGGGGGTGATCTCGGAAGTCCCGAGACCCCGGACGAGGCACAAGAAGGTGTTTTGAAAATCGAGGCGATTAATATGACATGGACAACGCGTTCGTTGCTTATCGCCTATGTCAGGTAAGTGTGGCTTGCAGCGGCGCTTTGCCTATTCTTCACGAAGCTGACTTGCATCAAGTATATTCCTCATGGCCTTTTGCACCTCATTAGAGGGTCAGACAGTCATGTCATTATCGGCATACGCTACAAGTGCATTCAGCAAGCACTCGTTAATCTCCACAGTGCTCGTCGTCCAAAATGTTGTCAATGGTGAGTTTCACTGCGGGGTCGCACACGCACAGGAGCCCCGAGTCACCGCCACTGAAACCCGCCACTAACTTGTCCAAAACAGCCGTTATCAAGCCACCCATGGCCAAAGTTGCCGATGTTTTCGGTCGCTTCGAAGCCTTTTGTCTTAGTATCTTGATTTACGTCCTGGGTTATATACAGATGGCCGCATCCACAAACGTTCAGACCTACGCTTCAGCCCAGATTTTCTACTCTGCCGGTTCCACGGGCTTGCAGATTCTCCAGCAAGTCTTTATCGCTGATAGCAGTGACTTGCTCAACCGTGCCTTTTTAGCCCTTTTGCCGGAGTTTCCCTTTTTGGTCACCGTTTGGCTCGGTCCGACCATTGCCGATGCGGTCCTGCGATCATCGTCGTGGCGATGGGGTTACGGTATGTGGGCGATCATTTTGCCTGCAGCTTTCCTGCCGCTCGCGATGTCGCTGCTGCTGAATCAGCGCAAGGCTCGACGGTTGAATCTGATCAAGACATCTCGGAACAAGAAGAATCAGAGCTTCCTCGGCATCGTGAAACGAACCTGGTATGATCTGGATGTCGGTGGGCTGACCTTGTTGTCTGCCGCAGTCACCTTGATCTTGGTGCCGCTGACTCTGGCGGCCACATCGAAGAAGGGATGGGGAAGTCCCAGTATCATTGGCATGATGGTTTTCGGCGTGGTCTGCTTGTTTATCTTGCCATTTTGGGAAGGCTCCCGGAGAATGGCGCCAAAGCCTTTGCTTTCTTTGCACCTTCTGCGTCAACGAACTGCTCTCGCGGGCTGCGCGTTGGCGTTCTGGTACTTTAGTGAGTATTTCCCGTGATCATCACTCTATCAAGGTGTCAGAAAAAGTTCTAACCTTCTTGCATAGTGGCTTTCTACTTCTCCGTTCAACCATATCTCTACTCTTATCTCCAGGTTGTCCAAGGCTACGACGTTGCCACCGCTGGACGCGTCACCCAAACCTTTGCTTTTACCTCGACCATCGCTGCATTCACCGTTTCCCTCCTCATTAAATATACCCGACGATACCGCGTGTTCGTCACCGTCGGCTGCGTCATCTACATGATGGGCCTGGCGTTCATGCTCCTTTGCCGAGGTGAAGGCGCCTCCCATGCTCAAGTCCTCGGCGCACAGATTATGGTTGGCTGCGGCGGCGGTCTCCTCAACGTACCCGTTCAACTGGGCGTGCAAGCCTCCGCAAGCCACCAAGAAGTCGCAGCCGCGACCGCAATGTTCCTGACCTCGATGGAGATGGGCGGTGCCGTGGGAGCCGCCATCTCGGGTGCGATCTGGTCGACCTTGATCCCGAAGAAACTGATGCAGTACCTGCCGGACGAGACCAAGTCCGAGGCAGGCGAGATCTTCGGCAAGTTGACCACGGCGCTATCATACCCGCCGGGATCGCCGACACGCGATGCGATCAATCGTTCCTACCAGGAGACCATGAACCGGCTCCTGACACTAGCTCTTCTCGTGACGCTGCCGCTCGTCCCGCTCAGTTTAATTATGGAGAACTATAGACTTGACAAAGTGAGTCGTTGTGGAAAACTCCGATCCCGAATGTTCTTTGTGACAAGAACCATGATGCTAACCGTCATAGATGAGCCCGAAGAGCAGTGCCGACCACGATCCCAACATCCCACTCCCCGCCGAGGCGGAATCCGACTCTGATGACACACACGACAAGCGGACGTAGACACCCAACATTCAATTTGGGTGTCTATCGCCGCCCGATATGAATGCCACGATATTACGAACTGCATCTACACGTTTCGTCTTCCTTTCCGATCTATTGACACATCTTTTGCATGGCATTCTTATTGCATGTTTCATGTCGAAACCTCAGCAATTTGGCGTTTTATTTTCACCTTTGTTCAGTGCGAGTCTTGATACATATTTTGGTTTTTCTTTGTCAGCCTTGATCCCTTCTGATCTCCGAGCCGACATGACGCGATTCGATCTGCGATCTACTTGTTTTGGTTTCAACGGATCCTCGAGTCTGCGTTTTCTGCACCTTTGCCCTTTCATCCATTCCCCCCTGCATTCGGCATTTCCATTCTTTGCTTTGTAGACGCATCCACCCGAGATTGTGAATGAGGTCCACCCCTCATTTTTCGCTTCATCGCCAGCTTTTGGTTCAGGGCTGGAATTTATAGACTTGTCTGCTTGTCTGTGTAGAATGACACGCGATGAAACAAGATGAACATGACAAGAACGTGAATCTCCTGTCTTCAATTTCCTCCATCCCATCCAGACCACAGCTGGGTATGGGCAGTACCGAGAGCATTCCAACCGTCATCTGTTTGCAATAATCCGTACCAGATTTGTACGTAGAGCCCTGGTAGGTTATTGTCTGTATGCATAACGCAGCCAGACCGGACAGGCGTTCTAGACGCCCTTCGAACAATCAGAATTGTGATTTTGACCGCGCCGAGAGCCGAGATGGTCGATTTGCCAATCGAGGCGGTCAAATCAGGGTTCCATGCAGAACGCGTCGTGCCAAAAATAGCATCTTGATCTTCTACTAGATGCTGACAATACCTCGACAATGCATGCACGCCTCATCTCAACGGGTGTCATTTACCAGACGCACAGTTGACAATAGAGCCAGGCATTGTATCCCGCCGATCACTTTCGAGCTATCATCTTTCTGGATATCAGTTGACGAGGGCGTGTTATCTGAAACCTGCACTGCTTCACAACAATACCTATCTTCATCCGCTCGTATACTCCCACATACACCCAAACCCGATTGCTTCGAATCGGGTAAGACCCGTTTCTGGGGGTGCACTAGATGATCGACACCGTCCACCAGCTGTCGTACCCTGCAGAGACTCCTACGCGAGTAAAGTAAAGACCAAACACATCCCTCAGACTAGCCAGATACGTCCTGAATATCTCTTACCCGCCTCAAGCGATCATCCAACAATCTACACACTTGATCAAAATCCTCAAACCACTAGTACCAAGCATACACGCCTCTCAGTCCCAAGCCTCAGTCGGACACCGAGTCGGCTTCCAGATGCACGTACCTGCATCCAACTGCATGCAGAGCCTGACGGACAACGGCCCGACCACCTCCCGAGCAGCGACGGCGTGGGCTCGGACTTGCATTGGGCTCTGGGGCGTCGGGGTGGTCAAGGGCCCCTGCCAAGGAGACGCGGGCGTGAGCGTGTACCTGATTATGGTACTGGAAGATGGAAAGTAGGTACTGTAACTCGTATAAACTTTTCTGGTCTTCCCAGGCGATGTGGTATAGAGTACAAAGGAGGTACATATTGTTCTGGCATAGGTACGAGTTGAGAGAGGGATTGCCAGCTCCGAGGAGAAAAGGGAGCTCTGAGGTATAGAGGTATAAGATCAGGTGCAATCTCTACGCTACATCGGGAGCTGTTTGGGTGAAGGATGACGATATCGTAGCCACGGCAGACAGACTTAGAATCAATCTCACATCTGCTATAAACAGACACTCGCCTGAAGAAGATGCAAAACTAACGAGGAACATAGATTTTTTTTCATCGAGTATCACTACTGTATACTATACATACGTCTTCCGTATCTCAAAGTCAGGGGCAAAACGGGGGAAATGGGAATTGGCCTGCTGGCCCCCCTCAATCGGCTCGTGACAAGATCGTGTCATTCCCATTTCGGGAGTAGCAGGTAGTGGTGGCTTGATTAGAGTCCTTGGGGGCGGGCTTCTGGAAGAAGTGAAAAAAGGGGGTTTCCGTCATTCAGGGGCTTGGGCGGAGTCCGAACCCTGAACCGTCGGTATATCATCGATTCGATTTTGGTTTTTGTAGGGGTATTTTGGAAATTGTATAGAATAAAGAGTATGTTCTATTACGTGTCTAAAGAGCTGTAGGATTATTGAAAAACAAAACAAGTGTTATAAAGTATGCGTTGGTGATACTTAGCTTTCAACGGGCGGCAGAGGAGCATTTCGATCAGATTAAATACATCTAGGAACGAATCGAGTATAGCTTGGTAATGATGGGTGTTTCGTGGATATATTACTGTCTTTTTTGCATTTTGCTTTGTTGGAAAGACGACGTACTTCTACTACTCGGAAAGTACGTTTCGAGTGATTTGCTTTTTCCTTGTCTGAGCTTTGCAGTGAGATGAAGGTTTGATAGGGGTAGAGTATACGAGGACGATGCCGCGAAGTCAATCCAGGCGGGTACGGAGTATGTATTCCAGTTCTCCATTTCTATTCAGATCCATTTGGCTTGGTGGATCACAGCGCTTAGCCGATGGCAGGCAGCCATCACATCGAGGGAAATGGGGGGAGCTTCATTTTAGATCCTGCAATTCTGAACGGGGCTGGAATCTCTGCCCTAGATGGGACTCCGTACATCATACTAATTGAATAGTTAAACGTCAATACCGGATCTTAAGGAAAGGTTACACTAAAAAGATCAAGTAGAGCATTTTCGGGCCCTACAGTTATTAGGATGATCAGGAATCATCGTATTGTTCAGTGTCTTCGTATAATATTATTAAATTATTCTGCTGTGCATTTCAGTATGAGCGACGGCGTATAATACTCCGGACATTAATCGTGAATCTCTCGTACAAAACCCGCACGATGAAAAAACCGTCTAGACTCTGGTCTCTCGACCACCACGGGGCCCCAGTTATTTTGCCGCTCAACCAGTGAAATCCCATGAATCACACTGGGACTTGGGCTTAAACTGGCGCCTTCACGTCTCCTCTTTAGGAACTCGCCCACTGACCACTCACACGGGTTCCCAGCACCAGTCCAGTCCAGTCCAATCTGGTCCACCTCCTTGTCACCTCTCCTCTTTCTCTCGCTCTCTCTCTCTACGGCTCCCGTCTCCCTCTCGTCCTCTGGCCCACCTTTTTCCTCCACCGCTGCCGCTGCCGCTGCCCGCTGCACCTCCAACCTTCTCTCTAATCTTGGGACCTTTCATATTTCCACCACCACCACACCTTTACTCTTCCTCCTCTCGCTCTCTCTCTCTCTCCTCCCCCTTCCCTCCTTCCATCTGGTTCATTCTCCTCCAAAGACAAATATGGTTGTCGCTACTATCAAGTATCGTCCTTCCCTCTCCTCGGTGCCCCCCTCTTTATGCTCCCGCTGCTCTGATGCCCTCGTGTAACCCCCTCCTGATCCGAGGGCGCAACATTATTCTCACCACAAAGCAANCCCCCACACCCGCGATCTCCTCATCCGCCCAGAATCACGTCTCCCCCCCTACTTCTTCCCAGCTCATGCTAATCACCAATCCTTTCTTCTAGGTGTGTCGTGGTCGGTGACGGTGCCGTGGGTAAGACGTGCTTGCTCATCTCCTACACAACCAACAAGTTCCCTTCCGAATATGTCCCCACCGTCTTCGACAATTACGCCGTGACCGTGATGTAAGTCGTGTTCCACCGAGCTCCCTACCAGGAAAAATCGAAGAAAAAGCCGCACCAAAAGGGGAAAAAAACCCCAGACCGAAGAATATCGCGTCCTGACCTTTGTCCGCTTTGGGGGGGAGAAATAGGATCGGCGATGAGCCCTACACTCTCGGCCTCTTCGATACCGCCGGTCAGGAGGATTATGATCGCCTGCGCCCGTTGTCATACCCGCAGACCGACGTCTTCTTGGTCTGCTTCTCCGTCACCTCCCCGGCCTCCTTTGAGAACGTACGGGAAAAGTGGTTCCCCGAGGTGCACCACCACTGCCCCGGTGTGCCCTGCTTGATCGTCGGCACTCAGGTTGATTTGCGCGATGACCCCAATGTGCGGGAGAAGCTGGCTCGCCAGAAGATGCAGCCGATTCGCAAGGAGGACGGTGACCGGATGGCCAAGGACCTCGGTGCGGTGAAATATGTGGAGTGCTCTGCTCTGACGCAGTACAAGCTGAAGGATGTGTTTGATGAGGTATGTCCATTTCACCTTCTTTGTGATCTTCACTCAGCTTCAAGATGAGCTTCTCGGTCGACCGGGGAGCTCTGCCCGACTGCGCTACCATGACCGCTCATCCCGTGGTCGCGGTATTTCCTCCACTCGGTCTTGCTCACCGCTAACTCCCTCTTCTCTCCACTTAGGCTATCGTGGCTGCCCTCGAGCCCGTCGCACCCAAGAAGACAAGAAAGGGCTGTCTCCTGCTGTGATCCACTCACCCGTACCATTTTCACAGGTTGGTCCGGTCTCCGCCCCGATGGCTTTGTTGGCCATGAAGCCTCGACCTTGCCCTTTGACCATTCGCGGCTTCATCGCCAATCCAGATACGACGGAATGAACTTTTGTTTTGTTTTCTTTATTTTTCTCAGTTATTTTGGGAGGCAAATTACTTGGCTGGACTATGTTTACTGGGAAATCCACGAGGGAGAAGAAGAGAAAAAAAAAAGGGGGGGGGGAAACTTCTTTGTTATGAGCTAGCAATTGCTATCTGAAGCATCTCGGTCCAAATTGGATACGAGTTCCACGCCATGATTTCTGTGGTATCTTTTTTCCCTCAGCTTTGCTTCTTGCTCTGCTCATCCTCGATAGCTCCCATCTATCGCCTTTTTTTGGGCCCTCGGGGTTTCTCCTTCCCCTTCGACGAGATCGCTCCCAGTCTCCCTCGTCCTTCCGGCTTGCCTTCCTTCTACCATTCCTCCCTTTCTTTCACTCGTCCTCATTGGCTGCGATCGTGTCCATCTGTTGCTCATCCTTCGACGGGCAGATTTAGAACATCTCGAACTCCATACCCCTACTCTCTGCGGCGACCTGCTCCCTCCCCCTTCCCCCAAGCATCTCCGTGCATTCCATCCACTCCTTCGAAATCGACCAGCGACCGCGAGTTTATCCCTCCTCCCCTTTCTCGTGTCCCTCCTTCCCTCTGATCACGTACGACTTTTTTCGCACATCGATTCCCCCCCGTTGTTCCCCGCATCTTCCCCGCACCCACTTGTTGTTCACCTCTTTCATCGTCTCTCGGTGTTGGCCGTCAAGGCGTCGTGTTTTTGGCTGGCCGGTGATTTGCCGTGCTTTACTACCTTGCTTATCTTTATCATCAATCTACTACTGGTTTTTTTTTTCTTCCGATCTACGTGTGCGTTCTTGTCTTTGATTCTGCGTCGTTGTGGATGAACCTGGGGGATCTGGATCTCCAAAATTTGTCGGGTGCGTGGCCTTTTTTTTAGTCTTGTTTTCTTGCCCTCTTCTCTTTTAGTGGCGTCTTTTCTGATTATACTGCCGGACTCGAATGTGATCTTTATGCCTTGTCGGGTCCTCACTCCTTTTTGCCCATTCAATACAGCATCATCTTCATTCTGCTTGGTCCGTGCAAGGGTGTTATTTGCGTCGAAATTGTGCTTGCGTGTTTCTTGCTTGGTGACATGGTAGATCATGAGATCTTAGAACGCTGCAAACTGGACTATCAACCAATGGATAAATTTCTGTGGTTCTTTGTTGTCATGGTCGTATCGCAGAGCGGCCGAGGCCGACTGGAAGCTGGTATCGTGCAGTTGGCTCGATGGAGCGGCTGCTCTCGGCTAGTCGTGGCTGTAGACGGAGTTGATAGACCGACAAGTATCTCTGTCGATCTATACATGGTTGCGTGATAACATTGTAGTAACGGTCAAGGCCCTCGGCGACTGCGATATACAACGTACAAACGAGGATTGCTTATACGTAACCAGGAGGCAATGCGCTGTGGTGGCTTCATATCAGTCATATCAATCATTCTCTGCAATCTACAGTCATGAGTCTCGTATATACAATGCCCTTTTATCCATCCCATGTCATCATTTACAACTCGTCCTTGGCAGCAGTCTCCGCCTCCTCAACCACACCAACACCACCCGAACCATCCTCACGACGTCCATACCACCCACCCAGCTCCTCATCGACACCGGACTTGACCATGCTGGTAATAATCTCAAAGGCCACCTGCGCAGCCGCCAGTGCAGTAGTCTCACCCTTATTGTCATACGCAGGCGACACCTCGACAATATCGGCACCCACGAGATTCAACTTCTCCAACCCCCGGAGAATGCGAATGAACTCACGGGTAGTCCAACCACCGGGCTCCGGGGTACCAGTTCCGGGGGCAGTCGAGGGATCCAAAACGTCAATATCAACAGACAAATACACGGGCTGCTCGGGATCGTTTCCAATGCGCTGCATAATGACATCCACCACACCCATCGGGCCCAACTCATCAATATCATCGGCATGGATGCGAATAAAGCCCTGCTCGGGACTGGGCGTCGTATAATCCGCATCATCAACGCCCGTCAACCGCGTCCGCAGTCCCGCATGCGCAGAGGTCGAATTGCAAATCAGTCCCTCCCGACTAGCCTTGTGGAAGAAACTGCCATGGTTAAACTGCGACTGCTCACTTTGCCAATACGCCGAATACCGCACGGGATTCCACGTATCGAGATGCGCATCAAAGTGCAGCACCGTAATGGGCTTCTGGTAGATCTGGTACAGCGCCCTCAACGCCGGCAGCGCAACGCTATGATCTCCACCGAGCGTGACAAGCTTGGGGTGGCGTGCCCCGATCCCCGCACCGGCCAGGCCAGCAGGCGCGTTGACGATCTTCCGCGATCCCAGTTCCAAAAAGGCCTCGTACATCTGTCTCTCTGCGAGCCCGTTGTCAAAGGGCGTGATTGGGATGTCGCCACAATCGGTGATCTTGGCCCAGGATTGGTACGGGTTGATCCCCGCGCGGGTGTTGTAGCTGGTCCCGGGCAATTGGCGCGCGCTGGCGGCGCGGATGGCGCGGGGTCCGAAGCGAGCGCCCGGTCGGTAGGAGACTGCCGTGTCAAAGGGGGCGCCGATGACGGCGATGTCGAAGTTTTCGGTGGGTTCGATGAGACATTTGACGGGGCGGAGGTGGGCGAAGGTTGATATTCCGGAGAAGGACCACTAAGTCATGATGGTTAGACATGAGATATGGGAGAGGAGGGAAGAGGGAGGATATTCACCTCTTGATCCCACTTCTTGAGCAGTTCTTCGCGCTCGTGCTCCGGGACGACTTCGGCGTCGCCGTGGTGTGCGCAGGATACTGCGGTCCCGGCCAGGGCCAGGGCACTCAGTAGAGACTTCCAGGCGGGCATGGCTGGAGGGAATTATGGAGGAAAGACTGAACAAGGAGACAAAAAGAAATATCCGGAACGTGGACGGGGTGAGGTCGTTAAATAGTTCCTAGACAGTAGAGTACGATAAAGATAAGGATATGGAGAAGCAAAAAGAGCTTGGGGCTTCTCCGCCGAACTTCCTAATCAGCACTGGTTTGGAGAAGAGCTGGATGAACTGGATGACCGGATCGACAGATTGACCATCTCATTGGCAGTGGAACTCTTCTGGTTGCCAATCCATCGCATCTAAAGGGAAAGACCAGCAGATAAGGTGGTCCCTCGATCAGTATCATTCTAGCGGGAAAATGGGCCCCGCCCTCGACGATCGTGCAGACTTTCCCTTCTTGGCGACTCTCCGCTTTGGCCTGACTTTTTTGTTCCGAACTACAGTGTCGACTCTCTCTACTCTCCTGCCAAGTATACCGTGTTCCTCCAACTCAAGCATCATACCCGATCCATCCAATCATTCCCCCCCCCTCATCCTGGTCAACTACCACCACCCCCTCCATCCCTCAATGCCATGCGTCGCGTTGTCGTGACGGGTCTGGGCGCGGTTACTCCCCTCGGCGTCGGTAAGTTACTCTTCCAAACCACCTCCCTTCTATACACCTTGCCAGTGGGATCATGTCCAATCTGCCGTATCCCGTACTTTGTCATGGAAGTTTCCGCTCCTCTCCGAGCAATGCCAAATCCACGTTCACACTCCCCGAGCATCCTACCCAGACCCATTCGTGTCTCCTCCAGAAAGCACTTTGGGGTGCGGGTCTCCACCTGCCACGCCGGAAGGGGAAGGTCTTGACAGCCAATGACAGGCATTTGGGCGATGGGGCTCGGCCTCGTCCGCGGGGCTGGTTCGAGTAAACCCATGCGGAGATACAGTTACGGTAGACTGGCCGTGCAACAATCTAGAAGATCGCAATTCTGGCAAGGAGGAGGGATAACATTTATAGATGGACTCGTTGGGGCCGATATAATACGATGTCTATGCTAATGAAATCTCCCCGGCGATAGGTATACGGCGGACCTGGAAACGTCTACTAGAAGGGCATTGTGGTATCGTCAATGTGGTTTCGCGCGATGAGCGCTTTCAAGAGATCCCCTCGCAGATTGCAGCCGTCGTGCCCCAGGGGAGAAAGGAAGATGGGGCCTGGACGGCGTTGGAATGGATGGATCGTAGGGTAGGTTGATTGTCTTTTTATACTGAGACTGAGGTCCCCTAGGATTGCAAGTCGGGACTTGTCAGCTAAGTATCCGTGGGATATATGCTAATGCGGCCTTGGTCTGGTAGGATGAACGTGTAATGGCCAAGTTTGCGCAGTATGCTATGGCTGCCGCGGAAGAGGCTCTTGAAGATGCGGGCTGGAAGCCGACCACACATAAGCAGAAAGAGGTTACGGGAGTCTGTCTTGGCTCGGGCATTGGCAATTTCGACGAGATATACGACACGGTCGTTGCGTATGAACAAGGGGTGAGGCTCATTTGAATCCAACCAGACGATTCACGGCTAATCGAATAATAGGGCTACAAAAAAGTCAACCCTTTGTTCGTCCCAAGGCTACTGATTAACCTTGGTGCCGGGCATATCTCCATGAGATATGGATTCATGGTATGTGCAACCCAGCAGCGCAGCCCCGAGTCAATCCAAGTGAAATCCACGCTCACTCCTCCAGGGCCCTAATCACGCCGCAACGACGGCTTGCACGACGGGTGCTCATTCCATCGGCGATGCAGCACGCTTTATTGCCTGCGGCGACGCCGATGTCATGGTTGCTGGCGGCGGCGAGTCTTGTATTCATCCGCTAGCCATTGGCGGGTTCGCTCGTGCCCGCAGTCTCGCCACGGAATTCAACGATAACCCCGAGAAAGCGTCCAGACCATTTGATGCAGATCGAAAGGGATTCGTTGTTGGCGAGGGTGCAGGTATGCTGGTTCTAGAGGTACGTTTCAACAAAGGGAATCGATCCATGAGCTTTCTTCTTTCCATCTGATTTGCGTTTCTCATGAATACCTCTACAGGAACTCGAACACGCTCGCAGCCGAGGCGCCCACATCTACGCCGAATTAAGCGGCTATGGCTGCTCTGCGGATGCTCACCACATGACCGCCCCCAAGGAGAACGGCGAGGGTGCTTTCATGGCTATGAAAAAGGCCCTTAGGCAAGCCCAACTACCACCCAGTGCGGTCGACTATGTCAATGCACACGCAACCTCGACGATCATCGGTGATGCCGCCGAGAATGCAGCAATCAAGGCTCTCCTTCTCGGACCGGAAGGCAAGCAGAAAGCCGCAGATGTAAACGTTAGTAGCACCAAGGGTGCCGTGGGACACTTGCTTGGTGGTGCTGGAGCGGTGGAGGCCGTGTTTAGTGTGATGGCTATTCAGAATGTGAGTTATACTGACGTCCCAGATGCCGCTAGTCTTCACCTGCTGACGAGTTTTCAGAATGTTATGCCGCCTACTATCAATCTGGATCGCCTGGCGGATGGATTCGACTGTAACTATGCCCCGAATGAGCCGCAGTCTCGAAAGATCGATGTTGCCTTGACGAATAGTTTTGGCTTTGGAGGGACGAATAGCAGCCTTTGTTTCACTAGGCTGAAGCAATGAGAGTCGTCCCGGGCGATTGTTGTACTATTATTGTATTTTAGCGTTGTTCATTGCAGCCTGTTGGCCATACAACTTGTATACAAGAAACCTGATGCGGTATTTCGGGACAAACAAATGAATGACTCAACCCATTTCATAAGTTACCTTTATTCATACTTCTGGAAAGACTTGTTTCCGATCCTCCGTGTTGTCCAGGCTCCAAATATCCTCACGTCGTACTTTCTGCTTTCTGCCTTTTACCCAACCCTGGCACGTGACTCGACCCCGATGCGGAGCCCCCGACCTTTTGATTCCGGAGACAAAAGGCACTTTGAACTCAACACAACTCCTCTGGCCCGATCCGATTTTCGACTAGTGTGCCAGAGAGTGTACAAGTGTGTCAGGAACAATTCAGATCTCCGCCCACCATGGCGACAAACGGTGATACTGGTCGGGGTAAGCTTGCCACTCAACACAGTCTCCAGGAGCCCGCGACCGGGGACCAGCGCGCGTGTCATCTGCGCGGAGGGCCTTGAGCTGACGAAGTGACGGACTGCTAACTATATTCGTCTGATACAGCATCGGGTAGCCTGGTCGATGCATCGGGCTACAAATTCACAGAGAAGGATACCAAGCCGGGCAAGATGAAGGTTAAAAAGACCTCCAAAGCATCTACGAAGAAGAAAGCAGACGGTACTTGTCTCCGAACATAGCACTGCTTCGCAGGCTTTGGCAGGTTCAGACTGACTGAAGGGTATCTAGATTCCAAAGATGGCCCAGTCGACTCCTCACCCACCTCCTCCCCTCTCCCCAAGCTGGACGACAAAGTCGCAGCCTCGTTCCCGACCGGCAAACCGCGCGAGGAAGACCTCCTCGAAACTGTCATTTGCAAGCACTGCAAGCGGCCTATACTCAAATCCACCGCCCCGGAACATATCCGCGGCTGCCTCAAGGCTAAACAAGAGAAAGCGCGCAAGAAGAAAGAAGCACGCGACGCGGCCAATCGCGCCAAGGTCGCAGACGGCAAGGACGACGATGACCTGCGCGATAAGATGGACGGCGACGACGCAATGAAAGGCCAGAAGAGTGCCAAGAAGAGCGCGGTGAAGGGGACTACCGACGATGCCACGAAGAAGGGCAAGAAGCGCAAGGCGGATGAGGATGATAACAAGGAGCCTAAGAAAAAGAAGAAGAAGGATGAGCCCAAGGCCAAGGCTGCAAAGCCCAAGGGTCCGGTTGATGTCGAGAAGCAGTGCGGTGTGACTCTTCCTAATGGAGCGCAGTGTGCGCGCTCGTTGACTTGCAAGAGCCATTCCATGGGGGCTAAACGTGCCGTGCCTGGTCGTTCGCTGCCATACGACATGTTGCTGCAGCAGTATCAGAAGAAGAACCAAGCCAAGCAGCAGAGTGAGTCTTTTGCCCTGTCCTCCCAACGCCTCTTTCCCAGATGGTCTAACATATACCCTCTCTTGTGACGTAGGAGCCGCAATCGACGCCAATGCCCCTCTCCCCGACGACATCGACACCAACGGACCCATCGACTCGGACGAGGAACGAGACACCGTCATGGCAGCTATCGCCCGCTCCACACCAAAACCTCTCTCAGATCACACCCTCATCAGTGCGAAATCCAAATATCGCATCGTCCGGATTAAAGAACAAATGCTCCACGCTATCGGCGGCCGAGGCGGCGCCGGATTATTCTCCACGGATGATAGTCAACCTTTATTCGGTGGGAGTCTCTTTCAATCTTTTGATACGGACTTGAACACAACTTCTTCTCCCGTGCTTCCTTCCGGTGAATCAGGAGATATCTCCGCCGGCGGTGACGGGTCTAGGAAGACGCCCGTACAGGGGACTCGCAAGACACCCGTGGCGGCTGCCTCGTGAGGTTTACTTCGGGTTTATGCGGGTTAACGACGTTACGACTATCATTCGGCGTTCTGCTTTTCGGTTTCTCTTCGGTTATGTTCTCATTGCGATGCCGGCGTTGGCGCTGTGCGGTGCTGTGTATACACCTCCCTCTCTTCATTCCTTCCTTGACTCTCTTATTTTTACGGGTTGGTTATGGTTGTGATGGGTTTTTTTCGGGCACACGGTGGGAACAGGATTCGTTTTCGGTGATGATATGATACCCCCGGTAGTTGATTGCACTGGACATAGTGCTTAGTGCGGAATGAATGCGAATGCAAATTTTCAATGAAACCTCGGATCGAGATCGTTTTGCGTAGATTATTGAATACACGAGTCATGAATTTCCTGGGTGCGGGATAACTGTGGCTATTGACTTGCGCGACAATAAAATACGATCTGTTTATTATGGCGCACTCGGGCTGCTATGTGCATTTACAAGGTTCAAAAATTGGTAGTTAACAAAGAACACTTTAATAAAGTCAAATTTTCAACCTTGCTATATCAATCAGCTCGCTTAACTCAGTTGGTAGAGTGCGTGACTAGTAATCACGAAGTCGCTAGTTCAAATCTGGCAGTGAGCACTTTTTGTTTTCTTAGGGTAGCCCGTTGGCACAATCATCGCATGTTGGTTCTTTTTGATATTTTAGTTCTACTTTTATGCTAAGGACAGAAGTGAGAATATTCTTACTTGTGATTCGATCCTCTTAAATAGACACCTAATCTTTCCATCAATACCGCAGTATCTACATTAAAAAATACATAACAAAATTCCCCTTTGATCGAGCCACCTTGTTGAGCGCCACCCTAAGATACCATACTAGTACAATTATTCAGATTGCAATATATCAATAACTAATATATTATATTACTTTGCTCTCATTGCCATAACTTTCTGACATTAAGAGACCGTGTGGATGAACTCTTATATTCGGAGGGTACATGGTCACCTATTTACTTTACCATATTACGCCCCATCGAGAGGTGTGCAAATATATACCCGTACTATTGGGCCCCCAAATATTCTTCGCACTTACGAGAAACCAATTGTGATATGTCTAACACCAGGGTCCGTAGGGACCTCACAATTAGCCATAGAGATTGAAATAGGGAGTTGGAAATTTTGCATTTAGTATGGTGTTTTGGGGTGGCCCGTCGACTGGCTCCATCAAGCGTGAATTACGTTAACAAAAGATCGTAAGTTAAGCGGCTATCAAATACTTCATCCCCTCTCCATCCCGGGGATCTTTTAACGCCAGGCTCTGCTTATTCAATGACAACACTTGTCAAGGTTCATCTTTTCCAGCACAGCCGTCGGGACTGATTCTCTCAGCATATTGCTCAGATCGAAACAAGCAGGCAGACCGATCCTGGAAACCAGCCCGCCACTGGAGAAATTTTCCAACGGTGGAATTGGAGGTCGGCTATTCAGAGACGACTGCAAAACTGGAAAAGGACATCGCCTGGTGGATCAATGGATCAAAAGGCTAAGTAAGAACGCATTATTATGCGGGGCACTGTTGCGCTAAATGTACTTACCGAGCATTGCTATGTTTGCTGCTGCTACTATTGATAATTGATCCTTACATAAAGTAGGCCAGGACGAACTTTGATTATCTCTCTATGAATACCAAACACTGCAAATTCGTGACTTCTTTTCAATCGGTAGTATACTTATCACCAATCTCAACTGTCAGTTCGAGATTCATGGCCATTGTCCTTATAAGCTTCAGTAATTATCAACGCTTATCGATCTACGTACCATTTCCATAATATCGCGAATTCCAGAGGTCCCTCGCCGCGTTTACGCCCGTATGCCCAAGAAATGGCAAGACGCCATTGATGAAAAATGGACCGAGTCCAAGAGAGTTAGCTCAAGCATTTCAACAACTTCAAAAGTGCGATCAGTCTCGGACTTCTCAAAGGAAAAATTCCGTGCCCACCACTACGAGCTTGATTACCTTCAAAGTTTCCATGAAGGGATTTACCGTGCCTACGATTCCCACTTACTCTCGCCAGAGGAGTTCCGGGACGCCTTTAGCCCATCTTTGTCGAGCGCCAAACAGGTCTCCGCGGCGCTTAGGACAATTTGCAGACAGAGAAAGATTCTTGAAGAGGACTTGGAAGAATCTGTCAATGCGAAGCGCCGACGACGTGGAGAACCAAGTCGCTCTTTGCAATCGTCTTCATTTCTATGCCTTACTCGTAGATATCCATCCAGCCATAAAATAGAATCAGAAGTGAGCGCCGCATCCTGCGCAGTTGGACGTGAGTTCTAGAGGTACAAGAGCTCCTAAGCGTGTGATTTGGCATTGAAGGTAAATGACTGTTATAAATGGCTCTCATAACCTCCTTCTGCTGTAGCCCCGTGTTTATATCAACAACCATCTTGATCCCCCGTCATACACTCATTTTTGAAAGATTATTACTTCAACCCTTACCTTCTCGGCCGATCAGGGCCACCAAAATGAACCACCGAGTGATCATCTCTGTCTATTTGCCAATTTTGGCGTTTCTGGGCGTTTTCTTGTGGGTTTGCCGGTTTGTCGTCTACTCATCTCCCTATCCTACTACTCGGCAAATGGGAAGCTATATAATAAAGACCAATACTAACATGACTCTTTATAGCTCAACGATTACTAGCGTTTACTTTCGTTTGCGAAATTCTTCACTAAATGAAGATCTTCGTTCTTTTTGGGTCCTTGCTACCCTTAGCAAGAGTAAGATGTCTTTTTCTACAAGATATTACAAGTCAGCTAAGCCGTTTGATCTTTTAGTGTTCGGCCGCTGTTTCTGTCCCTCCCGGGGTAGTGAGATACCGGAACTAACAGTATTTCACTACTCTCAGGACCTCGAAATGGGTCCCGTTGTCGCCCCTCCATTGGTCCCTGCCGACCAACAGGCCGCCTCTGTGACACCTGTGAAGCCGGCTGATATGGAACATGCTATTCAGGCTTGTTTTGAATTGTTTTTTTAATCGTCTTTGCAATCATCTTTACAATTATCTTTACAATCATCTTTACAATCATCTGTCCCACCTTTTCACAAAAGGCGCCTTAAACCCCGTCATCCAACTAAGCGGCACGAGCATCGGAAGCAGGATTCAGGGCACGTTTATACTTTGAGAGGAACATTATATTGAACTAAAAGCAAATGTTTGCCTTTCTCTGAACAAAAAAAAGGCCCGAAGAAGAATAAAGTCAAGTGAAGCTAACCAGTAGACTCCTCGCCATTTCATTTCATGAAGAGAAGGCTCCTATAAGTATCACCTAGGATAGTAAGCTGCGTCTCGAAAAAACCGGCTGCATTACTTATTCAACTGCCATTCCATGAGACATCATGTAGGGTGCATACGCTGCGCCAAAACATCGCCGCTATCTCTACCGTGGCGACCAATAAATACTTCTGTATCTCATTAACCAGATCAATCTAACCTCTATACGATGCAAAGCGAGCTCTCTGTACCGTAAAATTTAGTGATTTCAATCATTCAACTCTCATGTACTATGATGTACTGTGGAAATATCAACGATCAGTTGGCTAGGGAGCGTAGACACAGAAGTAAACAGTAGGCCTTCAATGAACAAGAAACTCCGAGGCCTGAACTGTGGGTGTACACTAGGCTCAAAAGATATGGAATATCAGAGTGGCTACAAAACTACCCTACAGATAACAATTTTCTGCTCTTCTTGTCCGTGATGGCACATACCACACTACCTGGCCCTTCAAGCTTGACAAATCATGCATTACCAGGGATAGACTCGGTCTGTTAGCTCCCATTGTCGCTCAAGAGAATATATATATTCCGGTATGACACTCTTGGATCAATTCACGATGCAATACTCTAAGTATATATATCCGCAAGAGCCTGCGACATCGACCCTAAGGACTAGCATCAGGAGATCGAAGTGTGATTCTTATGTAGCTATTCCATTGCCTGACAGCTTGAGGATTCCAAGTACAATGCAGACCCGGCAGAAATCCGGGGTTCTCCCCATTAGACTCCATCCTCAATCCATAGCACATTTACTACCTTTCTGTATACGCAAACCATTCCACCACTAACCTTATACCATAATCTGGGAAATAATGACATGAAATTCAACTCAAATTATTGAGAGCAGGTCCAGCTGTAAAAAAACCATAAAACTCCCAGAATCCCGGCTCAGAAAAACCTTGCGGTTAGTTCTGATTATACCGGCTCTCCCATCCAAATGTATTATTGCGATCTCAGCAAACCTACGAGCCTACAAAATTAAAAAATTGATGTTAAAATTATCTTTGCGAGAGGTTCAATTCAACACTGTCTATTTTGTAGTTGGCCTAAAAGAGGGAAAATGGCAAAAAATGCTCACTGCCAGATTTGAACTAGCGACTTCGTGATTACTAGTCACGCACTCTACCAACTGAGTTAAGCGAGCTGGTTGATATAATACTCTCGAAGATTTGCTATCATCAACAAAGATTCAAGTTTCCGTAAGAAATCACTCTCAAACCTGCGTGATATGTACCTGGTTAATATTCAGGGATTACAGTTGGCAACGCATAATGGTCAAGTTGCGCTAAAGCAGCCACGGGACAATCAACATCTTAAAATTCTCGGTCAAGAATGTCAAGAAATGAAACAAGCGCTTATCATCACGTGATCCATCTGAAGCCGCAGATTACATGAGGCTATCCTGCCTCAGGCAGCAAGTCCACGCTGCTTTGAGCTCCGCCGATCGTCCGAGAGCCCATCGATCATGAAGATAGCCTGATATTCAAGCTCGATAGAGCTGACACACTTTTTCCTATCCTCCGAAGCTCGCTCTTTCCTTCTCATTTGCGTGTCTGGGGGTTTCCGAGTCCCATTTCATCTCGCAACGAGCTCTGGAAGCATAACGCGCTCCTCGAATCACCCAAATTGACCTCAATCACCTCGCAACTCGACCAGACATCCCGGCATCTCATCCTTCTCCTCCGAGCCCCGCGACCTTCACCATGAGCCACGCGGTTCCCGACCTCGACGCGATCGGAATCAAGGCCGAGCCCGACCTCGCAGACTCGTTCCGTCGCGAAGTCGCGAACCTCCTCGGCCGAAATAATCTCAACTTTCCTGGTGCGCAACCCGTCAGCTTCTCAGCAAAACACCTGACGGAGCTACAAAAAGAAGACTATTTTGTTTGCGAAAAGACAGACGGCATCCGCTGCTTGATGTATTTTGCGCGCGGTGATCCCGACTCTGACTCACCCGAGATTCATTACCTGATCGACCGCAAGAACGACTATCGCTTCGTCCCTGGCCTACACTTCCCGTTACCCGATGACGAGACCTTCCAGTCGTACCATGTTGACACGCTGGTGGATGGTGAATTGGTCAATGACACTTACGAGGACGGTACAACACAGCTCAAGTACCTCGTCTTCGACTGCTTGGTGCTAGATGGACAGAGCCTCATGCATCGCACCCTCGACAAGCGGCTTGCATACTTCAAGGAGAAGGTCCTTAGGCCATACAATGCGATGTACCGCAAGTTCCCGGAAGAGAAAAAACACCGTGCCTTTGCCGTTGAAGATAAATCTACGCAATTCAGCTACGGCATTGAGATGATGTTCCGCGATATTATCCCCAAAGTCAAGCGCATTCACGGTAATGACGGTCTCATTTTCACCTGTCGCAGCACACCCTACCGCATTGGCACGGACGAACACATCCTCAAATGGAAACCACCCGCGGATAATACGATCGACTTCCGCATGCGCTTGGAATTCCCAGTCTTGGAGCCAGATAGCGATGACGAAGCCGACGGCGTCACCGAGCCATACCCAGATTATGATGCCATCCCGATCTGCCACCTGTTCACAATGCTCAATAGTAACGAGTACCGCCATTTTGGGGTGATGTACGTGACTCCTACGGAATGGGACAATTTGAAAGCCATGCGCGTCCCTCTAGACGATTCAATTGTTGAATGCTACAAAGATCCCCAACAGCGCTGGCGGTTCTACCGTCTCCGTGATGACAAGGCAGACGCAAATCACATCTCAACGGTGGAAAAGGTTCTCGAGAGTATTGAGGACCGTGTGACCGAGGAGGATCTCATTCGTCTTGCGCCTGCGATTAAGGCCGCATGGAAAAAGCGTCAAGCAATGGGTTCCGAAGGGAAGGTCCGCGGTCCACCACCTCCTGCCAACGGAAATGGCGTTAAGCGGAAATTTGAAGAATGACGAGAAATAAAAGGCTTTCTTACGTGTTTAATTATTTTTATTTCCCCTCCTTTCACCTTGCAAGGCGTCTGGGTGTTATGCCGCTCTATCTTATGTCACCGGCTTGCTATTACACTGTTTTGTATCATGAAGGGGTTGGCGGTCAATTTTTCTCGGAATGAGGCTATGGTAACCTCCGGGGAGATTGTCTGGACGAATTGAAGCTGTATTAATTCCAATTTGGGCCACACTAGTTGGTGTTAGGTTTCATCGATTTGCGATAGGACAATCTAGGTGTAATTTACATTTCTGAAGTGCTCACCAAGTTCCATCTCCGCATTCGAGCCCCATATAATACCCATCTCTGTTCTTTCTTCCGGGGAGATTGCACCAGGTTAGATGTAAATACTGTTTTATCCATTCGTTCGTAGCAGACATCTGGAATGACGCAACCCTTAGGAATCCTTCGAGATATCTTCCCTTGATTTTGTCCTTTTAATATCATCCATCAACTCGAAATGGAATAGAAGGATCGTAACAACCCCCATCCAAGTAGCGACCAGTGATATTCTTCGCAGGAACATCCACACCGAACTCGATAACTTGACCTCCATCTGACGCTGTAGGATCGAATGTTGGCCAGCCAACCGTCTGCGAGACTGTAAAGGGGTCCTTGATGAAAGCAAGAAGGTAGTCTTGCATGGCGTTGGAAGTGTCCATCTCGAGCTGCGAAATTTCCCCAACATTCTTCATGTAGGTGCCAAAGATCATCAGGAGATCAGAGAAGTGAAACGCTCCCAGCCAAGGAACCGGACTAATGTTTGTGAAATTACCTATGTTGTCGTCAGCACATATTCTTTCTCATGGACCAAGCCATTGAACCAAAGAAGATCGGATAACTTACCGGCCCAGAAGTATCGATACGTATCGAGGCCTAGCGAAAATCGTAGAGCAGTGTCCGAAGCCGCGAGACAGACCCACTGGCGTGCGTCCTTTTGCGACGATGTGATATTGTTGTCTGCTGCAATTTCTCGGGCAGCAAAAGAGCGAATAGCAGGGCCTTTGGCTACCTTGCCCTCTAAATAGCGTAAAGTCTCGTTGGAAAAGATGTATCTTTCATCGGCTGTTTTCGATACAGGTTAACAACTTGTAAAACTAAGATCTTCATTTGACTGAACTGACGAATATACTCCATAAATGATATTTGCGGCGTCCCTTGATAGCGATTGATAAACTCCTCAATCTGCACCCAAGAAAGCATTCGCATACAGTTGAGCTCTGCTTCGGCATCATCGCCGTAATTGCAGCCAAGAGCCTTGGCCACGATGTCAAAGTCCAAATAGGGATCATCTGTGGTAGAGAGACCAAGAGTTGTTCCGGGTTCTTGGGAGATGATACCATAACTTGCCACCAAGGGGTCATCTGGGAATGCAAGAGTATAAAGGTGGGTCAGGGCCCCTCCTTGAGATTGGCCCCAGAGCTGTACCAACTTATTAGTATTTGCTAGAGGTTGATGTATCAGAAATGTTAGTTGATATGTAGACTTACAAAGATATTTTCAGGATCTCCGCCAAAGGCCTCAATGTTTTCGTGAACCCACTCGACCGCGGCCCTCATATCCAACAAGCTGAGAGAATTCTCTTTAAGAGCCCTAGACTTGGGGTCTGGAGACAACATCAGAACAAAGGGTATTATAAGTAACCTCGTAAGGGACACTTACTTCCAAAGATATTCACCCTGTAATTCATAGTAATCGCGATATGTTCCTGAGAACGCGACACCCACTGCGTTGGCAGATGAGCGGGGATCCTTATCCCCCCTTCAACTCCAGCACCCCCAGTCGCGAACAATGTCACCGGAAGTTTGGAGGTCTTTTGGGCTGAAGCAGGCGTCAATATTGCAATAGACAAGCAATCCTCAGCCGAAGACCAGGCCACTGATCCCTGCGTTAAGTTCTCCCCGGGGTTGATGACGAAACTTCCTGGTTCGTAGTCCTTCCAGAACGAGTCTTCTCGTTGAACGTATTGCGGGCAAGCTGAGAAGAAACGAGAAATTATAAGCTGAGGCTCTATGCGAAGCATTTTCCGAGCAACATACCGGGGCCATAAATCGTGGCATCAAATTTTCTGCGCGAAGTGGGAAGCTTTTGTGGAGGCATCCAACGGAGATCACCGACAGGTGGCTTCAGCACGCAAAACTTGTGAGCCATGTTCTCAGAGATAGCTGAGGTAATTACTTACTTGTGCAAAGGGCACGCGCAAAAACTGGCGCACGTTAGGATACGTATCGTTGAGCATACCGATAAACGTGCCAGTCCGTGTTTCGACTGTCAAATTAAACCAGTTTGACAGAGATCTCCGTGCTTCCCATGTCAAGTCCTCGAAGTATGGAGGCAAATACTTGTCTGCCGCCTCAGAAACACTGATCGTCGCTGCAATCCACGTTGCGATGATAGAAAGCTTCAACATCGTGAAACTTGAAGATATAATCAATACGAATACCGGATGTTCTAAGTAATTCGTGGGAGTGCTTTATAGCATGAGCGATCTTTTTGAAGACGAAGAATCTACGGCAGACAATTTCGAGGTGCGAGTTTGTACTACCAAAATCGCGTACACTGCCGGAAGCTCGGAAATATTAACTTCTCTTTAGGATTGGTGAGGTGCTAGTCAGCCTGACCCTGAGAGTACAGTTGCCCAAAAAAATGAATATCTAGAAGGCGGCTTATTCGCCCAGAGTGTTTGAACTGAGATAATCCGAGGTAGCTAAATAACGCGAAGCAGTGAGTGTAGAGATTGCGAATATTGGCAGAGTAAACAAGTGACAAGGAATGTGCAATTCGAACTTTCAAATTTACCGTGCTAAAAGCAAATCGGTACCCTATGGGCCTCCCAGACTCTTTTCATCTCCCTTTTTGTATTTCTTCACCCTCTTGCCATCTCTTAATCTTCTTTCTTTGAAGTAAGCCTGAGGGTATTTCTTCATAGCTGATCGCTCTTAAATCAGTGCACACCTGTTGAACTGTGGAGTCGAGGCTTCCCATTAGTATGAGGTCTAATTGTTGAGGCCACATAACAACCCTGGCATATAGACTGCTCTCCGACATCCTGCTGTAATACAGTATATGTATTTGAAAAATTAGAAACAACAGCTGGAAGAAAAGGCACAGCTAGACACGCTCTAACCTCTTCTGCTTCTGAAGATCTATCTGAACAACTTTTAAATCATCTTTCCGGATGACTCAGGCAGTATCTCTTGATCTATATTTCCCGATGCTATGATTTTTGAAGTTTAATCGAGGTTTCAAAATATGAAACTTTACTGTAATACCTCCTGCCCGAAATCGTACCGGTTCCAAAAGTCTTGTTTGTTCGGCGGATTAAGAGTCATAGAGAACTGATAAGTAATGAGATATTGTGGAGGATCGAGAAGAAAGCCATGAGATCACTAATGTGGTCCATAGTTCATGTGATATTGATGCGGGTTGATTCTACATTATTCAATCTGCTAATCATTCTCGGAAGAATTTATACGCAAAACAGCTATTACATAGTGGTAGAGATTCACGTCGGAGAAAATGCAAACCTCATACATTCCATCCTGAAGGAACAGTCAAATGGCCATAATCGGGCTATATTATGCGGAAAAAGTTGATTGTTGCACCTCTGCCTCTGGAGGTTGTGGCCAGCGAGACTATGAAGCCAGGGAACAAAAGTACTTATAACGTCAACTCATCTACACCGTGGTTGATCTAGTCTACGTGGACAGCTTACATGCACGAGATGAACAAAGAGTAGTATTTCTTGACATCTTGGAAGGAAACTGATAGATCCGGCCATCATATCCCCCCTCTCCGGAAGCTAGAAAAATCAGCTAAGAGTAAAGACAGACCTGGGCTTCACCTCAAACATGTAACGACCGATGGAGATAAAGAACAACCAAATATTTCGAATGCAAGTAGCGAGTGGTTAAATTGAGAGAAAAGAGATCGAACAACCTATGATCTTTACTTCCGCAGAAGAGAAGTAAAATGAACGAATGACAGATCCGCAATTTTTCCATGATTCCTAATGAGCGACAAGATGGAGTCAAACAGATCAAAATTCTCAACAACAGATGCTGTTAAATGAAGAATGAATGGTTTAAGATACGTCCTCTCGCAGGTCACAGACGTACGAGGTGATCGCTCAACAAGCGGAGCCTGTGGTAAGGATGCTCTTGGCCTCCTGGGCATAAGTGCAGCCGTTGTTAACGTTCGAGTCCGAATAACCAGCGGACCACATCATCACACCACCAAAAGCAGAATTACTCTTATACTGATTAACGAGTGTCGCCAGCGAGTTAGGGTCGAGGTAATATTGTGAACCGCTGGATGTGCCCGTGGCAGCAAGCGGGGATGCAGGAACTCCGATGAATATCTTCGCACCGGCAGAGGCAGTATTGGCCACATTCGACACCCAATCGTTGAAGTTGATGTTGCCATTTACTGAGCAGCCGGGATTGTTGTAGAACTGAACCCAAAGGTAATCGAATTTGGCGTTGGTGACGATCACTTGCATGTTGGGTTCCGGGATGGGACATTGTGGCGCTCCGGTGATGTAGTAGGTTTTGGAGGGGTCAGATGCGAAGTTAGATCGGAGAGTAGACAGAAGATACTGATAATACTGATTCCCACTGTAGGCCTCAATGTCCATATCCCAGCCGTTGACAAAAGTTTTACCAAATGGCCGAGGGACGTTGGAGTTGCCAGCGGTATTGCCGTATGCCTCCCATAGATTTTGACCAATAGCCTCGGCCTCAGCCTGGGATGAAAGAGAGTAAGCGCCAGCTGCGCCTCCCAGAGACAGTATCACTTTTATTCCGTTGGACTTGCAAGTCTCGATGTCAGTTGCCAGGCCGTCACAGTTCTGTGGAACACCGCTAGGCGAAATATAGCATTGGTTTCCGATGGTGCCCGATGCAATAGTGTTGCCATTGCCGTATTCATATAGGAATGAAAGAACAATAATGTCAATGCCAGAAGAGGATGTACAGTACTTGGACAAAGGTTGGACGTTATTGTCTTGGCCCCAGTACACTACATTCTGGCCACCGGAAGCTCGAGTTTGGAGCCCGTGAGGCACAGCCGACACAGCGGTAGCTAAGATGCTCACACCGGCGAAGATGGTAGAAAATTGCATGTTGGTAACTTTGTATAGCTTGGTGTATCTGACTCTCAAGGAGTGAATAGATTGTTTTTGAAGGAGTGTGTGTGAACGTGAGCAATGAATGGAAAGATCCGTCAAGGATTCAAAGGATTGAAGCTGGAATGGGGCCCGAGAATAGATGGATAAAGAAGACCCAGAGAACGAGGAAAGCTGCTTTACTTATACTTGAAATGTGATATTTCGATGGTTTCATTCATGATAGATTAGGATGGCGCTGTATAGAGAGGAAGACGACCATGGAAAGACACATGAAAGGGTGGGTCACAATATCGGGTGGCTTTTCCAAATTCATGCAACGTTGCTAAGTGCTATACGTTCGAAGCGAAAGGATTCTCTTGACAAAGACAAATACAACGTCCGATGAGGGTGACAATGCTGTTTGATAGAGTAGAGTCTCCAGCACGGAACCATGGGTCAAGATTGCCTCGCAGGGTGTGAATGCCCTCATTTCACAAGACGGATAGCCCCAAAACTGTTCTGAACCATGATCCCTGTCCAAGGCTATTTACCCCAGAAAGCAACTAGAATGTAGGAGCCACGGGTTAATTGGAACATGGCACGGAGCCACACGCCCAGAACGTGGTTAGTGTATCTAAAAGGTATGATCTTGTGAAGGTGCAACCCCCGACACGCTCTTGACGCAAGTCTAATCATGACCTGAGTTTCTGGCAAATTAGATAAACCTGGCTAGATTTGATGAATCAAGAGAGATTCAACCAAATCCTTGCCTTGATAGCAATGCTCGTCCTGATTCGACTTTGGACGTATATTGTAGAAATCTTCACCATGCCATACAGTTAAAAGCCTTGTGCCGGGGCCCGAAATCGGCCACATAGCTCAACCAAGGCCTGTGCTGGTAATCAAGTCCCGAAACTGCTAGAGTGCATATAGTGCCTAGCCGCGCCTAAAATGCTGATACTGTTAACCTGAAACTCTGCAGGGATTTAAGGTTGCAGAGACCCCGATGGCGTTTTCGTATAGCCTTGCAGTACTACTCGGTGAGGTAGGAATAGTTCGTTGCATTTATATTCAACAATATCTTCATGACCGCAATTATATCTCAAAAGGAATCATAGATACGCCAGAATTCATCCTCTGAACGTAACGACCCCGACAAAACTCCTGAGTTTAATTCCATATCATCTGGGGTATTGCAGCCATAGTAAGACCTAGAATTGAAAGTACTTCCAGGAGTACTGAAAACAACCTCAAGCATTGTCATGGACCCTTTACAAAGAATCGTCGGAGGCATCCGACAAGAACTCCCGCTATGCCTCTTTAGTAAGGCCACCCCGCTCATTCTAACTAAACTCTAGCCTAGCGTGTGCCATGAAACCAAAGACGATCTGTTCTATTCGCCAGAGTCAGCGAGATTGCTTATCCAGTAAATGGCCGAAACGAGCCATGAGCCTTCAAATAATTGAATCACACATTAGCTCGCGCAGCTAGTGGACCAAGGGGGAACCCCCTCGGGCAAGGCCTGCCCATCACGTACATTGTAGCCCTGAAGGAGTTTCCAATTAGAAATTAGCACTTGGTCGCGAAGACGCTAATCTCCCATACAACCCATGTCCATGGTCCCGATTTCCGGTGGGTGACATTCAAGGCTACCTGGCCTGCATAAGTGGTGGTACTGTGGCATTACGATTGCTCTCATGATAGCAAAGTGCGGGCGGCAAGTATGATCACAGCGTGCGTGATTTGGTTGAAACGAACTACCGATTACCCCGATATCTGTGGAGGAAACGTGAAATACCCCTGGGCGCGTGGCTTGTGCCTGCAGACTGCAGATACGCCTCCGACTCAACCGGAAGGTTACCATCGAGTTATCACAGGACGCTGGTCGGGCCCAAGGAAGATTGCAGGAACCAGGCTGCAAACGTTGACTTTAATGTCGCATTTTCAAAGGGTCATTTTGGGCGAAGTTTTGAGAAATGTGACCGTGGGGGTTAAATATAGTTACAAGTATTAAAGCATTACCTTCTGCCGATCTAAATTTGTGATCGAACATGGTGAATTAACAGCAAACTACGGCGCATTTGTTAATCTTGGCAATCGCTTCACGCTCGGCAGATCCTTGGAGTGATGGAAGCTTGATTAAGCGCCAGCACGGGACTTCTTCAATGACACTTTCGGAGAAAAACGTGTACAAGTCGTCATGAATTATTGAAATTTGTAAGGACCCTCACGGCACAGCCATGAATGTTGGTCCGTTATCAATAAGATCAAATAGAGAGCCCTTGAACCCATCCCACCTTCGTTGCCAGAAATATTTGTGAAAGGCAAAGAACTGCTCAGCACACGCTGGACGATGAGAAAGCTTCGTCAGACTCTTCGATATACTCTCCGGCCGCAACGGAATCTCAAGTAGTGCCAAGTACAAAGGGAAGCAGCCAAATTGAAGCTTCGTATCGGGCCCGCCGTGTAGCAGAATCCTATCCTTTTCTTCCATGATATCGTTTGCATAAGATACGGCAATTCCATCTTCGCAGGACAGGGGGTACTTGAGGCGATGTATGAGGAGTAGAGTAGCAGATCGGTATATGGATGCTTGAGCCCGTAGCAGCATGACCTCGGAGTCGGTGAATTTTGAACCAGGTAGAGGGGAATTAGCGGGATTCCATGAAAGAACTTGCTGCTCGATAATATCCAGTTTATGTCTTTCTGGTTGAGATTGGAGCTTCATCTCGTGGCTCACCTCGCACAAGTCGTAAAGTATTGGCATCAGAGACACACATAAGCCGAACAGCCGATCGACAACGTGCGGTCGATGGATCCTTGGTCGAATTATTGGGCTCTCCCGCTTGAGCAGACATTCGAGTATCTCCCAAAAGATCGGAGTCACCGTGACCGAGTCCAGGAACTCCACATGAGCCAGCTGCGGATACCACGGTTTGGCCAGATATAGTGAATGCCGGAGAATGAGCATCGATCCGGTAGAGACCACGAACGAGTCCAATGCAGCCAGGCTCTGACCGAGTACAAGTACCGCCAAGGCATCATTATCATTGGATATCTCCGTGACTTGTAATTTCCGCAACAGATCTGCAACCTCGGCGATCTCTGCATGGACCGGTGCAGTAGTATTCGGCGTCATTGTGTTTGTCATGTATCTGATCATGACAGAGAACATATCCCTCAGGATATGAGGCGCTTTTAGGTAGGAATAATTCAGAGCGTGGCGAAAGGTTTTAGTGAAGCTTGGGCCGATCATGAAGATGTCATTCAAATCATAGAACTCCTCGTCCGTGGGTTCTGGCGCTGGCGTGCTTGGTTCTTGATTTCCTCCAAGTTCCTGAAGTATATCGGGTAATTTAGATTGGATGCCATGGCCGACTGAGCCGTTGAGATGATGAACCACCAAAGGCTCTTGTTCTGACGTGGTATCGGTCGAAGTACTCTGCGAAAGTGGAGACACGCTCTGAACATCCGTGTTTGGCGAACTAGATATCCTCGAAGCAGGCCACCGCTCCTGTGAGGCCCACACTTGAATTTCTGCGGCAGGACCAAGAAGTTTAGATCGCGCGGGCCGGCCTGGAGGACGGGAATTCCGAGCTGTCGAGCAGTCCAGTGCAAGATGGGCACATCGAATACACTTGGCTAAGTCTTTCTCCCGTTGGCACTTCTTCTTCTGCGTATAACATTGGTCACACGATCGAGTTGTCGGCATATTTCCTGTCGGAGCTTTCTTCAAGCGTCTATTGGATGCGTGGAGCAGTGTCGAATCGGTGTACGTCGTGTTACATCCGAAGCCGGGCCAGTTGAGATGTTGAAGTCGGACTTCGTCGCTGGACACTTGACGTTTTGATTAGGTTGATAGTGAGCTTGCCTTGTATTGCACAATAATTACGAAGCCGACTGAATGCTGAAATCAAAGGAAAGGGGAAAGCAGTATACTCCAGCAGTCCACGTCGGCTTAGCTAAGCGTGTTCGGAGGCTTATTTCCCAATTGGGTAAAAGCTGGCCTGGGGCTCCAATACACTTCCCCGCATCCCCCAAATTTTGGTAAACTTTGGGGCGATCCAAAAGTATCCCTATTCGGCATCTCGGCAGGACTTATTCTTACGGTTCAACCTCGGGATCGCGATGTCGATCTGAGTTTCGGAATGGCTCGTCGCAATCTCTCTTTAGGCATGTCTTGCGATTGATTGCCCGTGGTGGCCGAATATTGACAGATCGTCCATCAACTTGAACCCCAAACGCGCTTACTGAGGCTCTGAACACGCTTTCCTAAATTGGGTAATGTTTCAAGTTCATTTGTTGTATCATTATCTCCGACCCTCAGAGAAGCATTTCTTGGATGTTTCAAGCTCAAATGGATATATATTGACAATGTCTAGATTATCACCTACCTCAATCCAATGCAAACACAAAGCGTGTACAGTATTACAACCTTTAAACCAAAACCAGAGACTGATCATTTACGTCGCGGCGGCTTTCTCGGCAGCAAAGGCCGCCTGCAATTCGCGAAGCTTCACGAGCTTTGCGGAGCCCTGGTTTCTCACTCGCTCTTGCATCCAGCTGGGCAGACCACGAAGGAACGATGCAGAGTTTTGGCCTTTCGGGATGATGACTTGGCCGCCGCTCTGGGTAACAATCTGCTTGACTACAGCAGACGACACGTCCTTTGGGCTCATCAAAGGGGCCTTGAAGTGCTTGCCTGCCTTGATAAGGCCGTCAATCAAGGGGGTACGCACCCAGAAGGGATGAATAACGCTATTTCATCGTGATCAGTAGGGTTTTCCTTGAAAATTTTCAGAGATTTGGAAACAAACCTCGTTCGGACCTTCTTTGCTTTGTACCAATGCCGCAATTCCTGGGTGAGACTCTCATGGAAAGCAAGAGCGGCTGCTTTTGAACTGGCGTAGGCAGCCAATTCTCCAACGGCAGCGAAACTGGCTATACTTGCCACGGTGATGATGTGGCCATGATCGTTCTGGACCATAGATGGAAGAAACTCTTTCACCGTCCAGTAGTGCGAAAGAGAATTGACCTCCATAGTAAGGCGGATGCGTTCTTCGGGCATTTCCAAAATGGTTTCTCCAAAACCAACCCCTGCGTTGTTAATCAGAATGGTAGGGTTGCCATGTTCTTTGCGAATTTGATCTCCAACTTCTTTCACGACAGAAGAGGATGTGATATCAGCCCGATAGAAGAATGTGTTTGAAGCTGCGATTGGGGGTCAGTAGGTGACCCATTCATACAGTCAACATGATGTGTAGACATACGCAGTTCAAAAGTTGGATCTTGCACGTCCAAGATAATAACTTTCACGTTCAACTTCGTCAGATCTTCCAGAATCTGCTTTCCGATCCCACTGCAACCACCAGTGAGAAGCACGAGCTCCTTGCTGGGATCCCAAGGACCAAGTCGAATCCAGTTGTTCTGCGCTTGGTAGGAAATGTAGCTATTGATAGCACCGAGGGTTTTCAATGCGGCCAAAAAGGCCAGTCCCTTTCTGACAGACGGAAGAAGTATGAATCGCTGTACTTGCTGAGGCAACTTATCAAAAAGGCCCTGAAATACGTCCGAGACAACCTTGCTCAAAGACATTTTGTGGTGAGCTAGCTTGAATAGGGCGCGTTTTTAATCACCAGTAGGGATGAAAAGAAATCCCAAGAGATTATTGATAAATCGGTTAAGGAATACACTGAGAACGCCTTGACCAGTAGATAATTAAGGAGCAAGAAGAGCAAGTCGGGTCAGCCGGCTTTGTTGAAACAAGGTGGCCACCGGTCTTACTTAATACCAGGCGCTGACACGATTGGAATAGGGGATGTTGAACAAGCCACCAACCAGCCCAATGGGCTATTTCCCCTCCTTTCTTAACCGGGCAACCACCTCGGCTTACATCACTATCTTAATTGATTGTATTATTCCAAAGGCGACAGGGTTTCATCCTTTGACGCGTTCGTCGGTCTGTGCGGGGAATTGATACTTCTTCGGGTAGAATCCACCGCCAACACGCGCCCTTCCCCGTTGGATTTCGAACAAAGATACATCGATCACTAGCCGAGGCATCCAACAATCCGACTGCTTTCGCGGGGTTCGGATATCTGCAGACCCTACCTATCAGTCTAAACATCTCTGTATGCAATCGATACTCAGCAGAGGTCATTCACATCATTAATACGGCCGTACCGGAACCGTCGCATGGCTGTTGCCTGAGCCCCCTATAAGTATCTCTCCACTCTCGCGCTCATTCCCAGATTTGTACACCGTCATCTTTATACTCCACCAAGCTCGCACTTGCCACTATACCTTCGATATACTGGTGTGCATATCCCACTAAGAATAGTCCATCCCATACAACAGCGAAGTATCAACAATGACGGGCGCACTCATTACCAGTGACCAAGCATCCTTCGATGTCTTGATTATTGGCGCCGGTATATCCGGAATCAACGCCGCATATCGCTTGCAGCAGTCATTTCCCCAGTACAAATATGCGATCCTGGAAGCACGCGATCGTATTGGCGGCACCTGGGATCTATTCCGCTATCCAGGGATCCGATCCGACTCGGACCTCTACACGTTTGGCTTCTCGTGGTATCCCTGGAATCGATCAAACCCCATCGCCGAAGGAGAAGACATCCTAGCATATCTCCAAGATGCTATGACAACACACAATATCAGCCCTAACGTTCTGTTTCGACACCGGGTTCTCTCCGTCGAATGGGATCAACGAAGCTGGACGGTCAACATTCAACACGATGGCTCTCAATGCCAATACACTGCGAAATTTCTCATTTTTGGAACCGGTTACTATGACTATAATGAGCCGCTGGCCACTCAGATTCCCGGAATTGAAGACTTCAAAGGAAACGTGATTCATCCTCAATTCTGGCCTGAAGAGTTTGACTACACGAACAAAAACATTGTCATCATTGGCAGCGGTGCTACTGCCGTGACCCTCGTTCCCAAGCTTGCAGAAAAGGCTGATCGCGTGACGATGCTCCAGCGAAGTCCTACATACCTTGCAGCAGTCACTAATCGATACGCTGGAGGTTGGTTGAGCCGAATACTACCAACAACGATCACCTACTACATCAATCGACTGAAACGTCTTATTTCCGGTCGCCTGCTCTTCGCTTTCTGTAAAAACTATCCCAACGCAGCGAGGGCTATGCTTGAAAAAGGGCTCCTGAAGCAGCTTCCGCCCGGATACCCATTGAGTCCACATTTCAAGCCACGCTACAATCCGTGGGAACAGAGGCTCTGCGCATGCCCGAATGGCGACTTCTTCGCGGCTCTACGATCTGGAAAAGCCCATGTCGAGACCGGGTACATTGAAACCGTCGACTCGGGTGGTATTCAATTAACATCGGGCAAAAAATTGTCCGCAGACACTATTGTCACGGCGACCGGGCTCAAGCTACAATTCATGGGAGGCATCCCCATCATTGTGAACGGAGAGAAAATCGAACTCTCCGAGAAACACATGTGGAACGGCTTCATGCTTCAGGACCTGCCCAATGCAGCTCTCATGCTTGGATACACCAATGCATCTTGGACACTAGGCGCCGATGCGAGCATGTCTTCCATCTGTCGACTGCTGAAACTTATGGATCGCAAGGGCTATGCCGTGGCTTGTCCTACTCTCAAAGACTCGTCAAATCTGGAGCCACGTCCATTGCTTGATCTCGCCTCGAATTATATTAAGCGTGCTCAGGGTGTTCCTAGAGCTGCATCTTTGCGACCGTGGATTGGCCGGACGGATTACTTTTCTGATTTGTGGTTTGCGACTTTTGGAAATATTAGGAATGGGTTAGAGCTTAGTGCTTAGGGTAATAGGTGATGGATGGGATTTGGATTTTGTTTCAGCAGCAGGGACTGTAATCATTGATTTCCATTAGCTTTGTTTAATAGGACATGACAATCTGTGAATGAATCTTGGAAGAGCGAAGAGCAGTTATAATTCAGGGTTGGGTAAAACGATGAAAAATTGATTCTATTCATGGGTCATATTGATGATCATTATTCTGTATTTGTTACCTGGAGCCCTGGCTGTCATAGCTATTCTCCTCCTCCTCCAAGATTGTCGACGACATGAACATTTTGGACTCCCAATCGAATGATGAGTCCTTGGATTCTGTCAATTCAGTTGAATATGGTTTTTCATTTGATGGTTGTAGACGGAGAAGTTGGGACAAAGAGTCTCCTGCAAGATATAGGCCGAGGCCTACTGCGGCTCCAGTGACGATTGCGCCCGTCACGAATGTCAGGAATGCCTATCAATGAGTGAGTATTATAATACAAATATAGGGTGCTTATCAATTTCTCCATGTCAATCACTTACTTCAAACTTCAGCAGAACTCGCAAAGGGAATAGGATGATAGAGAGCAGGACATGGCCCAAGTAAACCAGGGGCGACGCCAGCAGATAGAGGAGAGAGTAGAGGAAAAACCAGGTATATGAGAATAAGGCCGTCAGTACTCCAAAGAGGACACTTAAGATAGACAGAAAGTCCGTCACGGCTGGACTCTCATCCATCAGAAAGTCCCCTCAAGACCTCGGTCTTGTTTACACTGGAGCTCTCAATCTCTCAAGCTCAACTTGGAAAGGGGCAGAATCCGGGGAAGTCGAGTCATCACCGCCCGTACCCTAAGCCCTAGCCTGATTGGATCGTCCAGCGTCATCATCTTTGGCCGTCAACTTCTCGAGCGAAGGGAACTCACTCTCCTTTTATTGATTGTTACGGCGCCTTCATGCAGTCAGCCTGATCGACACCCACGCCAATCTCTTCTTCGGCCGATTCCTCTCACCCTGAACACCCTTTTCCCAACTACCCCCCTCCTCCCACTGCTACCCCGCCTTCGATGGGCAACAACCCTTCCAAAGGTCCATCCGGTGATGGGCCGGGCCATATCTCTCATACCGCCGGCGAGCGCAAAGTCGTGCGTCGCACCTCGTTGAATGCCATCGCGAATCCCAAGGCGACCGTAGCCGACCCATCTGCTACCAGGGAGACAGCCGCCGGGCACTCCGCCTCTTACCAGGGCTCCGTACAGCAGCGACTACAATCGCGAACCCCTGCCGATTCTCCAACCAAAGCCGCCAGCAAAACCCCCAGGCCCGATGGGAGGAGACCCGAGTATGCGCAAGGCCGGAATGTCGCTCCGCAAGATCACTCGAACCCGATGCGGGTGCCCACCGCGCGCCCGGCCGCGGGGCGCGACCCTGTGGCACCTTCAGGTCCGCCACTGAGCTCGTATTATAGCGCATCGACGCATCTGCAGCGACCCCCGCGTATGCCATTGCCCATTGGCGATGCCACGACCACGCCCGGCTCGCCTATCAGCGGACCCGAGGATTCGCATATCCAATCGCTTCCGGCGGATCGGCTTCTGGATGAGCAGATGGACCCTGGAGCGTCCAATTTGAGCAGTGCGACTCTGGACGGCGAGGAGATTGTGGATGAGCTGCAGCCGTACGCTAGTAGTGGAGTCGGGAAGGCGGTTGCTACTTACATTGAGTGGTCTGGACCGGGTCAGAAGGTCTATGTCACTGGTACTTTTGTCAATTGGGAGAAGAAGTTTAAGCTGCACCGAAGGTATGGAGTCCTCGTATAGTGCGAACTGCATTACAACTGGTCGAGGGGACATTTGAGCTAATATCAGAACAGTGAAGGTGAAGGCGCGGTCATGTCGACAACCCTGAACCTGCGACCCGGTACACACCACCTCAAGTTCATTGTTGATGGAGAAATGCGAGCGTCGGATACTCTCCCTACTGCAGTCGATTTCACCAACCACCTAGTCAACTATATCGAAATTAGCGCCGATGAAAACGACAGTATCCCGGCAGGTGTTCATGCCTCACACACTCTACCAGACAGCTCCAAGGACGGTAATGCCGATGACGCGACGGATGACCAGCCCAACAAGGAAGAAGTCGAGGAGGAAGTGCCTCCTGGCGATTTTGGGCGTGCCATTCCTCAATTCCTCGCCGATTTAGACAAGGATGAGGATAGTGCTGCTTATCTCCAGGCAGCGAATGTCATCAGTGACACGCCCACTCCACCCAGTCTGCCGCTGTTCCTGGGTAAATCAATTCTCAATAGCAACACGCCTACCAAGGATGATAGCAGTGTTCTGAACTATCCCAATCACACCGTTTTGAATCATTTGGCGACGAGCAGCATTAAGAATGGTGTTCTGGCTACCAGTGTTACGACCAGATACAAGCGCAAGGTATGTTTTGGATCTGACAGGTTATTTCCCTATCTCTTTTCTGTTTCTCACAGTGTTGCAGTATGTTACATCCATTCTGTACAAACCGACCGGCGACATTACCGAGTGAGCGTTGCCTCGAAAAAGGCGCACCGAAAGTCTGCTTCGAGGGATGAAGCGACCTCGACGGGGTTCCAAAAGATGCATGTTCAGATAGACTGCGTGAAGCTTGGCCTAGCATGATCTGCGGGCATAGCTGTCTTGTCACTCGAACAGCAGTGGGCTCGCCTCCACACGGGCTCTGGTTATCCTTCATATGACCTTCAGGGAATAGAGAAGAGAAAGGCAAGCTGTGATGGAAAGGTGGCTTGGGCCATAATTTGCATGAAGTTGACGGCGTTGATGCACTGAAATCTTGGGAGGGTTTACATGGGAGCTGGAGTTTTTTTTTTTTTCTGCGATCATGCAAGCGAGGTCCATAGTTATGGCCGCGTTGGAGTACTTGGATTCTCTTGGCGAGTACAAAGTATTTGATTTCCAGTTTTTCAAATATAACTTTTATTCTGTACTTGTTATTTTACTCGATACCTTATAGTTGATGATTGATGGAAGGATATAGGAGCCCTAATTGACACTCGAAGCTTCTTGAAAGATGCCCTTTACCCTGGATATGCTTGATCATTACGCGTGATATCTTAACTTCTATTTCCTTTTCATCCTCAATCCTCCCGCCATTTGACAAACACCTCATCCGTCCGGAATCGCTGGGTGCAAGTCGACTCCTTTAGGGGAGTCCGGAAGCCCGTCTTGTATGCCAGCATGCCAGCCTGTGCGATCATAATGCCATTGTCAATACAGAACCGCTCATCGGTCGCATAGACACTGCCACCTCGATCCCGAGCCATAATACCCATCATCTCCTGCAGTCGTTCATTCGAGCCCACACCACCAACAATCAGCACTTGCTGGGAGCCCACGTGGGCCATAGCGCGCTCAGTAATCTCCACCAGCATCGCGTAGACCGTCTCCTGGAGGGAGAAACACAGATCAGCCCTGGTAGGCTTGCCAACCGTTCCCGGGATGATCTGCGCCTCTTCGGCCTGAGATGCTTGCTTATCCGCATCCTCCTTGGCGGCTTCTTCGCCGCCCAACCCCAATTGCGAAGCCAAGCTATCGATTGCAGCTAGTAGTCCTGAGAATGACACGTCCATGCCTTTCACCACGTATGGTAGATCGACGAGCTGTTTGCCTTGCTTGGCTAGTTGTTCGATATTATATCCCGGTGCCGGGTCGTTGGAGATGTGTAATGTGCGCGCGAAGCGATCCAGACAGTTGCCGACTGCGATATCGAGGGTTTCTCCAAAGATGCGGTATCTTTGCGAACTATAGGCAATGACTTGCGTGTTGCCGCCGGACACGTATAGGACGACTGGGTTGGTAGCGCCGGTAATGAGACGGCCCATTTCGATGTCTAGAAGGCCCGAACAATAATCGTTAGTTTTGGGACACACTCATCCACGTAAATGAAATTTCTGGGAATTCAAGACGTACGTCCAACACAATGGTTCACTCCAACCAATGGCTTGTTCCATAGCAAGCTGAGCATCCGCGCGGCCACCACCACGCTCTGTAGCGGGGCACCCATTCCGGGACCCTTGGTGAAGCAAATACAGTCCACATCCTCCACCGAGACACGAGCCTCCTTGAGAGACTTCTTCACCAGCTTAACCACCCATGCGCGATGATGGCGCGCAGTATCCTTGGGCAAGAAACCCTCGCCTGGTGGGGAAACGTAGGTATGCCGAATGTTGGCGAGGACTTGCGGCGGGCTGCCATCCTCAGGATGCAGCATGATGCCCACACCAAGCTTGTTGGCGGAGCCCTCCATACCAATGGCGATCATGGCGGCTAGAATGAAGAGAAGGATATGAAGAGAAATATGAAGCAAGTCTAGAACTAGATTTATGATCGGTTCGAACCAGGGTGGGCGGTTTTTTTGCGTTATCAGCCTATCGGCCCACTAAAAGCGGCAGTCCCGTTTCTCCGAACCAAAAGTACTTTCTTTACTTCGGGCTCTACTTCCCATGCTCTTCTTTTCTTCCTCCACTTCCCTGCTGGTCCTGGTTTTCCTCCTTCTTTTCTCTCAAGGTCATTCGTTTTAGCCTGGTTGAGATTTGCATATTTGTCTTCTGGTCTATCTTGTTTTTCCGTCACTTCCCTGTCTCTCTCGCCTCCCTAAGAACTGGGCTTTGGTACAATGTCCTCCTCTGCCCACTACCCCGACCCCTCGAGCTTCCAACACCAGTCAGACCGGTTCGTTGCTTGGCTTGAGGCAAGTTCAGGTGTTAAGGTCAATCCCAAGATCTGTCTGGCAGATCTTAGATCCACAGGTGCTGGTCGTGGAGTCGGTAAGTACAATCTGCATTTCATTATTGCCCCCCACCCACCACACAAAATTCACCCAGCGGATTGTGCCTATGTGTTTTCCACCAACCCTTCAAATTTATAAAAAAGCACTCTTCTCACAGTGATCCTCCTCTAGTGGCCCGTACCAGCATCCCAGAGGGCGAAGAACTTTTCTCGATTCCGCGGAATCTTATCCTCGCCGTCCAAAACTCGGAATTGAAGAACCTGCTCGGACAAGATGTGGACGCTCTCGGTCCCTGGCTCTCCCTCATGCTAGTCATGCTTTACGAATATTCTCAAGGCGCGAATTCAAGATGGGAAGCTTATTTCCAGGTCTTACCCACGCGTTTCGATACACTTATGTTCTGGTCGCAGGAAGAGTTGCATCAGTTGCAGGCTAGTGCTATCGTGGACAAGATCGGTAAACAAGGTGCCGACGAGTCAATCTTGCAGTCGATTGTGCCCATTGTTCGGGCCAATCCTGGATTATTCCCACCTGTCAATGGCGTCGCCTCGTACGAAGGTGATGCCGGAGCTGCTGCTCTTCTTGAGCTGGCTCATATCATGGGCTCGCTGATCATGGCTTATGCTTTTGACATTGAAAAGTCCGAGACCGAGGAAGATGAGGTCGATGAAAACGACGAGAGCTACATGACTGATGATGAGGATGAGCAGTTGCCCAAGGGCATGGTGCCGCTGGCAGATTTGCTTAATGCCGATGCGGACCGAAATAACGTGAGCCAATCCGCGTTCCCCTTTTTGCAATCAACTTTATACTAATATATGCTGTCTAGGCCCGTCTTTTCCAGGAAGAAGAGTGTCTGGTCATGAAAGCTATTAAGCCTATTCACGAAGGGGAAGAGATCTTCAATGATTATGGTGAAATCCCCCGTGCGGATCTGCTTCGTCGATACGGCTATGTCACCGACAACTACTCTCAGTACGATGTCATCGAACTGCCTCTCCGAGATATCTGCCGGGCAGCAGGCCTCTCAAACAGCGATGTGGAGTCCCAGCCAAGAGTATGTATTCAACCGTGCATCGTTCGATTCACGTCGCTGCCTACCACCTCTTTGGTTCGAAATCTCAAAGCTAACATCGCAACAGCTGGAACTCCTCGAGGAAAACGACGTCCTGGAAGACGGCTATGTGATTCCTCGGCCAGCACCCAACGCGTCTCTGCAGGACATTCTCCCCGCCGAGCTTGTCGTCCTTCTCACCACCTTGTCCCTGACACCAGAAGAGTTTGAGCAGCGTCGTTCCAAGAACAAGCTGCCCAAGCCTGCCATGGAGAGCAACCAAGCCAGCCTTCTCTTCAAGATCCTGCAAACCAAGCAAGCGCAGTACGGGAGCTCTCTCGGCGAGGACATGCAACTCCTCAGCAGCCTTCTCCCTCCAAACGCCCCCGCCTCATTAGATGGATCTGCCCGTCGCCACAAGATGGCTCTGCAGGTGCGCATTGGCGAGAAAGAGGTTCTGCAAGCCATTCTTGCCATGTTGGAACCCCTCGTCTCCGGCGGATCCCTTAAGCGCAGTGCCAACGGTCATACCGATACCAGACACTTCAAGGCTGCACGCGTGTGAGCAACTACCACAATACCCAATCTACCCTTTCCCACCATCGGCCGACCTCGATTGCCCTCTATCCAGAACCAGAACGACCAAAAGTTTTTGCGAATGATTTTATTTCTGTTAGATTTTGAAGTCTTTATTTTCTGCCTTTCTTCGTTTCTCCCCCATCGTCGCTGGCATCATAACTTCGGGTTATCCATCATACAAAAAAAGGAGCCATTCCATGACCCGCATGCTCCTCCCCAGAACAGGAAAGGTGAAGAAAAGAAAAATAATATGTACACTAACAATGCAGAAGACCTTTTGAAGCTGAGGCAGCACTGCAAGCGAAAGCCAGCCATTGCGTGCGCCGTTCGGCTCCGGCTTTGGTATCTCCCGCAGTGTGAGAGATTGAGATGGAAAAGGTGCTCCGGGGGTGGGGGAGCGAGAAGTGGGAGGTGGGTGTGCGAATCAAAAGCAAAAAGCCGGGCTCCATCGAAACCCTTCGTCGCGCGCGGGTCGTCAGAACATAAAGGGAGGTGGTACTAAAACTACAAGGGTGATAGGAAGATGGGAACGAGAAATAAGGGGCGACGAAGGGGGGAAAAAAGACCCAAGCGAACCACGCGCAAAACGCCCGCCAAATGCTGAAAAAACGGGGAGGGAATAATCAAGACAAAGAAAAGAGGTGGCAGAAAGCAGACGACAGACACCGCTTATGACGCCTCGGACGACGCAGTCACGGCGACGGGGACAGGATTCGCACCCTGGGGATTCCCGGCTTGGTCGGCCTGCAATCGGCGTTGCTGAGCTGCCTGTGCTTGCGCCTGCGCATGAGCTTGGGCAGCCACTGCGGCTTGTTCGCGAGCCTTTGCCATTGTGATGGCGCGGTGCTGCATGATCTGGATGCTGTATGCATCCGTGTCATAGGTAGGCTCCTCATCAGAATCCTCCTGATCAAACTTGAAGCGATCGGCCTGCAACGGATCCAGTTCGACTCTACAGCGCGACACGAGGTTTCGACGGTCAATGAACAATCGACCACCTCGTCCCACTCGGCGTCGGAAGGACGGCATACGGTGTGGCTGATCATGCAGCTCCAGGGCCCGCGAAGTAAGCTTATCCTTGGAGAAGAGTGGGCTGGTCACATCTAATGAGGTGTCCATCACATCGCCCGAAGATTCTGATGATGGAGGAGTGGGGAGTTGTGCCGTGAACGCAGGACGGAACGCGGCAGCGTCGAATGTCCTTTCGGGGGATGGGGAAAGTGGTGCGCGGGTAAGATCCACAAAGCCCTCGTTCCACTTGATATGCTTGGCAATATTTGCCTTGATATCGCGAAGAATCTCGTTCTCCTTTTCGGACTGTACGTCCTCCAGCAGTTGCAGATCCTCTGCACCTTGGAGACCAGGCTTGAGAGGCATGCGAAGCTGGGGCGCATTGGGTTGCCGAGGAGGCATCTCGATCGTCTTCTTCTTTGGCTGTGATGACGAGTCAGTATATGTGGAATGTACGGCAAAAGAGGCAGTTGTGGTGCTCACCTTCTGGTTGATAAGGTCCTCGTCATCGTCCTTGATGTTGAGTTTACGCTTCATCTCCTTGACCTCATTGCGCTGCATGAATATCGTGCGGTCCATGCCAAGCATCTCTTTACGAGCGACCTCGCGCTGGCGCACCAATGCAACTAATTGCCGAGCATCTTCCAGCTCCTTACGAAGGCGGCGAAGCTTCTCCGCGCTTTGCGCATCGCGCCCACGAGTCTTGCGAATCTGGCGCACTTCACGACGGCGGAAACAGACAAAGGGATCGCTATCATCTGTATCTTGACCAGTTTCAAACTGTGAAAGAATAAGTCAGTATATGCGATTATTTGTTTCATGATTGCCCATGGCTTGAATGCGAGGGCTGGTCAAACTTACCTTCAACATCGGCTCCAGTGGGAGGTTCTCCGTAGCCAAACGGCGCACTTTCCAGTGCTCATAGATGTCCTTGGCGAAGCGCTTTACACTTTCTTCTACGGCAGCATCCATGGACTCGGCCATATCGGCAAAGGAGAGGACGGGGGGACTATCAACGGCAGCAAAAGGCTGTTTGGTTTGGGCAGTCTCCTCGAAGAAGTTCATTGTGGCCTCGAAATCATCCTCGGAGCACTGACTGGAAGCGTCGCGCTTGGAGTTGTAATTCTTCAGCCATGCATCATCTTCTTCATTCATATTGTACGGACATCCGCAACAATCCTCCACCGTGGAGGAGAAGCGAATGTAGGTCGCGGGTTGCGAGAAGATCGGGGGGTACAGTTTGGCATACGGAATGTCACTGACGATGACCTCCCGAGTGGGGATATGCGCATCATTGTCTTTGCCCTGAGCGGCAGCATTGATCGCGGCTTGCAAGTGGAATTCCTATGCGGCACGCGCCTCGAGGTTAGCACAGTGAAAATTTCGTGTCTTTTGGCGATGCAATCACGTGATCACGTGCAGGGATGAGGCTCGTGGGGGTGGGCGACACTCACCGACTCCTCAGCCTTTTCGACACCGGTCTCGATCTGTTGTAGGGTAGACTGGATCTCATCGTCTACGACATCGATCTCGTGCTCGCGGACGATGGGAATGGACGCCTTGGAGGTGAGCTTTTTCGGGCGCGTCCGGCCCAGGCCCCCGTACCGAGTCATAGCGACGGGACGCGCAAAAGGGCAACGACCATGGGCGGGGGGTTGGCAAAATGGGGATCACTCGAAAGGTCTGGTCATGCGCTTTCTCGTAGTCGTAAAATTGTGATGAAAATGGATGGTAGGGGGGTAGATATCGACGATGGAAGATTGGGGGATTCTCGGCAAGCGGATGGGTTGACGTTGCAATGTCACCCGGTGATGGCCTGTTTTGGCCGCGCGCACGGCCTCAGGGGCTCGCTTGCCTGTCCGAATCGGGTTAGTGGGGGTCTGGGCATTATCAGAATCATGTTGATGCCTTACTTGATGAGGCTTTGATGCCTGGTGTATAAGGCAGTCTATCAGGTGCCCACCAGGTGGGGGACCGCTCGCGCTTTCCGCTTCTGGACTTGTTTTGGACCTTCCCTTTCTCTTGACCTCTCCCCTCGTCTCCCTATTTCTCCGCTTATCTGATTCTACGGGTTACTCTTATCTCTTTTTTTCCCTTGCCTTCTCCACAAATTCACGTAAACTCTTTCTCCCTCCCTTCCCCCCCCCTCCTTCTCCTCTTCACTGGAATCGCCTCCCTACCTTCCCGGCTCACATTCCCCTCTCTCCCCCGAAATGGACCAACCCGCCGAGCCCAACACGGCTGCCATGCACCATGTCCAGCGCCGCCGAGGTTCTGTCGGCACTACTCAGCTGTTCGATAATATCGTCTCCACGTCCAACTGTATGTTCACTCGTTGCGACAAGCCCGAATCCGACTTGATGAAACACTCCCCCCACCTGGAACTGACACCCCGCAATAGTCGACCGTGAAGAGGTGGACCGCCTGCGCAAACGTTTCATGAAGCTCGATAAGGTACCGCATATTATCTCCCAGGATAGAAACTCTCGTTTATCTCTACCAATTCACTCACACTCATTCACAATAGGATGCTTCGGGCACGATCGATCGCGAAGAGTTCCTTTCCCTGCCCCAGATCTCCTCCAACCCGTTGGCCACCAGGTTCGTGTCTTCACTTCGAAAACAGACCCGGGCAGAGACGAGTTCTATCGGGGTACCTTGAGAGAAGACTTCATTCTAACACCGGTCATCTTTCCTACAGAATGATTGCCATTTTCGACGAGGACGGCGGCGGTGACGTTGATTTCCAAGAGTTCGTGACTGGTCTGTCAGCTTTCAGCTCCAAGGGCAACAAGCAAGAGAAGCTGCGCTTCGCATTCCGAGTCTACGACATCGATCGCGACGGCTACATCTCCAACGGCGAGTTGTTCATCGTGCTCAAGATGATGGTGGGCAACAACCTGAAGGACATCCAGCTGCAACAGATCGTGGACAAAACCATCATGGAGGCCGACAAGGACGGTGATGGCAAGATCAGCTTCGAAGAATTTACTCACATGGTAGAGAGCACGGATGTCAACTTGAGCATGACCCTGAGTACGTACTTTTGTTTTTTTGTCCCCCGAGTTCTTCGGTGCTTCTATTGAGCCGGTTGGATGCTGACATGCTATATCAGGTCAAATATAATCGGACTTGGGCTTGGGCTTGGATACAGTACGGAGGCGCCACCACATGCGGCGCAACTCGGAACGCGCAGCTCGCAACTCGCAACACCGTGTACTTCCTTCAGCCCTCGTCTTTCTTTTCTTTCTCATACATTCTCCACTTGGTGCTGCACCCTTCAAATTCTGCCAGCCTTGGTGCGACATGACATGACCTTCTATGACCCGCGACGTGTGCTTATGTAGTCTACTTACCTTATTCTGACCGGTCTTACATGACTGGAATCTGATAGAAGAAATCATCTTAAAAAAAAGGAAATAGATTTGCGCGCTTTCTATCTCCGATCTCAATTGATGACTGCATCTGACGGGGGTGAATTTGTCATCGGGAGTTCCACGGCGAGAGAACAGGCCAGACTTGATTATTTTCTCCGCGTGGATGCGAGTGGTTGTTTAACTGCATTCATTGCCTAGACCTGGAAGTCTATTTATGGACTCAAGAGCCTTTCGTGAAGAGCTTTGAGACTCCCAAGCCACCGAAGAGTTTCTGCCCAGCGGCCTGGGCTTTAGACCTAGAAAAGATATTTCCCTATCCAGTGGAGATCGGAGATTGTCCTCAGGCAACTTCGGGCTGCTTTCATTAGCGGGTACTCTAGATATATATCCCCGCCAAACTATACGTCATTAGGTATACAACTCCCCATCGAATGGAGATATGCGCTCTTTTAGTGCCTCACTAGCTAGACATGCCCGTTACAATATACAGAAGCCAATCCTGGAACCTTAAATACTTGAAGGCATACTGCAGTACCGGAATAATACCTAAACAATACCTAAACTCTTCGTAAAAAGGCCAGCCTCATCCATTCCACCCCAAAGTGATCCAAATCCTTGACAATCATGAAACACTCGGGCCAACCTCTTCCCGTCCAGACTGCACGTCTCGTGGTCCAATGCCAATCTCAACCAGGGAAGGGGGGTTGTGCCCGGTAGCCGTCATAATCCAAATCCCAATCCATCTCTCCAGCCCATCCACTACCTAAGCTACCACCGGCACCGACAAGAGGACGAACTCCCGGGAAGGAGGATAGAACCGAAACCGAAGAGTAGCGAAGCATATCGTGGATATGTTTTTGTTTTTTCCCTTACAGTTTCTCTTCTCGGGGATGACTATATTTGGCAGCGCGGTGTTCATTCGGTCAACGTCAGCTGACAGGAGTTTATGCAGGTCGGTCGCTGGTCAGTTCGTGAAGGTAAAACAAAGGCCGAGTTTCCTAAGCCCGTGGCTGACAGGGTCATGTACAATACCTTCTATTGTGATTTCCATTGTTCGTTCGTTCGTGATTGCGGATTCCGAGGATCGTGGTGGAATATGGCGGTTGGGCGGCTGAACTAAAGCACCCTACTTGACAGCGCTAATACACCAACTACGGTAAGGTAAGGTGCCGAGTAAGAAGACTAAGCTAGGCAAGTCGGGTTTGGGTATTTCTTCGCATCAGCCATGATCCATCAACCTCGAAAGTACGAGGGTTTAGGGGACAAGTTAAACATAAATCTAATGAACCATTATTTCTAGTGAAATAAACTGGGCATATATCACTGAACGACCGTGGAGCTCATTAAAGATATCTTCCTCCAGCTTTACTTTCTGTTGAATGTTTATAAATAATTGGTAAGAAATATCATGTAGCGGTGTAACAACTGTTCTGGCCACCGGGCTCCTGGTCGCGGGCTGTATACCGAGGGGCCACGAAGCACGGATCGCGATTGATATCAGGCCGGTGTCCCGAGTTGTGCAGATTGCATCATTGGGTAGCTCGAGGGTAAAAGCAAGAAGGAGAATTTGGCATTCGGCATGCGTGAGAATGTACTATTTGGCCTGTTCCTCGCAAGATAAGAGGCTTCCAGGTGGTGGCCCAAGTATTGGCCAGACAACTTGCAAGATCCACGTGATGACGATACCGATTACCTGGGCAGTGAGCTTCTCTCTACACTCGATGTTTTGGCCATGGCTAGCTCTTGTCTCGGGTACATCCCGAGTGACAACCTCCATGACCTGGGATAATACCTGACATGCCACGTTAATCTCAATCTGATGCGGCCCCTGAACAGCCCCTTCTTCTCACTTTCCATCAATCTAGGTCATGTGGCCTGATGTAGCCATGATTTGGGCTAATGTATGTGACGAAAAACGTGAAACTAAAGCCCCACGCGCCTCGATGATAAAGTACGAGGTAGCAGGCACTGCACTCAAGATTAGACCAGCCACCGCCTATCTAGCACGCATTGCCAGTGAAAAGGGACGGAAATAAGTACCCAACCAATCCCCCCCAATGATCATCACATATGATCCGATCATACCTAATCGAACAGATCTCATGGAAGATGTAGCCCACCCACCTCATAGTTACAGCGACGGATACCTAACCGCCGAGCTAACACCCGAACTAACCCAAAGGCTCGGGAAGTCCCCATCCCAACCAACGCGCCGGATCCGATTGATCCAGTCAATCCAGTTGGGGGCAGAATGACAGAAATGACAGGAATGACATGAGATGGGGCCGCTGTTACTTTTCTTTTCTTTTCTTTTTTTTTTTCTTTCTGACAGTCGCCCATCGAGTTTCCACTCTGGTTAGGGCCCCCGGGCCCCCAGTACGGAGTTCTGTATCGTCCACTCATCGTCTCAGGATGGCCCCAGGGTTAGTGCAGATCGGTCATCCAATCGGGCAGATTGGGACCTGACAATGGATGTCTCTGATTTTTGGATCTAAATTATTTCCGCCTCATTTTTCAATTCCTTGGATGATTTATCGCAGATTAATACCGTAAGAAGGTGTACATATTATGTATGCGACAAGTGCTGTTTCTCAAGTGCCAATGGCTGCGGGTGTACTATGCAGGGCGATCATTTCACCAAGTGCTCATGGTCTAGATAGATTAAACATACTTCTTCCGGAATTGCCTCGAAGACTCGAGCTATGTGCTCCTGAAATTATAGTTTATTACGGTTCATCAAGTCGATATCCGCGAAAAGGGGGTCTTCCGCGAAAGACGCGCACAGCAGCTATCCGGGCAATTCTGGCCGCGGAATGTTTGAAGAATCGCAGCACGCAGCCACCAAGCAAAGCAACGAAACCCTAGCTCCCAAGAGCCAACCCCTTTTTAATATTCGGATCTCGCATCGCATCTCTGGGGGGAAAGGGCCCTCTGTTCTCTATAGCTTCTATTTTCCATGTTTTTCTTATTCTTGCTTCTGATCGTTGCGGCCGAAAGGAATTCCAACTCCCACTTCGGCTTTAGATTTAAACTGCAGAGTCCACTCCCAGCCGGTTGGGTCTGGAGGTTGACATGCGTTCTCCGTACAGGAGGGAGATCATAATTGCTTCTTAGTACCTTTGTACCTTTGTTGCGTAGTGCTGATCCCTTCCGGGAAGCGCAAGGGGATCTCCCGGCGCCCTGGAGGGGCTAACTAGGGCCGCAGGCGATGGAGAAATGACGATAGAGATTGACGGCAAGTCAAATAAAACAATACATAGCAGAAATTGACTAGGACCATATGTAGTCTAACTCAAATACCCCCCAATCCACCCGATACTAACAATTATGGACGATAATTGGTACTGAACCCGCCTCCTTTCTGGACGGGCACCGCCACCCATAGATCGTCAGCTCGAAGCATGAGAGTTACACATCGCGAAATAAAATAAGCATGGAAATTCAAATCACCACGAAGAGAGGGCTTGATTATAATAATAAATCCTGATAATGACAAAACACCACTCGCGACACCTGACCCCCGAGCTGAGACTGACCCGATCATAATACACACACTCCGGATGCGATCTACCTCGTTCTTTTCCCTTTTCCCTATTCTTGATCTATTCTTTTTTTTGTTTTCTCTCCACGTTAGGCTCTATTCCTTGTCCACTCCCCGTGTCAATTATTGCTGCCCCTCTCCACCGATCTCATCTGTCATCCTGTCATGACTGCGAATGCCCCTTCTGTCAATCATCCCTAGCTTTTTTTGTTTTTTTCGGCAAACCCACTAGGAACCGTCGCACCGGGTCCCGGACGATCACCGACGTACAGACCCGAACTGAGTTTAGGCGTAGATCGAGCTGATCGTCGCTCTAGCGCCCTTTCTTCCCCAAGCCCTGGGCATTGGGAATTACTGTACTTTCGTACGGGTCGACGGACGACCCTACGGGACTAATAGTCTCTATACTACCGTACTCCATCTTATTCCATCCACCTATCCTACCCAAGGACCTGGTCCACCACGAGCCCAATGAAGAGGTCGTGCTTTTGATCCGCTCCCTTGGGCTGTCGCCTGGTTCCTGAATCCTGGTATGTGTCTGGACTTTTTATTATATTTATTTTTCTTTCGATTTTTCGACAGAATTTCCCTCTTTTATTTGGTGCCTTACACGGTAGTCTCCCTCCTTCCCCTACTTTTTTTTTTTTTTCCCTTTTTTCCAGCTAGTTGACGCCCCTCTCTGTCCGGCTTGACCCATCTTTCGACTTTCTCCCATCCAGCTTGGGGATCCTCTTGGTCCGTTCTTCTACTAGCGTCATCGTGTCTCGCCCCGTTGCTGAGCCGTCTTTGCTGACTTGCCTGGTTCTCCGATTAGATTCATCATATTTGTTCATACTTCATATTCGGTTGATTCGGCAGTCTTTAAAGTCTGCCCATCTCATTGAGAATTGCCCAGATCGTCGAGATTGAACTTTAAATTTCTGCGTTGTATATGTACTTGCTTCGTCCGTTCCTGCGACGTACAAGTTGACATTCTCTATTGAAACTGCTTGAACTGTTCAGCTGGCTCTATTACAGTCAGATCACATATCAGCTACACGAGTGCTCAATTTCACACAAACTGTCGCCAGCATATAACAACGCGTGAAAAGGAGGCTATTTGCTGATCTCAGATCGAACGCGAGCAATCTGCATCCAATTCCTCTTTCTGATCTTAAATACAGAGGCACAAAGAGGGAAAGAGGAGACAAAAAAAAAAGAAAAAGCCACTGCAATTCTTTCTCAAACCATCCCACGAGGATCTCCGTATCTCCCTCTCCCAAGCTGGCCTCCTACGCAAGCCCACCGCTGTCCCCCAAACACTGGGCCGATCTTGATCCCCGCAGGCCCGTGTGGGATAGCCTGATGGATGGAGATCAACGCACCAAGCAGCATGAGCGGTGGATGGCACGGTCCATCGATGCCGCCAGCAGAGGCCGAGGCCGTGCAACCGATCGCTTCTCACAAGCCATGCATACACGTGGAAACCCAACGGGGATTTCACAGGCGCCAGACCGCGCTACCATGTCCTACGATTATGGATACACAGGCGACACTTTCCCTGGAGGTCCATTGCAGCCAAACGACGTACAGGCCTTTGGGGCCGACTATACGCGGCCGCGACAGGCGCCGCATCCATCCCTAGGACATTCCTCGCAAGCCTCAGTGCAGGCGCTTCTCGCGCAGCAACAACAACATCACTCCAACCCTGAAGCAGCGCAGCAACAATCCCGACGGCGCGCAGCGCCCGAAACCACCCCATTGGTTCCGTACGAGTCGGCCATGCTGTACGGCTTCGGTCAACAGGGCTCAGCTCATGGACCCTTTGACGTTGTCCCACAATACTCGACACGGCAGTCTGCAGCGATTGAAGCCCTGTCGAACCAGATGGCCATTCCACAATATTTCCCAGAGGAACCCACGGGGGCGGGGGTCCCCGGACTCTCACCATATCTGAATACGCTGCCATATAATCAACCGGGCCCCATGGCACGAGCTAGCAATGCACATCCATTTCCGACGACGATGGCCGATTTCACGTCCATTGGGACCGGATCGTCCGGTCAAGCTGTGGAACAGCAGCAGCAGCAGCAGCAGATTGATCCGTCCCAGCAGCCTGTTACCGACACTTCCAGTCTTGATCAAGCGTATGCTCAGTACCAGCGTGCTTTGCGCAGCACTTTTGATCAGACGCGCGCCGGGCGATTGGTAGAGGCGAGCGAATCGCTGATGGAAATTTCCGAGTGGCTTGTCACCAACGCACGGGATCTTGGTAGGTTCGGCTCGTTTGTGAAAAGTTTTTTTTGTATTGATGTTTTCCCCCAATTTACATGTGGTGTTTGCGCCGGTGAAATTAAGTTTTTGCCATGGTGACTTTTCGTTCCCTCTACGAGATGTCCGAGAAGATACACTCGTGGGGGCTGGTGTTGGGCAGACCACATACCCCGACATCCTGTGGATTCTTTCCCTTGGCTTTTTTTTTGCCCTACGCCTTGGAATTTTTCCACTTGTCCACGATCCTTTCTTTTCTTTTTCCGCTGTCTCACAGCCATGCATCATCTGACATCTTTTTTTTGGGCGGGAAGTCGGGGAAAAAAGATACTAATCGCGTTTGTGATACGTAGGAATTCTGCGCGACGAGCATCAGCTGTACCCGGATCGCTTACAGCTCTGGAATAACTTCAATCTCTGCTGGCTAGCCGTCTGTCAAAAACAAAAAGATTTGACCCAGGATGTCGTAGCGACGGGTCGCCAATCACCCCAGACCAGTCTATTGAGCCGGGACCGAATGGAGGCCATGGGCAAGGACTTGATCCAACTTTGCGACCAGCTGGAACAGCACGGATTGGTCGATTATCAGATGGGGATTTGGGAAGAGGAGATTCTTTCCGGTAAGTGAGATTGTGTTGTTCTTGTTCTATTGGGTTTGGTGGATGTCTGCGCTTGCCAAAACCCCCACTCGATCATCTCCGTTATACTTTCTCTACCCGATTTTCGTTCTCGTGCTGATTTATACTAGTCCTGGGCCAATGCCTGGATCTGATGGAGAGCAGACCCGAGCTCCTCCACATGCAGACCATCCCCGAGCCGGCGACTGCAACACAACGACCATGAACGAACCCACTAGACCCGAATCAAGGGAAAAAAAGGGCCCCCAAAAGGCCAAGAGAAGAATGATACCTAAGGAGAAAACAAGAAATCTCCCAACTCCCCCTCTTGAACCTGATGCGCAAAAGCCCCCCCTCATCGCGACCACAGCCCCGGTTCCCAGTTGGGGTTCCTGCTTAGGCTCCTCCCGAGAGACCGGGCCTCCTGCACCACCGGGAGCGACTGGGAAACATTCCGCGCGAATCGATTCACAGTCAAGCGAACTCGCGACGGGGGTCACGGCTTAGTCTTACAGGGGGGGAGATCACCCGGTGCTGTGGGTGCGGGGGCATGATGGGACGGTCATCAGCCACGGTAGAGGCTATTGTCTACTAGCGTCGCGCCAATCGGGATTCCCTGATGTGATATTCGAGATCGTCGGGATGAGGGGGACGGACACTGGTCACCTTGATTGCATCTCTGGAGTCTGAACAAAATTGGAAGATTCGTATTCTCCGCTTCTCCAATCACGATGGTCGTGATCGGGAAAACTCATAGAGGACTGGTATGGATTCATCTCACTTTGCAAATCGACGCGGAATGAATTAAGTGTCGTTATATCTCTCCCCCAACCCCCAGACCCCCGCCCTGAATGGACACGTTGGATGTATTCATCAATTAATCCCGTGTCGTTCCCGTGTCCCAGCCGCACTCGCTTGGAACTCTAGCTTATCGCTAGTTGTGCCTTGGCTATGGAACGTCACCCGGCTCGCGACTGGAGGACTAGTCGGGCTAATTTGTTTAGCTTACGGAGGACTCTACACTTAGCCTAGTCTAGTTGTTCGTCTCTTTGCACTGATGGTACCTCACGAGAGATCGCATCATTTTAAAGTCTCACTCAATAAAGCAATACACACGAAAGGTATTCCTCCGTTTTATCCCATATCCAGATCTCTCCTTGTACTGTAGTTGAGTAATTCCATACAGGACCACGTCGTATCGTACTTTTGCTCGAGTCTCTGCCATATCATGAATCGCCAATTTAAGTGCTCACAATATTAACACCCTAGCACGGAGCACAGAAGAAAATGACGATAAAAATTTAGGAAGGGGAAGTATGGTACGGCGCAAGTTCGGTACGTGACGCTTGGTTTGGTTGATTAGGGTTTCTGCATTGAAGATCATGTCAATTGGTCATTGTGGATCAGATCGGATCGTCTTGTATGGAGTCCAGTGCTCTGCTGTATGTCGGTATGTCCTGCTGATGTGCCTTGTGCAGAGTACTTTTGTTATGTCGGTTGGCCAGAATGGGGATGAGGATGGATTTTCTGCGTCATTGTTTGTGTTCTTGGTTGTGATTGGACTTGATCATGAGACAAAGTAGATGCTATAGAGCGAATCGTGATGTTGGATCATTTGATAGCTCTGTAAAAGCCTTGTGTATCATGTCGCCACATAGCATCTTCTGCGGTACAACAGCCGATCCATCATAGACTTGTAGACCGCCAGTGCAAATCTTAGATGCAAAGCAGGAAGGTTTGCTCTGGTGGATCATCTGCCAGTGCTGACAATTTCTTAAACTTTCTGACCACCCAAACCCTGCCCTGCGCATAGGGCTAGATCGACAGATCATTCTGCCAGGTACGTCTATACATGAGTAGTCCGCCTTACACCGTACTTTGGTTAAATGCGAGAGGCCGATAACATTGATTCCATGGAAAGCCCCATATGCATTGTACAGGATATAGAACAGGACTGGCGGACTCGAGCAGCCATGCAGGTAGAATAATACATGATAGATAAAAAAAAAAGAAATAGTAGAAAAGCATCGCTCGACAAAAGATCTTCTCTCCCCCCCTTTTAACGCTTGACCCAGGTAGGCATCTTGCGGGCCTTGACGTGACCGGGCTTCTTCCTCTCCACGCGACGGGCATCGACGGAAATAACACCGGCTAGAACGCAGAGAAAGTAATTGTCAGCATAAGGCTCCACAAAATGGGATACTGTAACAGAAAGATCAACGTACCCTTTCGCAGAACGGGCTTCAAAGCTGGCTCATGCAACAGCAACGCCCGTCCAATTGCCAGCGTGATAGCCTCGGCCTGGCCAGTCACACCGCCGCCTCGAACCGTAATCCACGCATTATACTTATCCAGTCGCTGTGTGCAGCGCAGTGCCCACAACGCGCTCTCCCGATCGTGCACCCGCTGGAAGGCCTCGACCAGCGACTTGCCATTGACGAGGACCTCGCCCTCGCCCTCGACCAACTGCACAACGGCAGTCGACTCCTTACGCTTGCCCTTGGCGCGTGCCCGACCATTCTCGTCTACCGTCCGTTGCACATGCTGCACCGCATATGGGTTTCCGGGACGCAGGAAGGACTCGAGCGTGCGCTTGACCTCGCTGGGGACCATCTCCGGCTGGATACGGTTCAATTGCTGCAGAATCTTCACCAGACTCTTGTATTTCTTCATCGGCACCGGTTCGCCCACGTAGTCACGGAACTGGGCCAACTTGAACCAGGCCATGCGCGGTGCGTCGCCGGCGGCGACGGTCGGGAGCGAGGCGTACTTGGCCTGCAGGGACTCCAGCTTCAGGACGTGGTCGATGAAGCGAGGGCTGCCGGAGAAATAGGAGGGAGAGGCGGGGACAATGCGGGCTGGACGACGGGAGAAGTTTGAAAAGTCGATTTCGGGAGCTGCTGCTGCTTGCTCGTGTGTCGCGAGGGCCGATGGTTGCTGGCCTTCTACTTCGGTCGCATACGTCCGGGTCTGTCGGGCCAGGCAGCGGGCTACCGGGCGGGATGGTGTTGATGAGTGTAGCCGCAAAGCCTGGAAAGCCTGGGTGAGGCAATTGGGCGTAGGCCGGGCCATTGTGAAGGGGGATATGACGGTTGTACGGAACCTCTTGTAGGCCGCGGACGAGTCTCAACTTCTCGCAGTTGTCCCGGCGCTGTTTTTCCCGCCACGTGACTTGGATGCAAGAATAGTTCCTCCGGGAGCCGACGGGCGGGATCCGCACAAAATTTCATCTGCCCCTCTCCCATCCGTCCTTCTCTTCTCTCCTTTCTTTTCTCTCCCCATCACACATCCCTTGCTTTCAAAATGTCTTTCGGAAAGCTCTACGGTCTCCCTGTACGTTTCTGTTGCGAGCCTTTGACATATCTGCATTCCTTCTGACCTCTCTTTTCTTGACAGGAGAACGGTCGCACCATCGCTGCCCTGGTCGCTGCCAAGCACAACGACCTCGACATCGAGCTGGTCAACACCGTGCCCGGCGCTGCCAACGCCAGCGCTGAGTACCTCAAGATCCAGCCCCTTGGCAAGATCCCCGCCTTCGAGGGTGCCAATGGCTTCACTCTCTCCGAGGTCATTGCCATCTCTATCTACTGTATGTTGATGACAGCTGTTTTTTCCAAGCTCGGACAATTTCTATTTTTCCACTTGCACGCCACCACCCCCAAATCGCACCCTGTTTTTCATGATGAGATCAATCATATTACTAGTTATCCCTGGCAGAACTACACTGTTGAGATGAACACACTCTGATCAAAAACATTACCCGCGAAAATTTGAGTACCCCGCTATCTTGAGGGGGAAAATTTTTCTCGGGGGGAGGGGGGGGACTTGTTGGGCGGAACTTGGGCTTCAGACTAAGCTCCTACCCCCACTTGTCTCCTCCCTCCTTTCTCCCCTCGAGCACATTGTCCCATCACCACCCCTGATTGCATGATTGAATTGTGGATCCCACAATTGGTTGCCGGAAAAAAAACCTCAACTAACTTGTTTTGGTTATAGTGACCTCCCAGAACGAGAAGACCACCCTTCTCGGCAAGACCAAGCAGGACTATGCTTCCATCGTCCGCTGGATGTCCTTTGCCAACAGCGAGCTCCTCCCCAAGATCAGCGCCTGGTACCGCCCCCTCCTCGGCTTCGACCCCTACAACAAGAAGACCGTCGATGAGGCCGCCAAGACTGCCGTGAAGACCGTTGAGGTCTTCGAGCAGCACCTCACTGCCAACACCTACCTGGTCGGCGAGCGCATCACCCTGGCTGATCTCTTCACTGCCGCCCTCCTGACCCGTGCCTTTGCCACCGTCCTTGACAAGAAGTTCCGCTCTGAGAACCCCGCCACCACCCGCTGGTACAACACCATCATTGCCCAGGCTGCCTTCAAGGCTGTCGTCCCCAACCCCGTCTTCACCGAGGAGGTCATCAAGTACACTCCCCCCAAGAAGGAGGAGAAGCCCAAGCCCGCTGCTGCCCCCGCCGCCGCCGCCGCTGAGGAGCCTGCCCCCGCCCCCAAGGCCAAGCACCCCCTGGAGGCCCTTGGCAAGCCCACCCTCATCCTCGATGAGTGGAAGCGCCAGTACTCCAACGAGGACACCCGCCCCGTTGCCCTCCCCTGGTTCTGGGAGCACTACAAGCCCGAGGAGTACTCCCTCTGGAAGGTTGACTACAAGTACAACGAGGAGCTCAAGCTCACCTTCATGGCCAACAACCTGATCGGTGGCTTCCACGCCCGTCTTGAGGCTTCCCGCAAGTACCTCTTCGGTGCCCAGTCCGTCTACGGTGCCAACTACGCTTGCGTCATCAAGGGTGTCTTCCTTGTCCGCGGCCAGGAGGCTCTCCCCGCCTTCGATGTCGCTCCCGACTGGGAGTCCTACAACTTCGAGAAGCTCGACCACACCTCCGAGGCTGACCGCAAGTACGTCGAGGACATGTGGGCCTGGGACGTCCCCGTCGTCGTTGACGGCAAGACCCTCGAGCACGCTGACGGCCACGTCTTCAAATAAGCGTGTGCATCAAGCACGCCTTTCTCCTTTCTCAATGAATACCCCCTGGAGAGCGATATCTGATCACTTCCTGACCTTTGTGTCTTGCTCATCCTTTCTCCCTCTTCTTTCATGCTACCCGCGCCTCGATGTCGGGGCCGGGAGTTAAAATGTTTTCCCCCCTTTCCAATCCTACCCCACCCATCTTCTTTTTCATGTGTCGATGTGGTTCATGTTCACGGTTATGATATGTTGTGATGCGAGATGAGATGAATGACTTGCGTAGTCCGGGTTGCCATCGTGCACTCGGATGCGTGGTCGCTGCTAGGTTACTACGTCTAGCTATCAATAAACAAATCGGGACTTTTGTCTCGATGAATTTATTCGGGACTTCTCTTCTTGTTAACTCGTAGGATGTAGATGCAATTTAGGTATATCGCGTAAAGTTGCGTGCCCAAGTGCTGGCTAATGTCCTGCACGATGTATGCCCCTCCGCTTTGAACTGTTTGCCTCCCACTCGAAGCTGATGATGCGGTATTTTCCAGTCATTATGTGACTTGCATTGCCAGAAATTTAAGCCACTGCGTGCTATTCCCCATAATTTTAAGGGGCTGTCTAATTTGTTTACAGTACTTCGTGGTTCGTTGCAATAAACTCTTGTACCTGACTCGCCGAGAACTCTAATCATATACCTCCCTCCCATGTTGAAATGCCTAGTAGGATGGAAATATAAAATACCTTCTTCTCCTATCAAATGACATTTCCCTAGTAAAGGGGTCTTGCTCGAGGCATGTCCTGTACTCACCAATGAATTGGATAATTCTTCATAGGAGAGGGATTCAAATCAATAGACGAGAGTATCCGTGTTTGTAGTTGTATTGGGGGTCCGAACTTATACGTCGAGTGCTGTTTACACAGATGAGTTTGAGAAGACTTGACCTCTTTTGCTTCGTTCTTCTTGATATAATGAAGATAGTGGAAGGCTGAGATATGGCTATGATTGTCGCCTACTTAGGTGCTACTAGTAACTTTGTTGTGGACTCGTTAGCTCAACAAATTATATGTCAATATCCTCCTGCTGTAAATAGTATCCCATCCCGAAGTGCGGATGAGGGTTAGCGGATCAAGTCTTGACGTTGAATATTTGGTGTATTTTCAATTTGTGTTTGTTTGCGTATACATGTGATAAAGTTGGGTGAAAACGTATAGGGACTGCCGCTGGTGCTAATGTATGTGACTAGTCACCTGATGGTGAGGCTGATGCCCGAGGTCATTCATCCCACATCAACGTCTCCTTGCAGCAATGCCGTAGCACCATGACATCTTCGGCGTCTTTCAGCGGTGTGAACTCGGGTCTCCAAGTGGGAAATAATTTTGGGCCGATAACGGCCGACCTTCATCTTCCACGTATGCTGTGCTGTATAACATAAGTCTTTGTTGGGCACCACTGACAACCAAGGTCCATCCTAGAGCCACCGGAACCGATACCAAGCCCTTTGTCCACCGTTCCGTTTCCTCGAGATCCAGATTTTCTTGATCGCGGGACGGTGTTTGATGATATACGCGATATAAGCTCGTCTCCTGCCTCACGACTGGCCTTGGTAGGCATAGGAGGTGTTGGGTGAGTGAAGAGCTGCCCTAATCTCTAAGGACGCCTATTTAATAGCTGAATCTCTTACAGAAAGTCTCAACTTGCAATCGAGTACTGCTACCGCTTTCGCGATGAATCGCCAGAAAGATGGGCATTCTGGATCCATGCAAGTAATGCCGCCCGGTTTGAACAGGGTTGTCAGTCAATCGCCGAGCGAGTCAAAATTCCCGGTCGTGATACTCCCAAGTCCAGCTCATTGAAGCTTCTAAGTGATTGGCTGTGCGATGAAAAGAGGGAGAAATGGTTGCTCATTCTTGACAATGTGGACGACGATGAATTTCTCCATAATTGTACCCAGAGCAACCAGCCACTTCTAGCCCAGCTTCCGATGAGTGCAAATGGTACGATTATCATCACAAGCAGGAGCAGAGAGGTGGCATCAAGACTCGTCGAAGATCGGAATATCATTGACATCAAACCGATGACCGAGAAAGACGCAGTGAATCTCTTTGAGAAGAAGCTGGCAATGAAGGCTGAAAAGGAAGCTGTCATTGAGCTTACCACGGCGCTGGATTCGATACCATTGGCTATTGTGCAAGCAGCAGCATATATCAAGCAAAGGGCCCCACGGTGCTCTGTTCAGCAGTACCTCGAGCAATTCCGTAAAGGGGACCGCAAGAGAACGAGACTTCTGGAAAAAGAAGGGGGACACCTTCGACGAGACTGGGAAGCTAAAAACTCAGTCATGGTTACTTGGCACATGACATTTGATCATCTCCAACAGACCAGGAGATCTGCAGCAGATCTGCTTTCTCTAATGAGTTTCTTCGATCGACAAGGGATTCCCGAGTGTTGTCTTCGACACAGAACCATGACAGGAGATGAAGACAATAATAATCCGAGTCAAGAGATGACTGATAGTGTGTCCTTGGCATCAAGTATCGACGATGACGAATTTGAAGAGGATATCCAAAAACTACGGAGCTTCTCCTTAATTTCCACTACTTCAGACCCGGCCACCTTTGAGATGCATCGGCTTGTGCAACTTGCCACCAGAAACTGGCTTGAGTCTCACGGTCAATTCAACGAGTGGAGAAAATTGTTCATCAGAAACCTCTCGATTGGATTTCCAGCAGAACATTTCGAACATGAGGACTGGAGTAAATGCCAGTTGCTGTACCCTCATGTCCAACTGACAATGACCCAATACCCGGAATTGGATGACTGCCTGGATAACTTGTCGATCTTGCAGCTCAATGCGGGTACATTTGCGGTGCTTAATAAAAACGTGGCCGAGGCCCAGAATTTATTGATCGCAGCATGCAAATCTAACCTAAAACTATTCAGCTCAGTACACCCAAGGACACTAAGCAGCGCGGACCGTTTGGGTGCCTTTTACCTCTTTTCCGGACAAGTGGCGATTGCAGAGAAATTATTGACCCCGACGGTGAAGATCCATCGCAGGCTATTAGGCGATGACCATCCTGCTACCTTGCTTAGTATGAGCACACTGGGATCACTATACCTGGCACAAAATCGATGGCAGGATGCAGAAGCACTGTACCAACAAGTTGTCACGGTCCAACGAAAATCGTTGGATTGTGGGAACTTCACTGCTCTATCTGGTGCGATTAATCTGGCAAAGTTGTATCGACAACGGGGCCGATTGAAATATGCAGAGGAGCTACTCGAACCATTGGTGGGCACTCTGGAGACTGCCTTGGGCGCTGAGCATCCTGAAACTCTAGCAAGCATGAGCGGCTTGGCATCAGTATACCGGGACCAAGGCAGATATCACGACGCCGAAGTGCTATATACGCAAGTCATCAATACCGGTAGCAAGGTATTTGGCACCGACCACCCGGAAATCCTTTCAGCCATGATTGAGCTAGCAATATCGTACGAGGAGCAAGGTTCATGGTCAAAGGCCGAAATGATAGTCCTCAAGGTTATAGATACTTGCAAGAAGACGCTCGGTGATAATCACTACTATACTATGTTTATAATGACCGGTTTAGCCCACATGTACAAGGACCGGGGCCGGCTGCAAGAGGCAGAGTCTTTGTTTTCTCACCTTTTCAATTTTCACCAAAGCGTACATGGAGCTACAGATCCTCGGACGTTAACCGTGATGCATAGTCTTGCCGTGACATGGAGCGTTATAGGTCGAGATGCAGATGCTCAAAGGTTGATGGCGGAATGCGTGGAGAAGCGGACGCGAGTTCTTGGTCCGGATCACCCCGACACTAAGAAAAGCACTCTAGCCCTCGTGACAGGTCGAATGATCGATCTAGATATAAATTGAATCAGCCAAGTTGATACTATCCGACATTGTGAACCACAGAGTCGGGGTGTAACCGAAAACAGAGGCCTTTTAAGTCTCATTGCACTCAATATAGTAGACCGCTACCATCATGGATCGTCTTCCTCCACTTACAGTTTATTTTGCTCCTTGAATTCACCATTAGCTCCCATTCCATTCGATAAGAATGCCGCCTCCGATTTGATATCATATTTACTACGCTGAAATCGAGACAGAGATGCCGATTCCTCTTGCTGTGAACTTTATTCGCCAATAGTTGCCAATAGTAGATTGCTGGATTCGGACCTTTCGAAAGAATTGAAGTCGGAGTAGCCGAAACGAATAAACACAACACGAAGCAGCTCAAGACACAGAGGATATGAAAAGGTATCCCAAGTTCTCGAATATTTATTGGATCTCGATCGTGCTATGCTTGGCGATATTGTGTGTAGCCGCGGACAATACCATAAGTTTCCAATGCGGATCCTCGAATTATTAGTGATTCTCACAGCGTTGACGACGTGGGTGGTATGCAGCCTAAGTCTTCGAAGGCGAGACCGATTCCTGATCTGTTGATGATTCGTTACAGTCACTGATAACCGGAGCACAGAGGAGCCTTCTAAGATTCAACTACATAGCATTAGTGTTTCTGCATCAATCGGATAAAAATTGATAAGGACTAATTCAACGCTTTTATAGAGAAAATCCGTCTCTGACAACACTTCCCGCCACTTGTCCTTGGATATCCATGTGGCAATGTATAAATCAATGTAAAGAACAACGTATCCTTTCTTTTGGAATTCGAAATTACTACACCCAGGAACCTCTATGACCGAATACGTTGCGTCGCAGGCTCGGCGCAGCCGGCCACAACTCTGGTAATGCATAATGATGCCTTTATCAGCTACCTAAGGCAAACCTCGGTTTGTACGCTTTACATGAGTTGATGCATAGAAGAATAAACAAACATGGTGCTTTCCATTAGCTTCTACATTATCTACACAAATACACATGAACCCTCAACCGCAATGCGAGGTCGAAACTCCACCAAACTCCATTCGCCCAATATCCAGTGACATCGCAAGAGACCCGAAAAAAATCACACAGCAATCTCAGAAAGAGAGGTCCTGGATTGATCACCTTCGTCTCTTAGGCTTGATCCCAAGTCCCTCTTCCAGATTATCAAGCAACGTATTCCGAGACGCTGTAGATGTAGTTGGAGAGACGGAGCGTCTGCCATCATCGGTAACCGGTGACACGGAACGGCGGTCCGAAAGGTCTTGATGGTCATGACGAGGTCTTTCCTGATTATCCAACGGCTCAGTGGCCGCCTCAGAATTGGATTGAACCCTGCGGCGAAGACTGTATCGCTTTTCACCGGCGTTCTCGATGATGTTTACGTGCGCGTTGGGCTCGAGCTCACGCTCAACATTAGGTTCCTGTGCCCAGAGGGGCTTGGTCTTGCCCTTCTTGCGACGGCTCGGCTTAGTGACACCGGCAGCCTTGGGACTGGCGGGATCTGCGTTACCAGAAGCTTTAGTCGAAGACTGAGCTTGAGCTTGCGGCTTCTGGATAAGCTGGTTGGCAGCTGCGATGGCAGCTTTGGCAGCCTTCTTTTCCTTCTTGCGAGCCTTTCTTCTCAGACGCGTTGCTTCTTTGGGGTCGAGTTGGACGGCAAGGGAGGGTCTTATATCGAGGTCGATGGGATTGGCAGAGGTGCCAGGGGCCGTGGTAGCCAGGAGACTCGTCCCACCGTCTTCCTCATCGTCGAATTCTTCTTCTGGTCCGAGATCAAGGTCCAAGATACTGGCTTCACCTTGCGCGACACGTTCGTTCCATTGACGGAGCACTTTACTCACGTCGTCATGACGGGCCAGGACGTCGAGTTTGGCGAGGACTTTGGTGAATAGGTTTGATTCGTCGATGTTGCGGTCGTTGGTGAACTCGGGGATCTCGAGGATGTTGAAAGGTTCGCTGAGAGCTTTAAGTTTGCTGTCATCAATGAGGATGGTGTTTGTTTGGTCCCATCGCTGACCAGGTGGGCACGTTCCAGCTTTATGCCGATTTCGATTCTTCTTGCTGTTTTTGCCTCCGCTCTGTTTGGGCGGCGGAGGCTGTTTGACGCCCTCATTTCCTGGATACACAGCTTGAATCTCAGGGGAAGCCCAGACCTTGCGTAATTCTTTGTACACCTGTAACTTCGCGTTGTATTGTGTCTGGGTGAGGCCAAACTTATCACGGCCCCACAATGCCACCATGCTTTTGCGCTTCTCAGCAGGGAACAACTTGTTGCAGATAGCATCCAAGGTCGGCGGCTTTGAACTTGTCCAGATCATTACTGCGTATCTACTGGTAAGTTCATCGAGGAACTCATCCAGACCATGGCGACGGGCGAATACTGGAGGCAATTTGCGGTGTTTGCGGAAGATCAGAGTGCCGTTTAGATCGAGGATGACGAGCAAGGGTCGTCTTGTTGGAGACCTCTGTGGTGGTTTCGATGCTTGTAGCATGTACTCCTTTGTCGGTGATGGCCTCTTCATCGGTGGTGTTGGTGATCGTGCTCTTCGTGGTTGAACGGTATTAGGGAGTTGCCCTGTTGACCCGGCCATTGTGCTCATGTTCTGGGTCTGCATAGGAAACATTGGGTTGAATGGCGGTATCATTGGGAAAGGCGGGAGGTTCCCCATCGAGTATTGGTTGGAGAACATCGGGTTGAAGAATGGGAATGTCTGTTGGAGTTGTGGTGTAATAATCGATTGACTGTTCGCATTCACAGGGTTCCACGATGGGACATTGAATGCGCCGAATGCATTTGAAGGTGAAGCTGGGGTGTTGCCGCTCGGTAATTTCCCTCCGTCATTGGCAGTCTGACTTGCTGGATTGTTGGACATAGGAATTGCCGCATAAAAACCAGACGCGTTGGCTGCTGCTCCTGATCCATATGGCATCATCGGGTTTCCCTGCATGCCATGATCCCCGACTCCCGCAGCATTATGACTTGTTTCATGCGGTAAATCCTGACCACCCACTGAGCCATTGAACTCAGGCGTCTGAGCCGGCCACAGTGATTTCTTCTTCTGTCCACCGTGCATGTCGCCCATCATGACCTCCGGCGCATTTGCATACTGTGGGAGTTGAACGGGCCCAGCCAAGTCCGCAGCGTCATGCGCACGCTTCTGCCGTTTCTGCTTATTACGAGCCAGCTTGTTAAATATTGCAGAGTTGCGCACAATGGACCGGTGTTCTCGTGGGAGGGAGTCAATCGTGTCTCGACTTCGTGCGGAGTGTGTGATAAGCTACATCAGTATCGCTGTCAGTCCGCACGGTAAATATAAGTATAGCAGCCCCCCAAAGAGCCACAATGCCACCAACTAACCGGAATTGTCTGAGCAGAATAGCCACGCCTCCTAGATTGAGCCAAGAGGTTCCACGATCGCGCGGGGCAGGTCGAGCGTGACATCGACTGCGCGACGGAGTGGATGTTGACGGGGCAATCGGCGGGAAAAAAAGGTCCTAATCTTATCGCGTTCACCGCCCGTGCCGGCAATATTTTTCTTTTTCGCAAGATCAGTTCGATCTCGGATTGAACCACGCTGTCCGTGAATACGATTCAAATATGGCTATTACGGATATGCTGAACCGCCGAGTACGGGCTCGGCCTGATGATGAGGATGATGTGTATTCGGAGCAGTCAGATATGGGTGAAGAGCCTTCCCAGGATGAGGCCGCAGAGGAAGAGGATTCTGATGCCGCAGATGCGCAATCCGGTGATGTACGTACATGGTTGCGACGGCAGAGACTTCATTTCCTAACAAAGACCCCCTACTACAGTCACAAGATGAAGGATCAGAAGACGCTGGTTCAGACTCGGATGAGGATAGCAACGACAATGCCTCTGCCTTCTCGGAAGAAGATGAAGAAGAAGACTCCGATCCCAACGACGACATCCAAGCCTCCCTAAGCAACATTTCCTTTGGCGCCCTAGCCAAAGCCCAAGCTAGCATGGGCCCCAAGAGAACCAAGTCAAAAGCTACCAAATCCGTCCCCGAAACCACATCAACCGCCTCCCCCCTCGACGACATCCGCGCCCAAATCCGCGCCGCTCGGGATCAAAAGCGTGAAGCCGCAGCCGCCTTAGCCAAGGATTCCAGCTCCAAAGAAAAGAAAGCAGCACGCGCCTCCAAACATGCACCGATGGTACAATCTTCCAAATACGCCGTCGGCCGCAAACGCGTAATCGTCGAACCGCCGGCAACGGCCAAAGCACGGGACCCACGCTTCGACGCAGCGGTCATGGGCCACAGCGGCAAGGGACTGAATGCCAAGGCTTCCGAAAAGAATTACGCCTTCCTAGAAGACTACCGGGCCTCTGAACTACGCGATCTGAAGAGACAAATGGCGCAGACGAAGAACCCGGAAGCCAAAGAAGCGCTGAAGCGACAGATCCGTTCGGCGACGGATCAGCAGAAAGCGAGAGAAAATCGGAAGCGGGAGGAGGCTGTCATTGCGGAGCATAAGAAGAAGGAGAAGGAGGCCATTCGAGATGGGAAGAAGAGTACGCCGTACTATTTGAAAAAGTCGGATTTGAAGAAGCAGGTTATGCAGAAGAAGTATGAGGAGATGGGATCGCGGGATCGGGCCAAGGCGTTGGAGCGGAGGAGGAAGAAGATAGCGTCGAAGGAGAGGAAGGATATGCCTATGGAACGACGGGGGTGGGAGGGTATGGGTGGTGGTGATGAACCTCCTGCGCGAGGTGGAGGTGGTGGTGGTAAGAGGAGACGACTTGAGTAGATACCCAACTTGTGACTATTGATTTTTAGATTCAACTCTTCTGAACAAGTTCAGTGAAATCTCCCAAGTGCCAATCATTAAGTTCCAGTCGTAATATACTATATTAGGATCCGAGGTAATTACAAACCAAATCCTACCAGGGATTCTCCCTCAACCCTAACACAATGAAACTGAGATCATCGAAGAACGGAATCGGAAATTGGGATCACAATCAAAAGAAAATCCGGTCATGAATGCAGAATTCCCAATGAAGAAAATAAGAAAGAACAGACGTCCGGAAAAGAGGTATATGGCAAAAACATGAGGCAAAAGACACCCAACGCCTAATGCGAAGCAAATGCAAGAGATTCTCGGTTAACCGGCGAGGCCGAACCCAAGAGAGCGCAAGCAAAACATCAAAACAGACCCTTTTTTTCCAAGTAAGCCCTCACAGAGGCTCACCCATGTCGTACCGTAGGTATAGATGGGATGGGATATAAACATCAACGTCATATAAACGAGGAAAGAAGAGCAGAACAAGAAAACCTAGAACCATAATACTCAATCATCAAGATGAGGCGGGAAGGTATCGCATTGGGAAAAGAAAACAAAAACGAAAAAAAAGTTCAAACATGGCAAGTCATCCAGTTCGATCAAAAAGAGGGGGCTGAAGAAGAAACGCCGGATAGAGCAACGGAAATATGCTCCACCGGGACTCATTTTTAGATTCGGACTTGCCGAAGGAGAGGAGAGAGGGTCAGCGCAAACCACATATAGAGCCAGGTGAATCTCACGCATGACCACAGTGTGATGTGATGATCGATAGCGTCCCCATGCGGAAGCTGTTAATGGGGGCACAGCGGTAGCGACGTGATAAAGCGCAATATTTCAAGAGTGGAACAAATCCCAAGCGCGGGCACACAGGCCCAAAAACTCTTCCTTCTTTCTCCGCTGAGTCTCTGGCGAGTCCCTGCCTGCGCCAAACGGACCGGGGAAGGTGGAGTTGGGCCCCATCGTCGCAGCAGGATTGGGTCTGCCGTGAGGATCGGGACCATGGCCTAGGGGCGGGCTTCCATTGTCCTGCTCATATTCACTCCGGGGACGACGGCGAGCAGTGGCATCGGTAGAGTACATTGGATGGGCCGGAGGGGCGCTGGGGGCTGGTTCACTGACCAACGGTGCGGTCTTGGGGGCCATATAGCCAGCATGGGGCGACGGGGGAGTAGGAGGTTGGTGACCGCCGTAGTGCACGATGCGGGGAAGCAGCTCTTCCCGTCCACCGGACATCTCCTGAACTGCCTCCTCGGCGGAGCGGTATTCCCGTGGCCTGGTAGGTGTTTGGGACATGTTACCGGGCAGACCGGGGGATGGTAGGGGTGCTAGGTTTGACTGGGAGGAGTTGCTGCTGGATGCATTAGGGTACAGACTGGGGCGATCCCGATCACGGTCCCGACCACCCAGTGTATCTGATCCAAAGACATCGGAGAGAGGAGGAAGGCGATTGTTGGTTTGAGTGGCGGGAATGTGGTGCATATGCGATGTCGAGCCTAGCGTCGGGCTCTGGTTGACGATATGGCGGGTCAATGGTTGAGGTTGATACCGACCAGTGAAAGTCTGGTTCAACGGAGCTGATTGAATCACCCGCTCATTGGCGAACTGGGAAGCAGAAGGGGGGACGATAGAAAGACCAGGAGGGCGTCGCTTAGAACCGGATTTCGGTACGGCCATGAACTTCGACTCGGACGGTTTAACTCCCTCGGGGCCTTCATCCTTGGCCGATTTCTGTAACCGCGCCTCGATTATTGACCGCTGCTGTTCCCGTACTGACATACTGCGCTGTAGCTGTTCTCTCATCACCGGATCATGTGTCTGGAAGCCGGGCGACAGGCAGGCCAGTCCCACATTTTGCATGGTGAAACCTTCCCGAGCGGTCATGGGCCCTCCCGGTGGACGCACCTGGAGGCCACTGGAAGACGGAAGGCTGGTCGACAAATCCAACTTTCGGGGCCGAGGGCGACTCTGCATGCGCGGCGACGATGGCGGTTCCTTCTTCACGGTAATCCTTGGGCCGGTGCTACCCTGAGACCTATAACAAGCGAATCTTAGCATCGCGCATTCTTTCTGTATACTTTTCCAGTCGCATATCCCGATTCCAAACTTACGGAGATGATGGATCTATCCGCTCGGGTGTGCCTCTGGCCGGTCCATCTTGAGATGTGGTCGACATGCGCGAAGGGGAGGAATTCGCCGGGACGCCGGCTGGCGGCGCCAAGGTCGGGCAGTTCTTCGGACTTGGGTCGCGGGTGGTATGTGGTGAGGACAATGGAGCTGCCGTCACGGATGCAACTGCCGTTGACATGGTGTTGCCGACTAGCGAGAAGAAAAAGAGCCCGGGACTTGCGGTGGGAACTTGCGGTGAAACCGTTTACCCTCGAGAGATGGGACCCCGGAGAGTATCGCGATTCAACAAGCAAAGACTATATAGCCGCTGCTAGAACGGTTTGATATATCAATACAACGGCGTGGGATCAGCGACCAAGGACCCCCTCGAAGAAGAGGTGAAGCATCAATGGACGACGATGGAAGCTGACGTAGAAAGCAGGCCGGTCCCGACGTGGTAGGCTTTTTTGTTGAGGCTGACGCTTCAGGATAATTTCAAGTCGGAGAGTTGCACGAACAGAGAAATGACGGCGGTGATGTCAAAGATCTAGTTCCGGAGGGGCATGAACTGCCTGCCAGTCGTCCGAGTGTAGAGTAGAGAGTACTGGAAGTGATGCGAGAGGTAGAGGGGGGGGGGCGGCAGTTCGGCGGCAAGCAGAGCGACTAGCTGTGAAAGGGAGAACAAAGAGTCCAGAGCGTCAAGCGAAAGAAATGGACGGAAGGATTATTGCTCGAAAGGCGGTAATCAGCTGGTCGAGGACAGGAGGAGGAGGAGAGAAAGTGTCGTGAATTGAGGGTCTGGGCCCAGAAGGGGGAAGCAGAAGACGGTCAAAGTCAAAGAGGACGAGGAAGCCCGAACCAGGGGGTGGATGTAAAAGTACTGGTACTTGATGTAACTGGTAGTTATTTATGCAAGATAATGTACTTCTACCTCCATGCCTCCCGTGGACCCGCGCTCAAACATTTGCTGCAACCCGCTATTGGGCCCGGCGTATCAGGATCGTCTGGCTGAGACACGACGTGTTTCTGTTTCTACCAACCAGATGAACGGACCTGCCCAATAAGCTGCTCGTGCGGATCTGCGACCGCCAGTGTTCCAGTCTTGGATAGTTTCATCTATGGAAATACACCGCCCCCTGGTGGCTTGGCCGAACGACTTTGACGTATCCTATTCCGGATTCAGCAAACTAGAGCCTCCCGATTCTGCCTTGGGTTGTCTCAGGATCTTTGCTAGCTATCCAGTTAGATTAACTCATACATTCAAGGAAAAACACTCCTTAAAGTAGAAAAAAAAAAAAAAAAAGGAACACCGACTCCACGAACTACGATAGGCAGTGGGACCCCCCACTATGTAGCATGTCCACTGGAATTTTTAGCATCATGTCAGAAGTACTCCGTACAGAACGAATGCGATCCGTGCTTCTTTTTTTTCTGGTCTGGCCCCCACGATCAACAAATTTTAGTCCCATATGGCAGTTTTTGGCGGACTAACGGATGGACTTTTTAGGTGCCATGTACCGAATAATGCATAGCGAGATCCGGATTTACAGTATTGAAAATAGCCCCAAGAACATTCTAATGAAGAACACTGATGGTATCTAGGAGTAGATCTATCTGAAATGAATCAGTTGCCCGTGTGGGTGTGTGAGAGAGATTACAAGACGGAGAATCCACTCTGCCCCGACACTATTGCTTTTTGCAATCCTTGGAAGGGTTTAAATCGTGCTGTGGCGCCTTGAATTTGCTGGGTTTGTGTCTCCGCAGTTTCCACCCGCTCGACAGGACGGAGCCCACTGGCCCATCACAGTATGAATCTTTTGCCCCGAGCTGTTTCTGTTTCTTGATAATCAAAATCTTTAACTAACTTAACACAAATAACTTGCTGGCTGATTTTTTTGTCATATGCTGTGGCTCCGTCGGAACTAGGAGTATCTTGTTCCAAGTACGACTATTCCAAGATTACTCTTTCCGCCATCCAAAGTCCTAGGTACAACTCTCTGTTACCAGGCGACCTAATACGTCTTCTCCCTCCGATCGGATGACTTCCATCTTGCGCTCTCTCCAAAATCCAGCACCTAATCACACCCCCATTTCGTGACTCACATCACGTTCCACGTCCACCATGGCGCCGGCGCTTATAGACGATCAGGGGGTGGATTCGCAAATAGTGTGTGGCACCCGCAGCATGATCCCTGTCAATGACAAGACCACGGTTTTTTTCTCTTCTCTAGTTACTACTGGAGTTGGTAGTTACTGGTACTGTAGTCAGGCTTGGATCACTCTTGGTACAGGATAATAACTAACTGACTCGGAAAGTTCCGTACTTTGAGCATATCAGTTATGGACCTGCCCAACGAGGACGAGCTCAAGAGTCAAATTCTATAAACTGGACCTGATCCTGAACTTACTTAGATGGATGTATACCCACTCTACCGAAGTACCGACCAACCGCTGAACCAACCATCCCATTCACCCACGATTCCAACCACGATTCCAACCACGATTCCAACCAAAGTTACTCTCGTAGCTTCTCGAGCTCAGGAACGCACGGGACTCGGACAGCTGCATGGTCCCTCGTGTGGATCATTTCGAAGCCTGTTGCTAGTAGACTCCTCCGGTAAAAAGTGATGTCGATCGCCAAATCGACTCCTAAAGGCATGAAGTCGCAACGAAGCCATTGGCCGGCACCCGATCGTCACAGCAAAGTTTGAACGAGACAAGTCTGACTCGCACGGATCACCGGGTGATGCGGCAAGCAAAGTCTTAGTGAGCCGGGTCCGTTCCTTTTTATTTACGCTAAACTGTTTCGAGGAAGAATAGGCCCTGCTGCGATAATTATGAAGGACTGCAACTTGTGCAACGGTTTGGTCGGTTCGTCCAGGTTTTTGGTGAGTACAGTATTTAATGGATGGTTGTATATACTCCGAACTCGTGCTTGGTGTAATGTAGGAAGCACGTTTTCCGGTTAGATACTAAATTCACCTAATCTTCTTGGGCGAGCCGCGAGGTTTTGATGTTGGTCTGTGTGAACACTCCAGGTGTTAAGACCGTGCGGCACTCTTATCTCTATTTCTTTGTTGACTACAGAATCGGGACTGGGATGATGAGTAGGGTCCTTCATGCTCGGGTAATGACCGTAGGCATTTAGGATACTCTTCCCCAATCACCATTCACTATTTCCGACATGATCCAGGTTAAATAATTGGCCGGCTTAGGTCTTTTCAGTCCAACACGAACGATTTTTTCGACCGTTTCAGCCTTGGCATTTCATGGAAGCCAATTTCACTTCGAAGCGGGATATGTGTGGGGTATACGATCACTACAACGTTGATGGTAACCTGGGGCTTTTAGCACAGCTTAGCTTCCGTACAGAATCTCTGTCCCTGTCGCAGGTCAAGTTAGTTTGAGTCTTGGCTGCAATGATATCGAAATTTCAAATGGTCAATAATGGAAATTAAAACTGCCAAGTCGAGCGAGGGGTATCTGGGAATTCATACAACTTTAATCAATCTGCAGCGAAACAAACCCCTCGTCGCAGATCCCTATTCCCCTCCCTCAAAATGAATCAAATGTTTCATGTTCAACAAAAAACCACAAACACGTTACCCAAAATGGCCCATGTCGCCCTCACCCTCGTGCCATGCATCTCTTATGCTTTCTCTGTGCAGCCAGCCCTACGGGCGGAAGCTGCACCCCATGTTTGAAGGCCAATCTCTGCAGGAGTCGGAGATCCCAAGCCAAATAAGTGACAGATCGAGAAATATTGGCACCATTATTCTATGTTCACTCAAGACTCATTCAAAGCCTATAAACTAGAGCTAGACGTACGAAGAGAAGCTTGTTCCTAAGAAGCGTACATGGTTGTACAGAAGCGGTAGGCGGTAACGCCTCGCTATCGATAACCCACTTTTTTTTCTTCGGCGCGTTGACGATCGCCGGCGAAGTCTTTGACTCGATTAACCTCGTCATATCACCGCACGTTTTTCAGCTCCGCCCGAAGACTCTCTCAAAGTTGTAATTCACCGAGTTCCTTCCGGCCTCGAGCTCTGCACGCTTCATCCCACGACCTACAACCACTCCGCCCTTATCCACTTACTGAACTCAATTCCCTCGATCCCGAATACTCCAGACACAATGCCTGCCTCCGTTCACTCTCAAGATGCGGAGCACGATCAGTCCATGATGGACGTTGAGACCGAAGCCGAACCCGTCAACCCCATTCTGCTGGATGAGAAGCGTATCGTCGTGGTATGTCGCGCACCGCGGAAGGCCTCAGAAACCGCAACATGAGCCGGTTATACGAGAAGGATATCTGACATTGGGACATTCTAGTTGCCCGGCTCTTCCGACACCGCTGCCTCGTTCCAGTTCGAGGGCGAGGGTCACACCATGGGTAATGCGCTGCGTTATGCTATCATGAAGAAGTGAGTGCGCCCGCTAGTATTCCAAAGTCAAAGATTGGAAGCCGAGAATTACCCAAACCAGACCGTCGTGAACATTTGCTAACATCTTCGCAGCCCCGATGTCGAGTTCTGTGGCTACACTATCCCTCACCCTTCCGACGCCAAGATGCACGTTCGCATCCAGACCAACGGTAAGTCAAGTCATCGGTCACCCAGACCTCGTCCCTCATTTCCTCCTCTCAAAAGATTTCATACTAACTCGTTCACTCTCCATAGACTCAACGACCGCCCTGGAAGCGCTGGAGAAGGGCTTCAATGACCTGATGGACCTGTGCGATGTCGTTACTGAGAAATTCACCGCTGCCCGCGACCAGTTCAAGGAGGATCGGGCTAACATGATAGAGGGCTGAGCTTTGTACACGGCTTGGAAATTTCTTCTCTTGCATTGCATACGTTATTCTACGGACTTGATTGGCGTTTTGGGGGAGAGCTTAAAGCTTAAAATTTCATTTTATGGTTCATCTAGATTTCATTCATGTTGGTTTGGGGGATGATATATTTTGCGGAGAATTTGGGTAGACGTTGGGTGTGCGTCTGGAGGTGAGATGTAATTACCTCGGCATTGGGTCTTCACTTGAATGAACATTTACCGAGTAAATTCGTGATAGGATGTAGTTCCCAGCTGCACCTTGACTGACGAATCTCGAGGGTAACCTTCACTTTGGATTTGCCAATATTGGATCCGGTTGCAAGGTTCTCACAACCTCATCTGTTACGGTACCATACTCTGGAAGTGCTTTCCCCAGAGTCAACATTCTGTGAGAGCTGATGCTGGGCGGTTTCAAAATATGTATATGTGAGCAACTCGGAGGCACGGGACCTACCTACACCGGCCTTCGATTCGCTCGGAGACATGTAGAGTTGAAAACATCGAGTCACGAGTCAGAATTGAATTTTGGAACTTGTTTGGTTTACGAGACTTAAAGCATCTTCTCATACATTTCACAGAGCGTAGTACTAGATCGCTCACTTTCTGGCCAACTTTAGGCTGGTCAGCTGCAAGAGTCATAGATTCCATCTGACCGGTCGCCTTGTCCGCGCTCTGACTTCTGGTTGCCTGGATGGACCTTACCGGAGCAGCTTTAACGGACAATGTGACCCTGAACCTGTTTAACATCCGAATTGTACTCCGCTATCTCCCGTCAGAGTCTCGGTTATATCCGGTTCACAATGACTCTGGGTCAACTGCGCCCTGGCAAATCCAGATGCTTATCCCCTAGTTGGCCATATTGCTTAGATTTCTGCGCATTTTTTTTTTACAACAAGAGCAGGTAATAGACTACCGCTAATGATATCTTGCCATCAGCGTCGCCCAGGCCGCGCTGTACCTCTCCATATGGCCAGGTGCCACACCAGCCAAGACCCTTCCAGCTCTGTGACATGTTGATCATTCACGTGTAGATTATACGCCGGAGATCTCCACAAGTCAAGTGCTGCCTCGAATTAGCTCAGGTGGCTTTTTTTAGGTTCGAGAATGATCTGCAGTGGTCGTTCGCAAACAGCCACTCGGGATCCTGCTGTTCTCCCGAACATTCCACTGGCCTTGCTATCACCAAACGGATATCGTTTCTGAAAGCATTTGACGTGGCATTCACCCTTGATTAAGCTTGAAATTAAGCAGGTACATCCTATTACTACTTTTAGGTCATCCCTAGTGATCGGCGCTGAGTATGATCCTTGTGCATTACCAGTGGTCGACTGTGTATGATGCTTCCGCTACGGTTATCGAACCAGGTCCAAGGTCGATTGAGTCCGGAAAAGAAACCCACCAAGGTGGTTGTGCGGTCGTCAACAATCAATAGTTAGAAAGGGGTACTCTCAAACACGGAGATTTCATTGGGTCCATCGGCTCACATTCCTGAGAGCTTGAGCTCGGTTTTTCTACATTGGCCATGAGAAGCACACTGACTCGTATACATTCTAGTCCTCTCCAACGGCCTCAACCTCTAGCTGTCTTACACAAAAGTATACACACTGATGAGCCAACAAGTTGAACTGTTTGATACCAACCACAAGAATCTAACCATCATTCAATGTAACTCTGTTATGATAAGCGTTGATGCTCACGGAAAATTCACGTTTCCCCTGCAAGGGGCCGCGGATCCTTGCCAGGGTTAACGCGTGGATCATCCTCCAAATCCTTGGGTCATGACGGTGAGACCCCTGTTAACCTGATGATCCTTACTAGAAAAAGCTTATTGGTACTCCAAAGATTACAAAGAATGCACAATCTCAAGCAACCTTCCGTTGCCGCCGTCTCTAACCACAACTTCCCATGCTTTCAGGTCCATGCTTGGAATTTGTATGACGTCGGAGGGCTGGAGGCAGTCCATCCAGACTAAGGCATTGGCAATGGCAAAAGATATTTAAGGGTTGAATGTCGCCCAGGCAGTTAGGAAAACATCACCCTTAAACTTTCTACTGTATCTACAAACCCACTTTCATCCCAAGTGAGTTCTAACATACTACCAGCGTTTTTGGACCCGCCCGGCTAATTGCTTCAAGATACCACCATGTTCGTCAAGTCCATCCTCGCTACTCTGGGCCTCGTTGCTCTTGTCATGGCCGGCGACGGCGATACCAAGATCTGCAAGAGTGATCAGCAGATCGTCTGCAAGGACAACGGCGATGGCGGCGTCTTGACCCTCGGCAACGTCCTGGACGGTGCTCTCGGTGTTAGCTGCTCCGGCGGCGACGTCTACTGCTGTGAGAACAAGGACATTGAGGATGTAAGTAACCATGCACTTGACTCGGTGTTGCAAGCGCCGCAATCCTACAGCACGCATCAAAGCTAACCAACTTTCAGCTCGGCCTCATCAACCTCGATGTGAACGCTCAGTGCTCTTTGAACCACGTGCTTTAGAGTGTCTTGAGTCCCATAGCCGCTTCGAATATAATTGACGACAACCCGGTCAGCCCACCAGGGAAAGCGAAGACCCAATCTGAGTCCGCTTGGTGTGTTCGAAGAGCTAGCGAATTTTATACTCTCGCCACCTCCAGCACGCTGTGATTGATATTTGGACAGAAGCCAATTATTGTTGGTAAAATTTAATCTCAGTCTAATACACTTTGATTCTCTTTGAATACGTGGTCCATCAAGATAGTTTCCTTGAGTAAATTAGAAAGGCGTAGTATATCCTCGATAATTGTTGTCCGGCAATTCTGTACCTCCTGGTGCTTCAAGTGAGCTCAACTAGTCTCAAAGACTAGTCTCAAAGATATGTCAATTTGTCTCGTTACCATCATCAGGATACCTTGAACGCTAACGATAATCGATTTAGAGCAAAAAATTGCCATTTCGCATTGGGCCAGAGCCAATTTTTTGTTACGCGATTATGCTAATCTTTGAAAAGTTTCCCACCAGACTTGTGCCTTGGAAGCTCTAGTCAATCCGTAAATCCTCTAATCCTATTCTTTGAGCTCACATCCAACGCAGATCATCCCATTAAGTTCTACGCATGCGTTCCGGCGTGTAGTCTATTTTTCTTGTTTTCGGGATGACCCAGAAGACACGGCCGTGAAAACAGCCTTGGGGGCCTGGCGACTGCTACGTCCCTGGGGTCATAGTTCGGAACCACTTAAGCGTGAACCAGCTTGCAACAGTTACAATGCTTATCAGTGACGGACTGTACAATGAGAGGAGAAAGAGTGGGGGGCGCCAAGCATCCCACCTGACATCGCAAGGCACGTTTGGCGGTTAAAGCCATGGGAGTTGCTGTTTCCGGAACAGGAACAATCTCTGCACGCTATCAGTTACCAGTTCACCCCACAGTTCAACTTCACTCATGTAACGGTGGTAAGCCACACTATCATGTTCCTTCGTTCTTGACGTCAGTATCTGCGGTATTTTCTCTATTCTTCTCTATCACTCTGTAGCATCTATCCTTCTCTCCAGTGCATAAATAGTGGCAGGATCCCATCCAATACTAATATTTTTGAAATTCATCAGCCGAGCCGTTACCCAGACAGTGAGTATCCTTCTCTTCTCTAGATCACTTTCATTCAATTCGGTAATCTCCGTCTTTAGGTCAACCAAGTCCACCCGTCAACATGAGATACATCTTCGCTCTTCCCCTTCTGGCTGTGTCGGCCCTTGCCATGCCCGCCGTTGACGGTGACGGTATGAAGAAGGCTGAAGATGCCGAAAAGACCGTCTGCGAAAGCCACCAGACCGTCGTGTGCGAAGGCAACGGAAGCGGTGGTCTTCTGTCTCTGGGTAACCTCCTCAACGGTCTCCTTGGCGAGAGCTGCTCCGGCGGCGACGTCTACTGCTGCTCGCAGAGCGATGTGGAGCAGGTTAGTTTTGCAACTTTGTCTTTGAAATAGACAATTGATAGCTAATATTTCTTTCAACAGGTCGGTCTGATCAACATTGATCTCAACTTGCAGTGCAGCTTGAACCACCTTCTCTAAAAACAGAACTCCTGTCCATGAGATAGGAATAGCTATCAAATCTAATACTTAATGTTAATTTTATATTAAGTCGAATGAAGTACTCAAAATTTGATATATAATACTACCAACTCAAAGTTACAAAGATCTGGAAATTTCCCTCTCATGCTTTCCGTTACGGAGAACTTGGATCCGAGTAAGATTTTGTGAGATAGCCAATCACCATACGATGACTATTATCCTGGCTGCGTATAGCAAACTTAATGGGCGAGAATTCTCTGCATCGACTCGAAATTTGTTAGTGGCATATGGAGTGAGTGATGGATATTCCTTTCTTCCCCTCTGGAGACCTTGAATGTGTACTCCTCAGAAGCCAAGGTCAAGAGAGCGCCAGGGTAGCTATTGGGAAGTGCTAGAGATACTAAGGTCAAGATATGTTTGCGAAGTAAATTTACCTCCATGCCCCAATCGTTGGTGATCTTCCAAAAAGACTTTAGTTAACATCGGAGGAAAGACCTTAAGGAATCTATTTTGTAAGCATGCAAGACATGTCTGCCATCTTGGCTGTGGCATGCTGGCAAGTATAAGTAGTGGTCGAAAAAAGCTTCGCTAAATGACTGAGATAACCAAGTTCGTGGTGACCTGTGTGTCTCAGAGGGCGATCTGCCGGGACCAGAGTCGATGACAAGCCGAGAGCGGTGCGAGCCCCAACTTCTAATGCATATGTGTAGTCAACGCCGGTAATCTTGAGTCTATATACTTTTTTCTAAAAAATCAAGATACCTTAGCCGGAAGGGCTCATTATTTCGCACTCAAAGAAGCTATAAATCACTGTTTTCGTGCATACCATCACGATGAGTACTACAAAAGCCCCATCACTCAGGCCACTCAAAGTAGTTTCAGCTTGTCAAATGAACCCTGTGGACTTTGCAGAGAGACAAGATGCTCTCAACCGAATGTGTAAGCTTTTGAACCAAGCCCCTAAAGAGAATTAGAAACTTGACCTAGTTGTCTTATACCACCTTCTCTCTTGAACACCTGATCAAGAAGAAGATCTGAATCAATATCCAATATTCTATGTACCGAAATAGTATATTCAAGGAGGCCACAGTTAGTCTAACGCTGAAGTCTTTCCATCTCTCCACTTCTTGCCCCAGAAATATAACGCCCACAAAGCGGGCGAGACAAGAACCATCATTCCCGCAAGAAGTACTCCCAGCCAACCCATTCCAATAGCATCAATCAACGGGATGATTGCCGCCGAGGCTCCAGCGGAAGCGAGCCAATTGACCATACTCATAACAGCACGCGCAGAAGCAGGCCTCGTCACATTCAAGTCCGCAATCAACATGCTGAGGGTGTTGCTAACGCCCGTGCTAGCATTCCCACAAAAGAACAACAAAACCAAAGGACCCGCTAAATGGACATCATAATTCATAACCCATCCAAATGCAATGATGCAAAGACAGTAAAAATAGACAAACGGTATTGCCAGGACCAGGCGAGCCTTTTCAAGAGGAATGCGCTGGATTTGAGTCGGACATTGTCGGTTTGGTCGGACATCAACCCCCGCTTGGCGAGCGTAGTGCTTGAATAGGCGATCGGCAAATGTACCTGCAGTCCAGCGAGTGGTGCAGGCACCGAGGGTGAAAGGGAGGTAGCAGAGTCCGACATAAAGAGGCTTTAGATGGTACTTCGTCTCAAGTAGAGGTGCTAGGCCATTGAAAATGGCAGTCGACGTACAAAAGCAGGTAGCGCTGCAGAGAACAAGGAGGGCGAAATGTCGGTCTTGGAGAATCCTCAGAGTCTGGAGTACCGTCGGGCGTTTTTTGAACATAATCTTTGTCTTGGGCTCGGGCTTGTGACCAACCGGGTTGACGATTTGAAGGATGCATCTGTTCCATGGCTGAGGGGGTAGACTGCCATTGCCTACCACCGCTCGACAGGTTTCACGTAGGACTGACAGTATGATGAGAAGCAAAAGTCCGGCAATGACGGTCATAAACCAGAATACACTTCTCCACCCGAGATACTGCGTCAAGATACCACCTAAAGTTGGCCCAATCGATGGACCAAGTGTCATTCCAATCGAAGAGTAGAAAATATATTTCCCTCGCTCACCCCGAGTAACCAGATCGGTAATGGACGCAAAGGCAACGATGGTACTCGTACCAGAGGCGATGCCCTGAAGGCAGCGTAGAGCGAGCACAGCTGCATAGTTGGTTTGAGTTGCAAGGCCGATAGTAGTGCATAGAAAGAGGAAGATACTGGTGAGCAAGACGGGACGACGGCCACTTAGATCAGATAGGCCAGCAGTTAACAATGGGCAGATCGCTAGAAATATCTGTTTGAATCAGCTAGAATCAATGACATATCATGTGATTGAGTCTACCTTGTAGGTTGTAAGCGTCAAGTAAATTTTCGCAGTCGACACATGCAAGTCTCTCGCCAGCGAGTTGATGGCGGGAAGATACATGCTGCCAGCTACTGGACCCAAGAAAGTCACCAGCGAACAGACACATATTGTGAAAATCTTCTCCTTCTCGGACAAGATACAGTACAACGACTGCACAGCTTTATCGGAACTTGCATTGCTCGCATCGTCTTGCACTGTGACAGAAGGAGCATTGGCCGAGCAAGCGTCGGGTTCTGGCTCTTCCGACTTCATTGTCGTTACAAGGCGTTGAGCGAGCAGAGAAGCGCAGTCGATCCCGCTGCTAATCCTCTAGAGTTAAGAGGATCTCATCTTTTATTAATATTGATTGTGTGGGCTTCGTGTTCTTGCATTCTCGTACAACTGGCAGATCGCTTGGACCCCTATCACATATCATTTTAGCGGCGATCGTCTGCAAGGGGCCAATAGTGCGATTATAGTTCCGTATGATATGGCGAATGAACGGTATGCAGGGGCAGGAAAACTAGCAGCCCTATTTGCTTCCGCCGAAAATGATCGCCCGACGTCGGAAAAGCTTATATACAGTACGGAGGACTCCGTTCTTACAGTCTGCGGGCGCGATGATCGAAGGCTCCGGAAACAAAGTCGGTGAACTCATACTCTCCGCCAGAAATTGCTTTTTCCATCAACTATCGACCTTGACAAGAGAATCAGGAAACTCGTGTTCTAAAGATAGATGAAAAGTTGTTTTTCTTTCCCCATAGACTATCGATTCATAATGTTCATAGCAAACCTTTAGCTTCTTCCGCTCCCCGTTAGGCTCCAGAAGTTATGCAAACCCCAAATGTCGGGTCGCCAAGTCTATTGGCATACCCAAAGAGCTTTAGGTAGCTTTGCAGCACTTCAACTGGTTACAACTGATCGCCAACCGAACTTTATTTTCCCCACGTTTTGAATTAATAAACGTCAAATGTCAGAAGCCGATTGGGGTAGACACGCATAGTGTTGATGTCATCGCAAATTAGGAAAACCCTTCCTATTACAATGTCTTACCCCGCAGATCTGCGGATCTGAATGGCGACAGTCGAACTTCCGTTACCATATCTACATCTATTCATTGTGAATATCCCTGATGCTTTGTCGACGCGCGATTCCACGATTAGTTCAGCAGGTTAGTTATCATTGCCGCTGGACAACAACAGGAGGATTCCAGCTGCTGATGGACATGTAGCAGCATAGTTTGTTCAGGACTCAAGTGCGACACCTGAATCTCCTCGAGTACCATTCTCACAAATTGCTCAAAGATGTAGGATTCAGTATAGCCCGTAAAGGTTGTCTTCGTGGACTCACTGCTACCAGTTCGACATTCCGGTACCTAAGGGATATGTCGTCGGCAGTCCAGAAGAAGCAAGAGAAGTGGTCTCGAAGATCAGTTGGTTACCCCTGGTTTCAGCCCAACGACATCTCATGTATGGAAGCTTTGTGCGTTCAGTCTTACTGACTTTTCTTCTTTAGATGCCCCTTCGGTTGTAAAGGCACAGATCCTTGCCGGCGGGCGTGGCAAGGGGAAATACGAAAGCGATGGACAAGGAGGTGTTCGCATCATGAATTCGTAAGTCTAAGAAGAACTCCTTGAGGCAAAGCTAACAAGTCCCTTTTTCAAGACCAATCGAGGCATTTGAGAATGCCTCGAGGATGATTGGATACTACCTTACAACAAAGCAAACCCCACCCGGTGGTCTTCTCGTCAACAAGCTATACATCTACAAAGCCGTAGATGTTGCGCAGGAATACTATGTCGCACTTACTTTCGACCGCGACCGGTCCATGCCCGTCCTCCTCATCTCCAATGTCGGAGGAGTCGACATCGAATCCAATGCCGATAAACTAGAGCATTACTGGTTTGACATGACGCACGGCATCACATCTGAAATCACTGCATATGTCCAAGCCCAGCTCGGCTTCTCAGATGCAGAAATGGGTGTGATAAGCCACATTCTTCACCAGATGTTGAAACTATTCAAAGAGAAGGATGCCACACTTCTCGAACTGAACCCTCTTGTGCGCACGCCAGAGGGACATTTTGTCTGCCTCGATGCAAAGTTCACGTTCGACAACTCGGCTCGTTTCCGACAACCGGAGATCTTCAGTCTCGAGGAACGTCTGCCTGATGAGGAAGAAGAATACGAGGCGTCCCAGGCAGGCCTTTCCTACGTCCGCCTTGATGGTAACATTGGAAATATCGTCAATGGAGCCGGATTGGCGATGGCAACCAACGATCTTGTTAGCCTGTTTGGTGGCAAATGCGCGAATTTCCTCGACGTCGGCGGAGGAGCAACCAAGGAATCTGTGTCCAAGGCGTTTGAGATTTTGAATCGGGATTCACGACTGAAGGGGATCCTGGTCAACATTTATGGGGGTATGTGCTGAGTATGAGAGAGACGACACTTTTGCTAACTTGAAGCCTAGGAATTGTTCGATGTGACATGATCGCCGAGTCCATCATCGATGCTGCTGCTTCGACAGGGGGATTTAAAGTTCCTGTAGTGGTTCGCCTCCAGGGTACCAACAGCGACAAAGGTCTGGAAATGGTAAGGATATGCATCGATCAATTGAGGTAGCGCGCTAATCGTCCTTGCAGATTGAAAAATCGGGGTTGAGAAATTTGATCGTGGAACCAGACTTTGAGCTTGCCGCTGAAAAGATTGTGGCAGTCACAGAAAAGTCAGCATAATAACTGGAATCGGAATTTAACCGTTTGGTTGTTTGATTGCGTCAATAAGTAAAACGGACACGGTAGTCCTTCCTAGGAAACGTGCGAAAAATGAGGGGTTTTGACTCCTTATGCTCGCTGCACCTTGTCCCTCTTTGTGTCAATAGTTATCTGTACTTTCTAGACCTGTGGCTATTGTTTCACTACTTTGAGGACCTTTTCACTTCTCCAAAACAAGTGACAATATGTACAAATCAACCACGAGGCATGAGTGGCTTTATGTAGGGCATGGCTCGCCCAGGTCATTATCATTATCATCCTGGCGCTCGAGATGTAGGTTAAGCATCTAGAACGAGAAGGCGATTCACAAAGGCCTCGGGTTGAATTATCCTCACTGGCATGTCTGGTTTTATCACCTCCATTTGGCAGATATGTGTCCATCCAAGTTATGGGTCCATTCCAGTATAATACAAGTGACAGTCTCATAAGTTGTGCCAATCAATCTGGCCATCTTCGTTTTCACTTGCGCTACGAGATTATTCTGGCGATCGAAGCAGTGCACCACAAGAATGATCCACTACTATTTGCTATCTACACCAGTAGTGTCTACATTCTCGCTTTCTCAACAATGCAGCCGAGTTCCATCAAAGAGATTACCCGGAGACTACAGAATGCCCGTGACCCTGAGCGACAGCCCTTGGTCGATCTCGATATCGACTTCTGGAAGGGAGTCGGCCCAGCTCAAATTGCTTGTCCGATCATCTTTGGAATTTGCACTCTTCTTGTCTGGCCGTGTGCATATCAGCTGCATAAAGAGTATGCCTGGGCCAATTACCGGATGAGACACGGTGATCTGATCATCAAGACTCGCTTACTCACGTACGAGGTAGGCCTGCCTTCCCGTGTCATCCATGTGAACTGATTGATAGTTGAGTAGATCTATCTTGGTCTAATCAAGCTCGGCTTCTACTTCATCACAGTTTTCATGATCCAATACAAGCTAATCGACATTCACTTTGAGGAGCCAGAGTTTACTCTCACATTGCTCTTCTGTCTATATCTTTCCTTATTATGATATAAGCTGTCTTGTTCGTTCGCAAGGAGAGGAGGATCGCAATTCTGCCGGTGATTGTAAGTCATGCAATTTCGACGAAGATCGTTATCTTTTATACTAACACTCTTTATTAACAGATCTGCCACGCGGCGATTATTGCATATCTCGCTAGTCGAGTTACCGTGCTGTGCAGCGCTGGGCGCCGCGCAAATACAGCAGACAAGGATATGATGCTGCTATTCGTCTTCGTGGCGTTGGTCCTCATGTCATTCACCTTGATATGAGCTGTTGTCTGCGTGTAAAAACGATATGCATGCTTATATTTCTCTGTGGGTTGATTGGCTCACGCTACCCGCGAGGCTAAGAAAGGTGGGTCGGATGTGTATGAACACCAAAAGGACCGGGTCCTATGAAGCGGACAGGCATACAGCTAATGAATCGGCACAAGGTGAAATGGAATCAAAATGATTTGGCGATCTAGTCAAACTATATTTACACATCATGCCAGGGTCGATGAAGCAGCCCCTCCGACTGTCATCCCACGGAATTGCTATAAAGGAAAAGAAAAAAAAAGATGAAAGGTGTGGTTGATGAGGTATCGAAATCGGGCTTTTCAGTTGCGGCCCTCCAGGAAGCCAGAGACGAAGTTACGGGGCAGGCGCGCACCGGGGTCCTCCTCGGGCCGGAAGTACTTCATGACGTGGGACAGCTGCTTCCAGTAGTTGAGGGTCTCCTGGTACTCGGCGTGGCTCTGGAACAGCAGGACGTCGATGACGCTGAGTTGGCTCACGTAACGGTGCTTCTCGAACTCCTGGCGGATCTTTGTGCGGATGGCGGACACGGGCATGCCCAGGGAGTACATGGTTTGGATCTCCGGGGACTGTACATAGTCTCACAGGTTAGCTTGACGTTCAATTAAGGTCATGACCCAGTCTTCATTCAGCAGCAATCGCTCTCTAGTTTCCATCTTAAACAAACAGCCTGAGAGGGTAGGAGCCGCGCGGGCGCGGGCGCTGGAGCAAGGGCATAGGCGTAGCTGGGTGATCGCAGGGTAGACTGACCGCTCGGAGCCATTCTCGGTAGGACTTGAGGACACGGTTTTTGGCATCGGTAAGGTTGACGGCTAGATAATAGGCACAGACTACGTTAGCTACCTTGGACAGCTCCCAATAGTCTCAATTGCAAGGCTCGCGTGGTGGGCGATCGGAACACCTCGGGGGTGTGATTGACGGAGGGATAGGAACGTACAGGAACGCGTCCGTTGCGCGAGGTAGGTAGGGTTGATAGTCATATTGTCAAGTGAGATTACTTCCACTCAGTCCAGTGCGATTCAATCTCTTGGAGGGAGGGTGCGGGGAGAGAATTGGACGCTGGCGAGCTTCGTGGTGGTGGAGGTTTCACTGAGGTTGGGTGGGTGGAATCGGCGCCCTTCACCGCCTTCCTGATCCAAAATTTCTTTTGCAATTTTGGCGGCGCCGAGTCGCATGCGCTTGTTTCTCCAACATTATTCTAATTGACTCTACGAATTTTGGAATTGAGACTGGCAGTCTTGATTAACCAGTTGTGACTCGATAAACTTTCCCTCGACGTGAAAACTTCATTCTCTTCGTTCGATCCGACCCAAGTCTCGTCAATTTTCCCGATTTTCGCATACACCAAATGGCGCCCACCAGAGGATCGTCGAAGGGTGCCTCCTCCGGAGGTGCCTCCAAGGGCCCCAAGGGCTCTAAGCCCTCATCTAAGCCCTCAACCATGTCCTCCTCGTCCCGCGTGAGCAAGCCCAGCAGCAAGAAGAATGTCAAGCGTCCCCCGCCAGTCGAAGTCAAGGCCAAGTCGCGCTCCGCCCCGGAGAACTTGAAGCGGAAGAAGAAGAGAGTCTATACCGAGGCAGAGCTTGATCTGCCAAAGTTGAATCAGATCACACCCGTTGGAGTTGTTAAGCCCAAGGGAAAGAAGAAGGGCAAGGTTTTCGTTGATGATCAGGTTTGTCCAACTTCCCTCTTGCGGTCCTCTTTAAGAAGGTGGACTGTCTTGCTAACCACGTTATTTCGTCGCAATAGGAGGGTATGATGACAATTCTCGCCATGGTCAACGCCGAAAAGGAGGGACAAATCGAGTCCAAGATGATGAAGGCTCGTCAACTCGAGGAGATCCGAGAGGCCAAGAAGGCCGAGGCCGAGGCACGAATGAAGGAGAAGAAGTCCAAGTTTGACGCCGTGAAGGACTCAATTCGGAACAAGAAGAAGAACAAGGGTGGAGACGACAAGGGTGCAGAGAGCTCCTCTGCTCCCTCCAAATCGGCTAAAGGAAAGCGCAAGAGCGTTTCATTTGCTTAAACGACCAAAAGAAAAGTGGCTATTGTCTATACCATCACCATGTATTTAGACGGGGGTCTGGCGTTTGTCTGGGTTTCATTGTTACTTCGGATTTCGAACCATTGTGAATAGCGTTGACCTGTAATGGGAACCGTCTCCCAAAGCTTGATGAATCACATCCAACTTCTGATCAAACTGTCTTGTCTTTGTTAAGATTAAAGCTCGAAAATGTCTCCCAGGATTCCATAGCTTACAAAGACTTCGATTTTGCTAATTCGTTCTATGAAGCCCACTCATTCTGATAGACCGGTATGCCTCCATTATTATTAGAAATTACGAGGGAAGGTCCAATCTGTGCAAATCAGCTTAGAGTTTCTCGACCAATGAAGTATAATAGAATCCATTATGAGATCCGATTATGTCCTCAATACTACACCGTGCTCGGGTTGCCCTGTTCTGACCAGTCAAAACCGGTAAATTCGCCGGCGAACGCGGGGCATAGTTGAGGAGTACCCATCTCCACTTGGTATCGCATTGAATTGCTTCTATCCATGCCTAACCGAGGTCGAAGAAGTATCTGCAACAATTGAATAGTCTCTCAAATACGCTCAAAACAGTGCGACGTGCGAGGAGAAACATATAAACCAGCGAATCAGATCGTCAGATCCATAACCACGACTCCCTCGAAAGGCAACCTTGGAAGCCAACACCAACTCTCAAAATGGCCCAACCAGCTCTCCAAATCATTAAACTCACCTCCGAAGAGCTAGCAAGTAAAAAGCTAAGCTCACGCACCCTCCAAGCAGCCCTGGAAGCCCTCCACAAAGACGGAATCCTGGCCCTCGAAAACGCGGTCGACACCACCCACCTCGACAAACTCAACGCGCGCATGATCCCCGAAGCCCAAAAGCTCTACTCAAACACAGCCACGCACCGCAATTTCGGCCAAGCAACGGGGAACATCCAACAAGAACCCGTCGTCGAGGCGGACTACATCTTCGAAGACATCCTCGCCAATCCATGGGCGACATCAATTGTCGAGCACGTGATCGGACCGAACCCGCAACTACGCTTCTACAGCGCCAACACCGCATTCAAAGCCAGTGGTCGACAACCACCACATATAGATGTTGACTTTGCAATGCCCCGCATACCGTTTGGTTACTGCATCAACATCAATCTAGTCTCCACGTCACCGGAAAACGGGGCAACGGAGGTCTGGCTAGGTAGCCACATCGACACGGATGATTCTGTATTTGATCGAAAAGCGGGTGACCTGCAGATTAAGGCTGAGCTTTTAGAGCAACGAAGAAAGATTAGTCCACCTGTTCAGCCCTCTTTACCGAAGGGATCGTTGATTGTTCGGGATCTAAGGCTGTGGCATGCTGGTATGCCGAATAAGACGGATGAGCCGAGGGTGATGTTGGTTTCTATTCAGTTTCCGAGTTGGTATCGCAGTAATCAGAGGTTAATTTTGCCGAGGGTGTTGGAGGAGAAGATTGATTTTGGGAGGACGGTTCCATTTGTGGAGTGGGTCGGGGAGGACTATGATTATTTACAGGGTGCTCATGATCATGATTTAACGTTGAAGCCGTGAAGGGAGTCACCCGGGTGGTGTTAGGTTGAGGGTTCTGGTAGAGTCTTTCACGCACCCTGGTATCACATTTGGGTCTCAGTAACGCCTTCTATTGAACCGATCCTAATGACAATAACTCTATGTATATTGGTATATGAGAAGAGTGACCCAAAATATCCGTGCATAACCCCAAAAGCCGACAGAGTAAGAAGCCCCGTGAAGGGTTTGAATGCTAAATATGCGCAAGTCAAAATTATTTAGGCAGTTTCATGTCAAGCTTGCGGTTCACAGGGTAGAACTCAGGCTTTGGCGCCAAGTCAGCGTCCTTGTCAATGCCAGGGTGGCTGGCGATATGTCCCGGGAGCTTCTCCGGGTGCTCAACGACACCGGGAATCGAGGTATCAATTTCCCGGGCCATTTTGTTCAGGAAGTTGGTAACCTTGATAGAAAATCAGGGAGAGTTCACAGTATCATAATTATTTTCATAGAATGTCTTTTCACTTACCGGCTTGACAAACCAACGGTCACCACCAAGTTCGAACCAGCCGAGGTGGCCACCCCACGATGTGGTCAACATAACACCGTAGGGGGTCTGTGTCATTTCGTGGAATGGCAATGCGTCGCGAGAAGCAATCTGAGTCTATATTAGTGACCTGGTCGTAAACTTGACAAGTATTGACATACGGGATCATCCTCGGCCTGTACGGTAAAGAACGGAATGCGGATGGAAAGCATTGCGTCCGTGGACGCAGCATCACGGTAGTAGGCACCCTCGGTCGGGTAGCCCCATGTAGGACATTGCAAAGCCCTAATTAAGTCAGTTTAGGATGGTCGGAATAAGCATCATGGCCACAGCAGGATTGCATACCGATCAAACTCATGTAGATAGGTAATGCTCCTGATAGCCTCAGCATCAATGCGGGGGTTCTTGGTCACTTCTTCGGCGTGGCTATCATTTCATCAGTGCCTTTCTTCCCAACAACACACCGAAATAAGAGCAAGACTTACGCTTCGAAAAGCCTCTTCATGCTAGACCCCATCGTCTTGCTGTACACCTCCTTACCGATCCAAGAGCTTTGCAAGTGGACAGAGCTGACATCCAAATTCCAGGGACTAGCACACAGCACTGCAGCCTTCAATTGGCAGTGATCGCCCTCTTCACCCAGGTACTGTACTTACCATTAGTATGCGAATCATCATTGCAGATCAGAGGGTCAGTTAGACATACGTTGGCCAGAATATTAGCACCCAGCGAGAATCCAATGCCGAAAAGAGGACGATTAGGGAAAGTCTTCCTAAGCCACTTCACGGACTGGCGCACATCCCATGTTGCGCGCGCATTATACAAAACTCCCGTGCTGATTTTCGTCTGCGAACAACCCCGCGAGTTGACCACGCAGGCCTCCCAAGCACCATCTGCAATGAGCGGTGAGAGGACATGGCGCAGATAGACCTCGTGCGACCCTCCACTTAAGCCATGCAGGACGACCAGCATCGGCTTTGTATCATCCGAAGCAATGTTCGCAAACTCCTCCTCCGAGTAAAAGGACGTACGGGGCGGTAGACCAGAAGGCTGAGTATATTTTCTCGCCTGATCAGTCAACTCGCCCTCGGGCGGCATATCATAGGGTCGCGTAACGAAATCAATCGCATATGTCCCAGAGAACATGGAGCTATCGGCTTCAAAAATCTTCCGCTTATAGTACACAGGAACGTTATCATGTTTCAAGACCGTGTACATAGTCTGCAGATGGCCGTTAAACAAAAGAGGGTTCAGATGGCAGGCGTCGGGTGTCGCATCGCGACAGATATCGACCAAGGTCGTCTGCTCTTTTGCACCCGATAGACTGGACCTTTTGGTCAGGACGAGCTTGTTGTCCTTGGCGTGAAAGAAGGAGATCCGCCCGCTGGGGCGTACCCATGAGAGTAGGCCCATTGCGACGAGACCCGATAAGAGGAGTGATAGGGGAAACGAGTTGAGCAGGGCTGATGCAAAATCCGACATGGAGGAAATTTGTCTATGATGCAAGAAAATCAAACACGCTGAGGGGAATTAAAGAGATGGAAAAGCAAAGAATGGCGTCCAAGGAGGCAACATCTTATCAGGCCAAGTCTTCAACAATGAAAAAAAGCCTTTTGATACCAGGCAACCTCGGCACTTCCCGATCAAATCGGTGTGACTAAGCCCCGATCTCCGTTGCGCATCTTATCTCCACGTGATGCACGTGGCCATGATCTTGCTGAATCAGCAAGGCCCTTACCCGCTTAGTCAGCCTCATAATAATGCCTCAGGCCCTCAACCCATACGGTCATGCGACTCCTTCCAAGGCAGAAACGACCAAAAGTCAGTTGACAGGGTCATCGTGTAGGAAGCACGATAGTATGCGGCAAGTACCTTGGGGGGCTGACTAGTCCGAGCGGGCTAGGCTAAAGGGGGGATCGGTTTTGGGAGGAGTTTTGAGTGATGATGCGATGATGCTTGATGCGGCAATCTGATTGCCGCATGCGGAACTGCCCTGGATAGCATCCGGCATTCACGCTCGTACACAGCGTAGATTATCTACCCTTGATTATCCGATATTGGGAGAAATATTTTGGTGGCTTTATCCCACTGCATTTGGACCGAAGAAGGGGTTAAGAAACCAGTTGGGGGGGGGGGAAGCCTTTATTTGTATGTGTCCGTCTATGGACATAATCCCCTAATCTGTACGAAGTCAGAAGTATAGCCTTAGCCCTGGCACTCGCCATGTAATGCTGATAACATTGCCAGCCCTGCCGTGACCCCATCCCATGGTCCGTTTTCGTGCAACTTTATCTGTGGTCCATGGCCTACTTGAAGGTCAACAGATCCCTCGGCCTGAAGAATTATTTACATTTCTTTTCTATGATTGCGCCTTTCTTTCCCGTCACACGATCCCATAGCGCTTCTCTATCAACGACATGACAATATGATCTTTCAGCACAAGCCACCGACGCATCATCTACCATTCTGAACAACTCTATAATCCTATTAAACAAAAGGAAGTCACCCATCACCACTATTACTCATGCGGACCGGTCATAAAAGAATGTTGAAAGCATTCTGTTTCCGAGACAAAGAAAAGAAGCTGCCCCTCTTCTCCATGGCTTTAAAAGAGTCTCCCTCCTCCAATATGCCCGAGCGCCTCCACCGAGCTACGGAAAAAGTGTTTCAGAGCGTCATGAGAATGAAGTCCTGGTCGCCCACCCGCTCGCGCAAGCAGCAAAGGGACGAGTCGGGTCGCTGCTATCTCATGGAACTCCCCACGGAGTTATTACTAGAGATAGTCTCGCACTTGACGCTCGTCCCGGAGGCGGCCTTTGCGCTGACCTGTAAGCGCATGCTTGCGATTTCCGACGAAATCCTCAAATCACAATCCCTCCGATTCGGTCGAGACTTTGCGCCGCTTTTCCACCACTATCGGAATGGTCACAACTTTGTCACGGCGCGATGGCAGTTTATCAACCTTTTGGAGAATTCAAAGTGGCGCGTTTGCTCCAAGTGCTTGAAATTACATCCCCGCACGGCATTTACCACACGCGAACTAAGACGCAAGTCGGATCATCGATCGTGCAATGTGGGCGAACTAGCAGGGATCGTGGACTTGTGTCCCTGCAAGAAGATCACCTTCCGCGATAAACTGGATCTAATAGACCACCTGAGAGTTCGAAAAATCTCCGTGAACGCCCTCAAGACACAGTTCGGTGATAGAGTCGGAGACCGATATTGCTGGCATTCATGTACAGAGCAGTACGGACCGACCGAGCTGAAAATATCTCTCTTCCCGGAACTCGACGAGGAAGATCAGTTGATGATACGCACCGAGTACCAGCTCACGACCGAAGCGGGCCAAGTCGGTAAAGAAGAGTATATGACACCGCGCTTTGGATGCGCACACCGATCAGCCGACCTCTGGCTTTCAAGCGTCTACCAAACTACCATCTGCCGCCTCTTCGACTCTTTTTGCACTTCGTGCCGTCGCATCTCGGTCTGCGGTGCCTGCAACACTACCTTGAAGTGTCCGCGAAAACAGCCGTTCCATTCTGAAGAATCCGGCAAAGACACATTTTACTTCTGGACGCAGCGCAACCTCGGCGGCTCGAATATCATTCCCGACGCTGCGTGGGGTGTACAACGCATTCATCCCGCGGAACCCTCGATTGGCGTGGAGAACTGCAACGAGCTGTGCCCTTGGACGGTACGAGAACATCCCCCTTTGACATTCTCGCCCAGTATTGGGGAGGAGGTTATTGAGCCGGCGATCAACCCACAGCCCTTGAGTTCACTCTACTCATCGATTCGAATGTTGTAAAGGAGTTGGTTAGATTGTTATTGTTTCAGTGGGATTTTCGTCTGGTGTTGGGGGAACTTTACATTATCAGCGCATTGGAGTTTCAAGAGGGATTGGGTTTGTTTCTATTGCATTGGGTGTAGGGCATTATGGGCTTTGAACAAACGATATTGTACTTTATTCGATCGAGGTTATTTGGTCTCCATTTACGAGAATGTACAGACCAAGTCGTCGGGGAACAAATAATACAGATTTTCTGCTTAGCATAGAAACCGCTTCTTATTCCAAATCATTCTCCAACATGGAATTTTTGATCTCTATTTGAACCGTAAGGACTCGACGTTGATTCATCTTGTCCAAAAAATTGTTCTTAATCTAGGAAGCCCGATCAAGTTGTAATTCCCTCCATTGAATGGTACAAAGCACGCATCTTGAGCCGCCAGAAAATATACTAGCGGTTCATTATCCATACGATGCGGGGTTGGTGGATGTACAGTCCTTTTCAGAGCAGTTAAACCGCCAGTACAAAATGACTTCAGTCGCATGTACTGTAATCTGTCCACAAAGTAGACAGATTTCCCACATCTATAGCTTCTCATTGGTATCTACCTCGTGAATACTCCTAATCTCCTTAACGTTATCGCGATGCTTATCGTCCCATCAGCTGACCGCCGCGAGTTTCTCCGCCCCGACGCGGAAGACAGTGTACTGTAGGCGGCTCAACGTCGTGTCGATCGGAGATTACAGCGAGCTTCTCTCAGTTGAATTACACGTCGGGGCGATGAGCTTCCCACCGCCCAATTCCGGTCAATATCCGCAATATATCCCTCCTCCGCAATACCAGCCTGGCCGCGTCGCCCCGCCGCAGTTCCCATACAATGTCGCGCTCCCTTCGCCGTCGCCCTACGGCTACAGTAAACCGGCAGGTTATCCACCGGGGATGATGCAGCAGCAGCCACAGCAGATCTGGAATCAATATGGCCATCAATATGCACAGCCGATGTCACCGCAAGCGCAGCAGCAGCAGCAGCAGCAGCAGCAGCAACAGCAACAACCACAACCAACCCTCCAGCCTGCGGCCCTCATCCACCCCCAACACCTCGCGCAACCTCAGCATCCGGCCTTCTCTCAAGCGCAGCAGATTCCCATGTCGCAACTGCAGCAACCCCCGATCTCTCAACCCCGACAATCTCCGGTAGTCCAGCCGCATCAGTCACCCCTTCATCAACCACAGCAGCCATCTCCCCGTCTACAGATGCAGCAACAGTCTCCCCGAATCCAGATGCAGCCGCAACAATCTCCGAGACCCCAGATGCTTCAACAGCAACAGCAATCCCCACGCCCACAATTTCAACAGCAGTCTCCACGGCCGCAATATCAACAACAACAACAACAACAACAACAACCATCTCCCCGTCCCCAATTCCAACAACAGTCTCCTCTTGTCCAGTTGCAACAGCTGTCGCCTCGACCTCAGGTGCAACAGCCATCTCCTCGGCCGCAACTGAAGCCGCAGCCGGTGTCACAAGCTCAGATGCAACAGCATCAGCCGCAGCAACAACAACATCAGCAGCCGCTATACCAGAAGCCGCAGCAGCAGCATCAACCGCAGTCGCAGCATCAGCACCAGCACCAGCAAGCACAGCACCAGCAAGCGCAGCACCAGCAAGCGCAGCATCAGCAGCCGCAGCATCAGCACCAGCACCAGCAAGCACAGCATCAGCATCAACCGCAACCGCAGCACCAGCAACCGCAATACCAAGCTCAACAGTCCCCGATCTCCAAACCTCAGACCATTCCACCTCAACCTCGGCCACCACCTATGCCACCAGCGCCTCCTCCATCATTGCCACCAGAGGAGCCACAGCATCAGTTCATCAATCCAGCCGAGCTTTTTGTCCAGCCACCACTCCCTACCGCCCCTCGGTCACGATATGGTTCCTTATCGCAATTTGTCGACCCAAGTGAATTGTCGACCTCGATCGAGTTACCTCCGATGCCATCTATTACTTCATCAACTCCTCCACCGGCTGAACTCAAAGTCCCCCAAGCGCCTGAGGTTTCGGACCAGAAACCTTCACCAGTGAATCTTGAACAAAGCACGGAGAATGTTCCCAAGCAATGGGAAGAAAAGCAGCCAGAGATACAGATAAAGCCTCTACCTCCACTATATCCCGTCGACAAGCCAGCCGTGAAGACGGAGTCTGCAAAGGCTAAGCCTGCAACGAAAAAAGAAGTGAAGCAACCCGCAGTGGCACCCAAGAAAGAGCCGAAGCAAGCTGCGGCCGCACTAAAACCTGCGGCACCAAAACCGGCGGCGGCGCCTAAACCAGTGCCACAGAAAGCAGCAACGCCAATACAATCTCAGACAACTCCCTCGCCTACGAAGTTTGGCATTCCGCAAGTGATGGTGCCAGCTCCTTCTCAAGAGTTTCGCTCCAGCAGTCCGAAGCAAACCCCGAAAAAATTACCGCCCAAGAAACAGCCAAGTCAACAGATCGCTGATAAAGTCGCGAAACCGTCTAAACCGCCAGTGGACTACCAGGTCTTGCTACTTTCATTGGCGGATGAATACTTGAACGCTGCGCATCGTCATGGAACTAAAACGGCTCTTGTTACTAGCCAGGAAGATGTTGAGGAGTACTATAAGCTAGTCTCAACGGGGCTTGGATGTTTAGAGGCAGTCTTGAAGGTTAATCGCATGTTCAGTTGATTAGGTGGGGATTTTCACTGACTTGATATTCCAGAATTGGCGGCTACAACCTCGCAAGGAAGCTCTTGTGCGGCTTCGTTATGCTCGAACATTGTTCGAGGAAACTGACAATGATCTCGAGGCCGAAACGGCATTGAGCAAAGGCGTATGTTTCAGTCTGAAGCTCTCTCTTCATTGAATCACTCAGCTAACCTCCAATAGATTGATCTTTGCGAACGAGTTAGTTTTGGTTCTTTCTTATCTTGGTCGATTTTTACCAATGACTGACTCTTTTTAGAACCGAATGCTAGACTTGAAATACAGCATGCAGCATCTTTTGGCGCGTATGCTCCACAAGACTAACCCGAAGGCTTCGCTGAAGGCGGTCGACGGCATGATCCAGGACGTGGAAGCGTATGTGATATCTTTCTCATCCATGACTTATTTAGTTGCTGATTCCTTTTACAGATATCGCCATGCGGCTTGGGAGTATACCTTTCGTTTTCTACGCGTAACTTTATCACTGTCCTCTTCGTCACATCAAGACTCTGTGCAGGCTCTCCAACATTTGACCAAAATTTCAGCCATGGCAAGTCACAATGGAGATAAGGCTGTTGCAGCAATGGCTGCCGTCATAGAAGCATTGGCGCACTTGCAGCAGGGCACAGGTTCCGATGCTATTGAGCAAGCACAGCGTGCCATAGCCCTTGCGCGCAGCCATCAACTGAATGATGAGCTTCGGCATATCCCACAGCTCGCTACCCTTACTCAGATGGTTGATATCTGTTGCAGTCTGTTGGAGTACGACATGCCCCAGGCTTCTCAGAAACTCAAGGTCTTGCAAACCTTGGCAGACGAAACCCTTCATGACCCGAACTGGCATGCCGATGGATCATTCTCCATTCCTCTGAATGGAAAGTCTGCCGGCCCGTCTTCTATCGACACGGGTGATATTCTTCAGGTGCAGAATGGCACGGTACTTCTTAGCTTCAGTTGGCTTCCCCAGTACGACCTGTATGCGCTCTCATATTTCCTGAGCTCAATCACTCTCAGTGCCAAGAACTCTTATGATGGTCGGAAGGCGGAGCAATTCCTCGATGAAGGGCTTCGAATGATTCAAGGTCTGTCACAAGTCCCGAATTTTCAAGCAGAGCAATATCTAACTTCAACATTGTAGGAGGCTTCACAACCCCCCAGGAGATTCCCGAGTCAATGGTGAATGCTACGAGACGTGTCGAATGGCGCCGGTCCCTTTGCTGCAATTTCCTTCTACAGCGGGTCTTCCTAGCTTGTGCCCGCACCGACTGGGATTACGCTACCCAGTATCTGGAAGAGCTCCGGCAATTCACCCAGGAGTGCGGTCCCAACCTGCCCAGGTCTATTGAATGTTTGATGGAATACGCTGCTGGCACTATCGCCCAAGCCACTGGTGATCTCACCCAGGCATTGAGCATCTTCCAATCCCCTTTGTTACTACTTTCACCATCGGCCAGCAAGACAGCACGCAACGACCCATGTCGGGACACATGCATTCTCGCAGCACTCAACACTATCCTTATCATTCGCGACCCCTCTCACCCTTCCCATTCCCAGCTTCCTGCCATCCAAGCAACCCTCGAGCCCTTCTGCCAGAATGGACCAAACAAGTACATCCAAGCAGCTTATTATCTTGTCTGTGCCACTGTACAGACAGAATCAACCATTCAGACCAAAACATTCCTCCAGCACGCCCTGCAGTCTGCGACAGCTATCAGCAATTCCCAAATCACCTGCATGACCCTCACTTTCATGAGCTGGAAGTACTTCCGTGGCGTTGTCGGCGAACAAGCCGAGAAGAGTGTCCGAGCCGGTCGCGCCATGGCTAAACGAGCCAACGACCGTCTTTGGGCTAGTGTCACCGATGAGATGCTTGCGGAGACCCTCGAGCGACATGGAAAAGGTGATGAAGCTCGTAGTGTGAGGGAGGAAGGTCAGCGGTTGATTACGGGTCTCCCGCCTAGCTTGAAGCGTCCGGTCTGAGGACGCTGCCAGGTTTTTTAATGATAATGTTTTGTATTTGTAATATTGGGACGTATATATTACTTCACCACAATGACGACTTATGTTCTTTTTTTTCTCCGTGAGACATGCTAGATGATGGACACGATGGACATATTGCACCTTGAAAGAACCAGTCATCAAGACGGCATTCAGGCCTTGAACAAGCAGCTCTTGAAATCCATCTGATGACATCGATATATAGTAATACGCAGATTTGTAAGATAAAGCACCCTTGAACTGAGCGTCAATCCCACACTCTTGCGGCACTCCTCATTTGCAGCACTACCTATAAGGTAAACAAAAACACCCCACATCCATGCTAATGTACAACAACCGTGGTATAATCAGAGAGACCCAAGTATTCAGGATCAGAAAGAAAAGGACACAAACGAAGAAAGACCCACCCAAACGAAATAACACCGCCTTGAATACTCCATACCCACAATACGCCAGAGTTGGGCCAGTAGTAACCTCCTCGAACAGAAGAGATCGAGGGAACTGCCGCGACAACAAAACAAACAAAAACCACGATTAAGATTAAACCCGCAAACAAATGCTCGCAATAATAGCGCAGCTAGGGAGGAGCAAAGAAGATACCCCAACAGAGCGGGCATTGCGCATTCCGCACACTTGGGGTCCCCTACTCAACCAAGACCTCCCCAAACACCGCGAATCCTCCTCGCAAGCTGAATGTCCTTCTGCATGATAGTAACGCGCTTAGCATGAATGGCACATAAATTCGTATCCTCGAATAAATGCACCATAAACGCCTCGGCGGCTTCTTGCAGTGCCTGGATGGCGTGTGACTGCCAGCGCAATTCAGCGCCAACCTCGGCGGGGAGTAGATCGAGGGCGACTTCGCGGACTAGTCTGGCGAAGGGGAGTTTTGCGATGAGGAGGTCGTAGGAGCGTTGGTAGCGGCGGATTTCTTTGAGGGCAACCGTGCCGGGTTTGTAGCGGCGTTTTTTGCCAGTTGGTGTTGGGTCGCCGGCTGTTGTGATGGATGTGAGAAAACGATTTCGTAGCTTTGGGTTAGGGAGACGATGGGTAGGGGTCGAGACGTACGTTGTACGGCTGAAGCACGTTTTCCGGCAGGTCGCTTTCCTGCGGTTGTGGATTTGGTCTTGCGGCCGGCGCTGGCAGGGCCGACGCTTGCTGCCGTGGATGGTTTTGCGGCTGCGGTCTTTCTTGCTTTGGGAGTTGGCGCCATTGTGATTGAGAGTGGTGTACTCTAGGGGCGAAAGGGTCTTTGCGATGCGCGGCAAGTGTGTCGCGCGATCAATTGAGCTGAATGTGATCGAGGGCTGCGGATTTTTGTTCCTGCAGGGTATCCGCGCACGCGTCGAGGGTTGTCGCCCTTGCAGGAGAGTTGCCGGAGTAGTACAGGAGGAGCCGNGGGGGGGTTTGTGAGGAAGGGCGAGATATACTAAATTGTCTCGACAGTACCAGCTCAAAAGCAAGCGCGGGGGTTCCAGTAGAGGAGAAGAGAAAAATGCGAGAACAAAGACCGTTGGTGGAGGGGGCTGGGCCAATATGAACACATTCGTCCTTAGCGCCGTCCAGCCCCGTGATTTTTGGTGTTCGGACGCGTCAGTCACGTGACGTGATCGATAAGATAGACTGTCCTGTTTATCGGCTTATCAGAGTCGGAGCTGGAACTATCGGTCAATCTGGTCTTTCCCTACACTTCCATCCCACCTCGTTGGACTTTCTCTCAGACAACCCTCTCAACCCGTTTCCTCATACTCAGACTCATCAACTATGGCTGACCTCTGGGGAAATAATGGCCAAATAGGCCAGCAATTCCCCCTGGAACAATGGTTCTACGAAATGCCCCCCGTCACACGATGGTGGACAGTAGCCACCGTGGCGACCTCGGTACTCGTGCATTGTCACATCGTGACCGAATTCCAACTCTTCTACAGCTTCCGTGCCGTCTATGCCAAATCCCAATACTGGCGCCTCCTAACCACATTCCTCTACTTTGGCAAACTAAACCTCGACCTCATCTTCCACGTGTTCTTTCTACAACGATACTCGCGACTCCTAGAAGAATCCTCCGGCCGGTCCCCCGCGCATTTCGCCTGGCTCATTTTCTACGCAACGAGCTCGCTCCTTATCATTTCGCCCTTTCTATCGCTGCCCTTCCTAGGAACCGCGTTGAGCTCGAGTCTTGTGTACATCTGGGCGCGACGGAATCCGGATACCCGGTTGAGTTTCCTGGGATTGTTGGTATTTCCGGCGCCGTATCTGCCGTGGGTGCTCATGGCGTTTAGTTTGATTGTGTATCAGACGGTGCCCAAGGACGAAATGCTGGGTGTGGCGGTTGGGCATGTCTGGTATTTCTTCAACGATGTCTACCCGACTCTGCATGGTGGCCATCGGCCGTTGGATCCGCCCTTGTGGTGGCGTCGACTGTTCGAGAGTGGTCCGGCGCGGGAGCGTCCGACGGATGCTATTGATGTGAATCCGGACTTTGCGGCGGCTGCTGCGCCGGAGATTCGATGAGGGCGTGCGCCGTGAGACTTATTGGTTGGTCTTTGATATGTCGAGGAAGGCTGGCCGTGGTCCGCTCAACATCTGCAGTTGTCAGCCATCATTGTGGATATTGACCTTGGACTTGAGCCGGGCAGATTGAGTCTCGGGATGTTGGCGCAATCCAAGGCAAGATATGGACTGAACATCCCACATCTGTCGCTTAGATGGCGAGGTTTACACAAGATGTGCAAGGGCTGGTCCCTATACACGTTTCAAACCGCCCGTTTGATGGCAAGGCACGGCGAAGAATGGAAGAGGGTGGCAGGGGGAATTGTTGGGAAAATATGCATGTTTATTTCAAGTCGATCATAGCGAAGATACCCTATTAGCTCTAAATATTCACTCGTTATCTCTCCAAACCGAAGCACTCGATAGAAGAGCCTGCCAAGAAAAGAGTACGAAGCAGGATTGGAGGTGGAATAGACACTTCTACCTTGGGAAGTCTCATAGCCTTGAAAGTCCTGGTAATACTCACCCATCAAGGAATCGACTGTTGAAGCAAGACAGGATCGGGGTTAAAGAGCTTATCCCAAAGCACTGAATGCGCCTACGATGGAAAGTATACATGGATAAGAGCTCAATCCGCCGTCCAGTGAAATGCTCTCCTTTCCATACACCTACCCACGACCAATCACTTATCTTAACAGTCCGTATACTTTACCACACTCATCCTAATCACAGCACAGCCTCCTTCAGATAACGCATCACATCATCCCCCAAGGCCACCCGCAGCCCTCACAGCAGCCAAGACCAACCCCAATAAAAAAAGCCGACCACTCGCCTTCCCTTATCTGATCACTCTACTCTTATAAGCGGCCCCATTGGCTGGGAACAACCTTAGCTTTTCGTTACTGCCAAGCAGCATACCAGTACACTGCCGTATGGTCTCTAATTGAACTGTACAATGCACCTCTATAGTGATAGCAGTCTCTCTCTGGCTAATCAGATATAAACGATTTCCTGAAAGAGGTGTACCACGCCGCCGACATGATATCAGCGAAAGCACCGTGCGACGACGAAAGCCGTGCCTAAACAGGATCTGCCAACGCCACATCGCTGGGGGGACTTTGCCGAAGGAAAACGTGGGGTTCATCGCTGAAGTGGATACAAGATACCGTAACGACATTCCATCATAATGGATACGAATGTAGAAATAAAACAAGATACTGTACTCATCTATTAAGCATTCCACCGTAGTAATTCAACCAGCCATCTACGATGCGGAAATATACTCCGTCAGGCCGTGGGCTATGATACATAGTTAACGGTAGCGATGTTCTTTCTGGCGGGTTACTAGTATAGTAGGTAGCGCCATCCACTCACGTCATTGATCGCGACCTGAGCGCCGATCTTAGTTGGAAAGGGTAGAACTCTGGAGTAGCGAATCTGGAGAGAACCGAGTTTCGGGTGGGGGGGG